GCCATGGCATTGAGCATCATAATGGTGAGGAAATCACCTTCCTTTGGTAAGCCAATAGCATATATACGGCGGATGAGGTTGTGGAGTTGAGAGCTTGTGGTAGAGAGACGCTCCAAATGACAATACTTGATGGCTAAGGCCTGCTGGATGAGCAAGATCTGGGTGATGGGCCCAACCTTCTCATGGTGAGACCCGAGAGCGTCCCATGCGAGGTAAGTGTTAGTGTACCCATGAAGGAACTCGTTCTCCTCAGTACTAGAGCATGTGCGTAAGGCAGCAATGATGCATAAGTTATTGAGATCCAAATGGCTTGCACTGGCAGGATCCAAGGACAGATCAGGACAGGTGATGAGACCTAGGATATACCCGCCTCCATGTTTCAAGAGGAGGTAGTTCTGCATGCGGTCGGACCAGATGCCCCAATTATTCTTGCTGTGGTCAAGGTCGGTTTGACTGAGTGAAGTGGCCATAACGGCTGCCTGCAAAGACGACATGGTGGTAATGGTAGGGATAGTCAGGTTGGTATTCAGTGGGCTGAGGGTTGCACCTTTGGTGCTGGAGCTCTTAGAGTGAGTATGCGCAGCGGTTGGCATTAAGACAAGAGAGAAGGAATAAATAATCCGTGACTCACGGGTATATATATGAGCGAGTAACTGCACTCAGGTGCTTCTCACCCAAAGAGGGAGAAATTAAATGTTTCGACAACGCTGTGGGGAATGTCCCCACTGTAGGCCTGTATCCCATATAATTCCCATGCCTTCCCACCTTTTTCCCATGTGTTCCACTACCATCCCACTACCCATCCGCATCTTCCCTGAGCCGTCCACTACATGGAACCGAGTGGAACCCAGCGGAACCCAGCGGAACAATCGTGTACCACACGCATCATATCCTTTTAGCCTTCGGAACATCCTCCTCTGTCCTGTCCTTGTCCTTCCATCCTCGCTGGTGAGTACTAGCTACGTTCCTCGTGTTACTAACATGTTCCTATCTCATTTCCCATGTGTTACGGTACTTATACGGATCCCTCCACTACTCGGGACTGATTCCTTATCTCACAGCCTCACCCGGTTGTAGCATAGCGCATTTCGGAACCCCTTCCTATATAGGTAGCAATAGATGGGATCTTAGTTTTTTACCTTCTGATAGACTCGACTCCACTTCCACTTACAGAGTACTTCCCAGTACTCTACTCACTGTCTAAAATATCTTCCCAAATCTATTCCTGATCACATTGCATCGTTCCTGCCCCCATGAGTTCCACTCGAAACGCCCGACATCAGATCTGACGACTTGGAGCAAGTACCAGACACAAGCCTGGTCTGACTTTGCCCAATCATCCTCCTGCAGGCTCGTAGCTTCTTTTCCCTCCATTTGTTCCCCATTAGTTCCATTTATTCCTCATTTGTTCTGTTTGTTCCACGTTAGTTCTGTTAGTTCCACTTGTCGTGCATTAGTTCCGCTCATCAGGAACCCTCCGCATCTTTGTGTTCCCAGTCCTAGTAAGGACCGGAACCCTTCGGGTCGCTAGACAGAGTCTAGTCTTTGTTTCCTCGCACTTATTTGAGGACTCGCTACCCAGTAGCAATCCCCTCAGGACGAGTATAAGTCTCGCACCCTTGTTAGACTTCTGAATCACCCAGAGTCTATTTTCCTCACCCACAACACTGATAGAAGTCAGTGTCACTATTGGTAAGTCTGAGGGTTTAATAACCTGGTGGGGTCGTTCCTAAGGCCTGCTTGTATCTAGAAGGTAATTCCGCTCCTCATTTACAAGAGAGCAGGGCTCATAACCTATAGAGACTAGACAAAGCATTAGCCCTCAGTCGTGATGGAACAGCCTATATTCTAATATACCTAGACAAAGTGTTAGCCTAATACAAATGTCTGTTAGTGTCTAGGTATGGTTCAGATATACAAAGAGCTCACCCTCAGTCGTGATGGAACAGACTGAGGGGAGAAGACGAGATGAAGGGATCTATATACACGGCCAATTGAAATAAGTATAGATCCTATGTTATTTTTGGGGTTATAGCACCTATACATACACAATGCCAATTATATGGTTTGCACCACATGTCCAACCTATGCTTTTTTTGAGTATAGGACACATACCGGAAGCTGTGGCGTGGTGTGGGGAACATCCCCACTGTAGGCCCATATCCCGTATAATTCCCAAGCCTTACCACCATCTTCCTGTGCGTTCCAGCTACCATTCCACTACCTACCCGCATCCTATCTGACCCGTCCGCTACATGGAACCAAGCGGAACCAAGTGGAACCCAGTGGAACAATCATGCACCATGCGCATCATATCTCTTTAGCCCTCGGAATGTCATCCTCCATCCTGTCCCCGTCCTTCCATCCTCACTGGTGAGTACTAGCTACATTCCCTGTGTTACTAACATGTTCCTATCTCATTTCATATGTGTTATGATACTTATACAGATCCTTCCGCTACTCAGAACCGGTTCCTTATCTCACAGCCTCCCCGGTTGTAGCATAGTGCTTTCCAGAACCTCTTCTTATATAGATAGCAATAGATGGGGTCTTAGTTTTTTACCTTCTGATAGACTTGACTCAATTTCCACTTACAGAGTACTTCCCAGTACTCCACTCACTGTCTAAAATATCTTCCCAAATCTATTCCTGATCTCATTGCAACATTCCCGACTCCGTGAGTTCCACTCGAAACACCCGACATCGGATCCGATGACTTGGAGCAAGTACCAGACACAAGCCTGGTCTGACTTTGCCCAATCATCCTCCTACAGGCTCGTAGTTTCTTTTCCCTCCATTAGTTCTGTTAGTTCCCCGTTTGTTCTGTTAGTTCCCCGTTTGCTCTGTTTGTTCCCTGTTTGTTCTGTTTGTTCCGTGTTAGTTCCGCTAGTTCCACATTAGTTCCGCTCGTCATGCGCTGAGTTCCGCTCATCACATACCTTCCGCATCTTTGTGTTCCCAGTCTGTCATATACCTGATCTGACCGCTCTAATATCAATATCCGCTCCACTTTCCGATCACCTCCACTCCACCCATCCTCCACTCTGTCCAATCATCATCCACATCCACTCCTATGTTTCCGCTCAACCGCTCAACCGGTCCCCTTCCATAACATCTCCATTCAACTGGACCTCTTTCCCCTTTTAGATATGTACTTTCCCCTTCAGTACATAGACCCTTACTTCCGGATCACCAGTAACTCCTATTACCACTCAATCACTGATCCGACGTGTACATATTGATATCCACTCCAACTTATGTCTTCACCTGTGTAAGTACTTACAAATTATATCCTTGGTACATAGCTTTACAACATAGTTATCCTGGTCACTGCCTCATACATAGAAGTATATAACATATCATGTACTTTGATATTTTCCTCAGTCTTAATATTACTTGTCTTCTCGCAGTTACCTCTTGTGAGAATTCTCAGTAGGACCTTGCCTCCTCTGGACACAAGTCTCAACTTGTTGTTACCTCCGACCCTCTGACCCTCTGCTCCAACTTAGAGCTGTGCTCTAAGTGCTCTCCTTATTCCTCCGCCCCTATCAATATTCCCCTTATCCCTTTTCTTATCCTCTGCCTTCCCTGCTTCTCTGCTCCGCTCCTAGTCAGCTTGCTGCTAGTAGCTCTTACTTCCCGACCCTCAAAGCGGACCTAAGCGGTTCACTTGTCCTATCGTCGGACAATGTCAGACCTGCTCCAAATTTGGGGCACGTACTCGGCTAAGGGTGCAGCGCAAGAGCTGAAGCCAAGCCCTGACCCCTCTGCCTCCTGAGCCAGCACGGTACCTAACACAGTCCTAGTAAGGACCGGAACCCTTCAGGTCGCTAGACAGAGTCTAGTCTTTGCTTTCCTTGCACTTACTTGAGGACCCACTACCCAGTAGCAATCCCCTTGGGACGAGTATTAGTCTTGTACCCTTGTTAGACATCTGAATCACCCCAGAGTCTATTTTCCTCACCCACAGCAGGGCTTTTAAAAGAGTAGTGGGGCAAGATTTATGAAAAGCATAAAAAATCAACTAGATTCAAACTCTTGACCTCATGATTACTTCCATCACCGAGCATGCAATTTACCAAGACAGACAGAACATACAAACTGTTAGGCCATCAGGCTGTGATATATCCCTCTAAACAAAAGAATATGACACCATACCACGGACTTAGCAAATTTTTTGCAGTTGACGCTGTAGCACCACTGTCTGTGTCGAGTCTAACTATGCTCTACATAGCCTACTAGCCTCATCCCTAACCTCATACCTCTAAGTGCAAGACAACAGCTAATACTGTTGTAAAACTTGCCATGTGTTTCAGAATCATTAAATATGTCTGTCTTGTTACCTAGGTGAAGAATAATCGCTGCATACCAGCAGTATGCAGTGGTATAAAGATCTGAGAACCTGTGGGATAACTCAAAGTATAGATCCTATGCTCTGGCGGCATCCATTCTGTGCAGTCCCAGTCATTTTGAAGTAATTATATCCTGTTACTACACCGTTGTTTAGCAGATACATAGAAATTAAATTTGCACCAGTATATATTGGACCCAGTTTATATATGGGGTTTAGCTCTATCATACACATTCAAATTATTTGACAAAAATCATCCCACACATAAAATTAACAATTGGCCGTGTATGTTGGTTCATATCTATAAAGTAAGGGAGAAGGGTATGGGGGAAGGGGTGGGAGACGGGTATTCTGCGTAGCGCACATGGTGTCGGTAGGCCTCGGCAGCGTCAGCTGGCAAAGGTTAGATACAGTTATTTCACTAAAGTGGCTGAAAAAAGCATCCCACGTGGTTCTGTCAACTGGAGTTTGAATTTGCGAAAACCATTGTCCCCTACTATATGAGCTTGCTGTCCAAAATTGGGAATTTGTAAAAATTGAGCCACAATGGGATACACCAAGCAAATAGAAAATGTGGAAAATGCGAAAATAGAAAGATGGGATTGGCAGGTGCTCACTGGCCCTCCATTTTGCACAACAATGATTTTATATGTACTGTAACTGTGATACATGATGATAAATAGTAAAAATTGAAGGACAAAAAGGGATTGTGGGATTTTTTGGGGAAAAGAGAAAAGAGGACACCAAGCCAGTAGAAAAATGTGAAAAATGCAAACAATGCAAAAAATGCAAAAATAATGGGCAATGGGTAAACATGGGAATGGAAAGATGGAGAATGGAGAAATGGGGTGAAATGGGGAGATGAGAGGATGGGAGTAAATAGGGAGGATGACAGGAAGATAATGGGAGGACAGGAGGACAGGAGGACAGGAGGACAGGAGGACAGGAGGACAGGAGGACAGGAGGACAGGAGGACAGGTGGACAGGAGAGTTTGTATAGAAGACAGGAAATGGGAGATGGGAGGAAAAGGCATGAGTCAACAGCAAGACACAAACAGTGAGACTGAAGTTTACCTGGGACACTCGCTTGCAATCTGGGACATGGGACATGGGACACGGGACATGGGACACGGGACATGGGACATGGTGTAAGGAGCAAATTCCACTACGACCTCAGCGCGATAACGGCCGATTCGAGTAGTGAGCCTATAATGTTCAGTTCGACCCGGGGGAAGCAGAACAAAGCAAACTGAATTGCTGCCTCAGTATAAAATACAAGGGGCACGACAACAAGTCAAAGAGCGGCTGATCCAATATATGTTCAGCGTGAACAGTCACCCGCAAAGCCGATCAACTATAATTTCTACCAACCGCTATGCAGTGTGCAAGTGAGTGTGGCCGACCAAGGTAGTTTGATGAAGAATGGAGGTTTCAAGGAGAACATGCGGACAGACACGGGAATGAGATCAGAAAGGAACAGAACACAAAAGACACGGCTTCTGAGTGAGAATTAACTGCATTGCAACAACGGGCAGGCGCTCCTTAAGTACAAAATTGGCTACTAGGTAAGTAATGGAGATAATCATCGCTTGGGATGCCCGGGCTACCTCGCAGTTCACTAGAGATATATGTGGGACATGCAGTTGATCATCTGTGATATGTATGGGGATATTTGAGAGTAAGCTAGTCCGAGCCGCTTAGGGCGACGTAATAGGGGAGTTTGAGAGGTAAAGGTACTGTATTTTGTCAAATAAACCAAAGAGGAATATACTACGCACCAGTGAACAAGGATGGATGGATATGGGGTTCATCTGAGTATCTGTGAGCTAGAGGGGCAAAACACGTGCGCGACCGACCGATGATGCGCGTTGATTCTTCATCAGCCAATTCGCTTGTGCAAGTGGCTTGAATGTGTATGAGCGGTGTGGGGAACGTCCCCACTGTAGGCCCGTATCCTGTATAATTCCCATGCCTTCCCACCATTTTCCCATGTGTTCCACTACCATCCCGCTACCCATCCGCATCTTCCCCAAGCCGTCTGCTACACGGAACCAAGCGGAACCCAGCGGAACAATCGCGTACCACATGCACCATATTCCTTTAGCCCTCAGAACGTCCTCCTCCATCCTGTCCATGTCCTTCCATCCTCGCTGGTGAGTACTAGCTACGTTCCTCATGTTACTAACATGTTCCTATCTCATTTCCCATGTGTTACGGTACTTATATGGATCCTTCCACTACTCAGGACTGATTCCTTATCTCACAGCCTCACCCGGTTGTAGCATAGCTCATTTCGGAACCCCTTCCTATATAGGTAGCAATAGATGGGATCTTAGTTTTTTACCTTCTTATAGACTCGACTCCACTTCCACTTACAGAGTACTTCCCAGTACTCCACTCACTGTCTAAAATATCTTCCCAAATCTATTCCTGATCCCATTGCATTGTTCCCACCCCCGTGAGTTCCGCTCGAAACACCCGACATTGGATCCGACGACTTGGAGCAAGTACCAGACACAAGCCTGGTCTGACTTTGCCCAATCATCCTCCTGCAGGCTCGTAGCTTCTTTTCCCTCCGTTTGTTCCCCATTAGTTCCATTTGTTCCTCATTTTTTCTGTTTGTTCCACGTTAGTTCCGTTAGTTCCGCTCATCGTGCATTAGTTCCGCTCGTCGCATGCTGAGTTCTGCTCGTCGGGAACCCTCCGCATCTTTGTGTTCCCAGTCCTAGTAAGGACCAGAACCCTTCGGGTCGCTAGACAGAGTCTAGTCTTTGTTTCCTCGCACTTATTTGAGGACTCACTACCCAGTAGCAATCCCCTCGGGATGAGTATAAGCCTCGCGCCCTTGTTAGACTTCTGATCCACACAGAGTCTATTTTCCTCACCCACAGCAGGATCACGATTGGCAAGGAGTCGGATAGAGCAGGGGGGTTGAGCATATATTGCCGTGGATCGGCAGAACAAGGAAGTACCATGTCAGCACCAATCCGCATCCTACAACGGGACATGGGACATGGGACACGGGACACAGGACACGGGACACGGGACATGGGACACAGGACATGGGACATGGGACAACAGGACAACAGGACAACAGGACAACAGGACAGTGGGACATGAGACCATGGGACATGGGAGATAGGAAATCAGAAATCAGATAATTGGGAGGAAGTGTATGAGTTAATAGCAAGACACAAACAGTTTGACTGAAGGTTACCTGGGACACTGGCTTGCATCCTGCTGGCCGAGGCACGAGGCCACGGGATTGCAAGCCGGTGTCCCAGGTAAACTTCAGTCTCACTGTTTGTGTCTTGCTGTTGACTCTTACCCTTCCCAAAAAATTCTCCTGTGTCCTGTGTCCTATTTTCTCACAACTAAAACAAAAGTATATAGTACATCAGGAAAAACCTCCTGGGGGAAAAAACACATAAATTTCATAAAATGATGTAATTCAGAGAATTCTATGTATCTACAGGTATTAGGATAAAACCAGCTAAAAGACGATAATGTACAATGAGATTCTCAATAATCATTTGAATAAAGAAAATGTATATCTATCTATGTATGAGTTCAACCAAAAAGTGTTACAATTATCAAGAACTGTATCACTCATCCACTCTCATGGGACGACGGCACCAAAATTCAGTATCAGATGGACACTATGCACAATATTTGCCAACGGCACAATACTTGCTATTTTTTCACCACCATGCAATGATCGCGAGAGCTTGTAAAGTCCATGGTGTCGATTGGGAGCCGAAGGAAATGGTGCAAACCATTCAATGTAAGCGAAGTGATTGGGAACCTTGACTGTTGGTGGAAACAGGAGTGGAACTGATTTTGAAGGTAACGAGAAAATGATTCGTACTTGCCCAACACAGACTCCTAGATTCAGACGACTGTGAGTGACTCTATCCTTAGCAAATAGTGGTGGCTAAACATACCTTCTATACCTCCACTAACAACATCTGGATTCCCACCAATGCTCACCAGAGCAGTATCTGAACGGTGAGGCCGCAGACCCAAACCTGAACTCCGTTGTGGTCTTGCATATACAGCGTCCAACGTGGCTGTTGCATCATCGTGACCACGAGTGTCTACCGAGAGCCACTTTACCTTGTGAAAAACAGGGAGAGTTCGGAATGGGAAATGGACGTCCTGTGCTAACACATCCAGTGTTTGACTACCGAGGGGGATAGAATCATTGGCATGATTGAGTTGTGTGATATAGTGTGCAAGTGCTTCACGGAAATAGGTAGCGCCGTAGTCTTCGACCAGCTTGTCTATACTGATGGCCTTTGCACTAGGGTGCTTCACCACAGATTGAAGCTGACAAAAAGTCATATCAGGGGGGCGTGAATGGTAAGGGATAGTCTCTTCAACACCAGCACATCACCAGTTGACATACTTGTCATGGCACATAATCATCTCCTTCTGCTCAAGCCAGCATGTCATCTGCACAAATTCATCTTTGTGATTTGTAGCATGGTAAGTGTCCTTCGCAAAATCGATGTGAAGTCATTCGGTGTACTCAGTATTATAATTGTCCGTCATACCGAACATCATAATCATGGCAGAGTAGTGGTGAGCGGTGTGAAGTTTTGGAAAATTGAAATTCAAACGGATACCGAGGTCAACAAAGATATCCTTATTCTCGTGGAAAAGATTGAGTGCGTCATCAAGCAGCTGTAGGGTCTCGGAGCTATGACAAGGATATTGAGCAAGATAGAGGAAGTCCAGTAGGCCTTGCACTGCTCGTAGAAGACAGCCCGCATTTAGATTATTGGGCAAACAGATGCCAATCACGATACCAAGGAGAAACCGGCGGATTTGAGCGTGTTCAGTTCCGCTTATACGTGACAAGCAGGTGATACCCTTGCTGAACAGATGTATATGGTGATTGGGAGGAAGATGACGACACCGAGCGTCGATTTCGGCTGCTCCACAGGCAGCTGACAACCAACCTAAGAGATGCTTTATCAAGCCTTGATATAATTGGTGTAACACGTCTGGTGTGATCGCATGGAATATATTGGTGAATGCAAGATCTTCCCAGAAAGGATGGACAATGGGCTTGATGCCTGCTGCCGAGCAAGCACAAACAAACGATAGATTCCCTTCATTGAGAGCAGCAAGGGCATCTAGCACCTTGGTCAGGTTTCATAAATGAAAAGGAGCCGTATTGCTACCCGTTTCATCCACGTCCACGTTGCATTTTGGACACTCTCCAAACTTGATCCCAGTCACAAGAAGCTGTTCTGGGTAGTCACCAATGAAGCTGGCAAATAATGGGTGGCAACGGCAGAGGGCACCATCCCCACTAGCCATATGAAGCCCATCTACTCCTATAGATTTCAGTGGAGCGAGAACACAGCGCAAGCATGCGTGATAAATGTTTGCCAAAGTTTGGCAGCATGAAGCTTTGTTGGTGATATGCTGAAGCCGTGTACATGGTAAATAAGCTAGAAGTATATGTGCACCACGCAAAGGCTTGCGTCAGATTTCCTTTGGGATGTTGCCAATGGTGAGATAGACAGGATAGATGGACTTGTTGCGGAACAATGTTACTTGTGTTTTGTCGGACGAGATAATGATGGGAATAATGGTGCCGCCTGGACTGTGCTGGTCAAGTTTTTTCTAAAGTATTGTAAGTATCATATCTCGTACAGACATAATCAGTTCTTTGTACCTGTGTATCCCACCACCATTTTCCAGTGTGCATATCATGAAAGAGACGAATTGTCTCGTCTTCATCAGAATAATGTCGCTCAGGGGCAAATGCTAGATATTTGGCGAAGTCCAGATCACCGTACAACGACTTGACACATTTGATGACATCACAATAATAGACGTCAAACGCTTCTCCAGCGACAACGATCTGCTCAGGTTTGAACTTTGGACGGCCTGTCGGAAGTCCATGGTCGACAATAGCATTCAACTCATTTGCATTCTTGAATGAGAGTGATAAGCATTCACTGACCTGTCAAATTATTAGTACAATGACTTTCAGAATAAATGGTATCCAACTTACCCCCTCAATTGCGAGCAAGTCTGACAATGCCATCGAACTCAGACCACGAAGCTTGGCCCATCTTGCAACCTCCCATTCCATCTTGAATGCAAAAGGGTGATACAAATTCTCCTCCTCATTGGCCAGATGCGCCTCATATTCTGCGTTTGCAGCACGACAGCAAGTTATTTTCTGGCCAGCACGCGGATCTGGGTAGGGCACAACCACACAACCATGCTTCCCTTGCACGTGTGCCTGAATATCCTGGTGAGTACGGTGTTCATCTTCATCAGCCAAATCTTCAATGGTATCCATGCCCACATCCTCGACTTGCTCTTCAATGGGAGGCTCCCATTCAGGTTTGAAATTCCACCCCTCGTCATCTTCATCTCCATCTCCATCACTACTGCCATATTGCTCTTGACCCCACTGTGGAAACTTGTCCCCAGGCTCGTCTTCTCCATATCCTCCATCTGGATCGTCAGGCTCATTTTGTTGTTCACTGGTATGTACTTGGGAGCGCGACTGATGGTACAGTGCTCGACAATCTGGGTTGCGGCTCTTGGCAAGATGTTGACTGAGACCAGTAACAGTGAAATCGTCATGGAAACAAGCAGGGCATCAAGTGGACATAGTGGCAGAAGATTGAGTGCGAATGACCTCGCAAAGACAATAGCGCGAGCATGATTGCGTATATGTTGCTGCGATCTTGGAGATAAGGACCTTGAGTGCGAATGACCTCACAAAGACAATATGAGAGTAGTACAAATCTGGAGAGCGTGAGCATGATTGCGTCCGAGCGTGATTGCGTCCCTGCAGGTGAAAATTTCCAGGGAGCGAAAACTTCTGGGGAGTGAGACCATAATGATAGCACCGTAATGACATCCCACTAACCTAATCAACTTTGCATGCAAAAACTTCAACTGCCTCCAACGCAATTTCAAATGGCAACACTAAAATTTGCAGGCGGACGAGATGTCAACAGAACTGGTGTAGAGGAGGTGGATCAGCCCCCAATCAACGATACACTCGCAAACTTACTGAAGTTGTCGTCAAGGATCATCAATGATGCACTCGCAAACTTACTGAAGTTGTCGTCAAGGTGTACCACTTTATCATCAACGATACACTCACAAACTTACTGAAGTTGTCGTCAGTGCCCAATCAACGATATACTCACAAACTTACTGAAGTTGTCGTCAGCGCCTAATCAACGATACACTGGCACACGAAAAATTCCTAGCGTCTGATGTCAGCTCAATTGAACCTGGCTTGGGTTACTAGACGCACCTTGAAACGAATAATGAACTGCCTCCGATGAGGCTATGCCATTCCCTCACCTCGCTGCTTTTTTCGACCTTAAATATTCCTTCCAATGTTCTTTGTTAGCTTCAAGTTCTCGTCCTTTCAATCTATATACAATGTCCACACCTCGAGTTCAGTCTCGTGGTGAGTGACAAGTCTGACAGCTCACCATCAGCATAGGCTCACAGGGCGTCCATAGAGCCGCGAAATGCAAAGACAAAGGCTATGGAAAATGCAGGTAAGCATGCAAGTCTTCACAGCAAAATTGATACTCACCTCCAACTTGAGTATGGATGCCTAATAAGTTGGCAAGGAAAGTCACTCGTCAAGCATCACCAAACCCACCATCAGCTGTGGCCAAGCCTAAACCAGTCAAAGCGAAAAAGATTCACATCAGTGATCTTGGTTTTTGACTATATAAGCCAAATACTCACCTTGAATCAGGTAATGTGCCGCGCACAAAAGCAGATGTGCCGAATGCAACTCAGACCACTTGCAGCCTGAGCAACAAAAGTTTACCTTCAAAACTGAGTGCGTCACTAAGAGTCTATATGGAACATAGATATCGGTACTAACCTTAGTGGCCCATGATAGAGCATAAACATAGTACCATTGCAGATGACTCAGAGGAGGATGGCAATGAATCTAATGACAGTGCAGACTTGGAACCTGATAAGCGTCAAGGTTAGTCATGACAGTGATGGCTCAAGGGAATCTTACTCACATGACCGTGTACACATGCCAACAGTCGTTTATCGCCATCCAAACAAACTCACTCGCACATACACCATGTGCGATGTCTCAGCATTATTCGAGTCTGATGAAGATCAGGAGGAGGATCTCGCGAATGGTAATGATTCTGATGCTGACTGTGAGGAGAGTGAGGGCGAGCCTGAGGATCCTGAGTCAACCGCCAGGATGCTCTCAGACGAGGTTAGTGTTTGTTAGTGTTTGTTTACTTTGTCAGCTGTACTCACCGTGACACCAATGATTGTGACTCAAGGTCCCTTCACTTGTCAGCAACATTAAAGTCAACTTGAAGTCAATGCAAGTTAAATCTCGTGGCAAAACCCAGTCTGCCTGTGATGCCAAACAAGCTGCAGAGGTGAGTATATATATATTGAACAGCACTCAGGCTGCATACTAGACTTGACACAATCTTTAGATTCCAACCTGGCGCGATTTCGACAACGGTGACGGTGTTTCTGATGAAACCACCACTGCTTGTGGCAAGTCCTCTGAGCCTTACTCTAGCAACATTGAAGGTGCTCCAAAGGTTGAACCCAACTCTGCACTGACTCAATCGGCTCAGACCATCGCGTCTCTCATTCGAACAGAGAAGGGACACATCAAATTACTTGATCAAAATAACGAGACTCGGCGAGTAGTGCGGGATGCGATTGTTGATGCCAAAGGTTACATTATATTTGTCGATGCTTATCCTGAGCTTGTGGACAAAAACCAAGTCGCTCTGCAGTCATTACTAACAGTGGCTCAGAATCGCGGTGCACACGCCATTAAAGAATGTCTTCAAACTGATGCGCAGTATGCTGCTCACCTCGCTACTTTAGTGGAGCCACGCATTCCATTATTGCGCCGTGACCTGAAAGTGGCCACCTGCACCAACATCGATAGTTACTTTCATTTCAGCAATAACATGGTCAAGGCGAAGAAATTGATGGAGCAGCATGCATACATATATGCATTGAGGTTTGACATGAGTAAATTCGTCTGTTGGTCTTCGCTAGCCTCTAACTAACATTTTTCATCAACAGTCGAACAATGATGCTTCACCAATAGGCAAAAAACCCTACCAGGGTGACCTGCTGATCTTTCTCATATATGAGGGAGTCTTCAGCGATGCGAAGTCTATCGGCATCAAGTTTGCCGAGCACTTTGCCAGACTGGCAAACAACAAGGGCAATCGTCCTGAATGCCCCATTCCATTACTGGCACTTGTGGCAACAGCAGTACCATCCTTTCTACTGATCTTTTTGCTATATTGATTCATTTGAAAGGTCTATGCAGCCCTTTTCTGGAAAACACTTGGCTCACCAGGGAAGTTCAACTTTACAGGGAATCAATTCAGCGAGACATATGTGTTTCACATCAAGTTCCTTGAGGACGTGAAGAGGGATGCACCAGGCAAGTTTCATTGCATGATGGCTGATATTTACGAAGCTGTACAGTAAGTTTTGCGGGTATACATTGTGCTGTTTCAACTCAGATACTGACTCTGCTACTTGAAGGACCTTGAAATGGAAGGGGAATGATCATTTCGCCAATGAGCATTGAGATGCACTGGGGCTACTCGACCTGGATGGCATGGCAGATGATTAGGTCCTGTATTCACGCTGATCTATACCTGTCAAAATCCCAGATTCATGTATCGCACCTTAATTTGCCTAGTCTTTTAAGTTGGCTTTGTGTTATGTATATCCTTTGATCAAATATTAGTCTGTTTTGCTCGTAACACCATCTGATGCGTGTGATTCACTATGCAACATTCGAAATATACTCTCTGAAATTCACGATATTGGCTTCGAAATCATGATAATTATCCTTTTTAATCAAGGGGGTAAAAAAGTCCTTCTAAAAAAACTAATCATTCTAAAGCCCATAGTTTGAGATAATACTTGAGGATTAGCGAGAATTATCATAGTTTAGAGTAATTACCTGGGGGAGGGTTTTCCTGATGTATTTTGTAAATGTAAGATGTAAGACATTATTGATTTGATACAAATAAATAATATGTAGACATGTGCCGAAGGCACAACGGGTGTAGACTCGTTCCTATCATTCGACTCCGCCGCCGGCTTGTCGCGTCGGCCACATGCGTAGCATTAACATAGCCGTATCACGCCGAGTTCTTATCGAAGACTGAGATAATATATTTATCTTAACAGCTCACTTCGCGCTCTCTCTCGTCTGTGATCACCACATCCACCAAAACTCCCACTGTACCAATTACACTCCTACAATTGGGATGGTGCGCTATGGGTCGAGTTGTGAGGCATTGATTTTCCACAACTTGAGATGTGGCTATGTGGAATACATATATAACACGGAATTCAGCCTCGCGATTGTCTATTCTCCACTATCACTTTGCAGCCATTCACCAGCAACTTGTGCCCAACTCTCTGATGCAAACATGTCTTCTATTCTTTCGAAGTCATTCGAGATCCCAAAGGTAGATTTCTTTTCCCATCAGTAATTTCCATCTAGCTTTAAGATCGCCGCGGTGCCACATCCCATGAGACCATGACCCTTCAAGCTCGTCCGTCCCAAAATCCAGCCTCATGTTCAGTGCTATGGATATGCGGTCACTCCTGACTATCTTATCCAGTTTACGGAACAACACTGACCAGAAGCGTTGATTGGTTGCGATGACAAAGGATACGACGAGCTTACCATGACGCGAGCGTTCGAGCTCATTCAAGATTGGGTGGGCATGCATGGTTTAGCACGCAAAGATTGTTTCAATCCCAAGGGCCGCTCAGTGCCTCCGGAGTGGTTCGTTCGTCATATCAATCCAGACGACGGACCAGAAGACATTGAAACAGTTCACGTACTTGCTGTGTGCTCTGACCAAGAAAACGACTTTGAATAGCGGCCTCCGCAGAAAAGGGTGGACTTGCTGACAGATTTGGTCGGGCATTCACCGCGTTGATGGGTGAGTTATGGGTGTGCAGATTGAGGGCGAGTGGGTTGGAAAGAGTTGCGTCGTTCAGCTTCCTACAATTGTGCACTGTACTTGAGATCCAAAGCTCTGTATAATCATTGATGAAGACAACGAGCCGAGAATATTGGAGTTGAAACCGTTCGTGTGCTTGTTGTGTGCTTGGACGAAGAAGACGTTCAAGAGCGTCTTACGCAGGAAAAGACGGACTTCATGTCAGTGGATGAAAAAGTGAGAAACGGTCGGTATGTGTGCGGAATAAGAGTAGCTGAGTCTTTTAGCTTTCTTGAACTATGCTTCAGGCATATGCGTATAGGACTGTATTAGACGGAACGACATTGCGCGCAACTTAGCCCTGAGTAAGCTATACCACCGTGACGAATTGGCGAAGGGAACATGTTTGCGCGTGTTTGACAACACCTTGCGGATTCAACATATGCAAACTGAACTCAACTCACATCATCCGCCTCCAGACTCTTTGTTTTTTTATCTTCATAATAAGGCTCGGGCTGCTGTCACAAGCTCATCGACATCTGATGTGGCTCGGAATCGCTTTGTTTGTAATAAAGCTTTTCATGGTTTACTACTGCACCTCAACAAGAGCTTCTAAGTTCCCGGTCTTTCAGCGTCAAAATTCACCGAGATTCTTTCGCAGTCTCTCGGAAGTCGAGTCTCTCTCTTTCCTCCTTTCTCTATGTCCCTTGCAATTTGCTGGTACCACCGACACCTCAATCAACGCACCACTGTGTACAGGCACCGCATTGCTCATTGCAGTTCCTGAAGTGGTTTTTCTGGTGCAATATTGAATAATCCCGCCTCGTGTCGCGTGCATACATATATGTGTACGCGGGTCGGGGTAGTGTGTGGGATGGATATGATTACATGCTGTAGATAGGCGAAATTCCGCGTGGCTTGTCACTAGCTCTGAATGCATGTTTATTTACTCCAGGGGTACGAGCTCCGTTCGTCCATGTCTAGGCCCCAGGATGCGTGCTGTATCGCTCATTTTATTGTGCGCTGTGCTGCGTGAGTATAGTGTTCCATACTACTCGTGACGATCACAGATTTGCAGTAGACTTCTCATAGGCATTGGGTTCACCATGTTGAACTAGCGACCATCAATGAGACGCGCTGCGACCGCGTTCAAACTTCAGCGGCAGCCGCTGCTATATGTCTGCCCCCGTCGATCTAGATCGATTGTCTCGACCAGCTGGCTTATGGTCAGTCAATTCTCCCGCCATCGCTCGTGCCTGCGTGCTCCTTCCTCGTCCACCTCTTACGTATTTTACCACAACGTCCGTATGATCAATGTTGGTTTGTACAGGACATACCCTGATTGGCCTGTCTTCCTATTTGCAATTGTCTAATCGAAGCACGTCTTCCTCCTATTTAATTAGTCTACAGATCAATTCCGCCACACTTGTTGGAACACCTGCTGTTCTAGCCCAAGCAGCTTATCTCTATAAAAGACAACTTCACGCCATCGATCTCCATCGATAAAAGTATCATTAATTTCCCCCTCCAATATTTACCCTTGCTCTCACTTACCCCGTTCATTTGAATTCCCCTCTTTTCTTCATTGGTTGCCCCCTAACCATACCACGGAGGCATAACGCTACCCTTGTCAACGTTCCTGCGTTACCGTCATATTCGCGAGACTCTCCTCCTGTTCTCCACTTTTTCACCAAAATACCAACCGGTCCGTACTCCAGAACCATCATTTCCCTCCTCCGAGTCAACCTCCGTAACCACCGCTCTCAAGCCTGGGCTGCCAGTTCGGACCACAAATCATCAATTGACCTATGTACCAAGATCACGATATCGATGCACCCCCGCACCCGCCCATCGCTCAACATACATAGCCGTTATATACATACCTAGTCATTTCAGCGCGGCGCACGCTCTCATAACCCTATTTCGTCCTTCGGATTCCTACAGCCCATCCAGATTCCAAATGGACTTTACGATATCTCCGATCTTCCTGTGATAAACGATCTTCTTCCTTGCCTTATATAAACGCCCGCCCATACATATGCATAGAACCACGCTGATCGGCGCGCTCCACTTTCATGACTTATCGTATTTTGGAGTGGGTGTGAGGGAGGAGCCTGGAGCCTATTTAGACCGAGTGCAAATTGCTCTTTGCCAGCTGTATTGATATCTTGTGCCTTGACTTTTTCCTCCTCTACGTACTACTTCAGGAATTAAATTGGTGGGTACTGCCCCCTCTATCATCGACAGTTTCCTAACATCTGACTATCCGTACGTTCCTGTCAGGACCGTCGAGCATATCAGAATCACTCGTTCTTAAACATTCCTTCCGGATGTACGCTTTATCTTTGTCTTTGAGACTCGCTTGATCTGCATCTAGATAGAGGTGAGCGTTTTTATTCCCTGTGGTTTAATGTTAGACTTTCGGAGATCTACAAAATTTCACCCTCGCCTCCAGTTGTGCGTTTCCTCTCGCTCTCACCCACGATCTACCCTGTTAGACGCATCAAGCATCCCGACTTGAAGATTCTCCACACCTTATCCGGACCCATGCACGTTCGTGATAGTGCATATACTCGACTCGTAAGTCTTTGAAATTCACGCTCCACTCGATGCTATTGATTGAAATTGTGCTTGACCCCAGACGATCGCCATCATACTGTGGCGCTCTGACGTCGATCAGCAATTGGCTATTTCCTGCCAGGAACATCCACGACGAAAGCCAACCTGGATATCCGACGATCTGATGACCGATATTCCGCCATACTAATCTTTGTCAGTAATCCTCCAGGATATCGACAGTCTACTTCTGTCTTCACCGATTATTTCATCATTTCTTCTTCCCCGCAGTCCGTACGGGTGATAAGGTCAGAAGCGTTATCAACCATCTGGTCTTTCACAGATTACTGTCATTTCTTCTTCTTTATGCCCAGATAGGTGGTAGTTCGGGTCTGCAGTGTGATCGCAGAGATTCGGGCTATCACGAATCACGGCCACTTCTTCTTCTCTACGCCCAGACAGATTATCTCAGGAATTCTTGTCTATCATCCTACTCCAGGCAACATTGGTCAATATTCATGTGCGTATGTTATAATATCGTGGTTTATGTTTTTTTTGACAGCCGTGCGTTACTTCTCATTTATCCCCGGACAGATCATAAGAGCATAGCGCTTGGATACAGACCTGTGCTTTCACGAATCGTGTTCATGCCCAGACAGATGATGGCTCTACGTTCCCTGTGCTGTGGAATTCTTGGGTCACCAGCTGTCTGGGCTTCGACACACTACTCCAGGCTCTGATCCACAGTACTTGATGGGCGTATGTCAGAATATTGTTGTCTATGCTTTTTCTGACAGCCGCGCTAGGTCTGTGTTTCATGGGCCCTGATAATGCTCGAATGCAAACCGACGCACGATTTTGGCGATGTTCCTGTGGTGGTAGTACGCTACTCCAGGGTGACTCTAATCAATGTATGTATGCTGGAGTCTCTTGTCTCGTCATCCCTTTTCCTTCTCCGAGGCCCAAGTAGTCTCATAGTCCTCTCGCACTGTCAGCTATTTGAGCGTCCGCGAAGGGCAGACTTTTCTTCATCTTCGTGTTCGGGCAGATGATGGGTCATTTGTGCTGCTCTCGTAGAACTCCTGATCTGTCAGTTGTCTGAGCATTGACAAATCATAAGGGAGTACTACAGGTTGCATGGCGCTGCTCTGGGATGACTTTGATCGATATTAATGTGCGTGTTATAATCTCGTGGTTGATGCCTTTTTGACAACCATGCTAATAGGTCTTGGTTACAACGAATCGTAAGGGCCTAATAGTGCTTGAGGGCAAACAAACGCACGATTTTTGGTAATGTTCTAGTCGCACGGGATACGCTACTCCAGGGCGACTCTAACCAATGTACGTATCTTAGAATCTCGGGATCTCGTCGTCGATGTTTACTTTCACTATCTGCTTCATGTTCTGAAGGTCATGTTCCATCTACATCTCTGCCTCGTCCAAGTTCATGGGAACTCAGACTGGAATCCTCACCAGGAAGGCAGGTCATCGTTTTGAGGTTGTCTAGCTTTACTTGTTGATGCGATAATCTGCAGTAACCATTGATTCCGGATGAAGTTAATTTACTTACGATAATGTCATCTTTGGTCATTGTACGTGTTCAACATCCACCAGAGGCTTGCGGGAGAACTTCCGACAAACTTTGATGACGAATATAGATCCCCTATCTAGGTAACATCCATCCAGCAACTATCCATCCGAGACCCAAACCACTTGATCAGAGGTGTCACCCGTCCCACAGATAGTAATACCTCATATTCCAAGGCTAGGGTAGGTGTCGAGTGTTGTTGATGGCCACGGCGTCGTGCGAGAAGCAAGACTCCTTTCAGTCGTAATACTTCTTCTCTCAGCGTGCAGTGGAAGGAGCCATAGAAGTGGACGTACAGGGAACATCACCCCCTACACAAGCATGGAAACTACACGTGTCATCCAATCTCTGGTACGTCGTGTCCAGAAGATGTCGGAAACCTGACAAAAACGCAGAAAACCCGCCATCTGCAGAAACTTGTGCCAGAAATGTTGCGGAGAAGTACCCTGCGTCTAAATTAGGCACAAAAAACTTCCGCCGCGTTTCCGTCATTGGAAATTTTGGTCACGAGGAAGAAGATCTACATCTTTGCACGCTGGCGAAAAGTCCTGTGATGTCTCTATACTACCTAGTAGGATTGGCTTATTCAAAGCCAGGATCATATTTAAGCTGACCACGCAGATGATGATACAAAGCCTTCCGTGCTCAGGGCCTTTGTGTGAGATTCGCTCTCTGGTGAGCGACATACACACTCTGTTTTCCGATGGCCGCCAAATTGGAGAAGGAACTCCAAGAATTTATTCAGTATCGCAATGCCTACTTCCTGGCTTTCTCAGCGGCAACAGGATTCCTTTCCTTTGGCTGGGAGGGCGGTATGATGGGCGGTATTCTTGCGTTACCATCATTTCAAAAATATTTTGGTTTGCTCTCGGAATCAGCTTCTGTGCGCGCCACCTTGAGCGGAAATATTGCTGCGACCACGCTAGCAGGAGCCTTGTGAGTACATCTTTCAGTTTGAACCCTTACACAGTTAACGTCACGTCATCAGGTTTGGGTCATTATCTTCAAGCTACTTTTCAAGCCGATTTGGGCGGAAGCCCACCCTGTTAGCTTCAGCAGTTATCTCCATCGTTGGAAGCACCATTCAGGCAACAGTCGGAATCGGAATGTCCCCACATGTCAGATTGCAAGTCTTGTACTTCTCTCGTGTCTTCTGTGGTGTTGGTATTGGTTCAGCAGCAGCTGTGATATCGACATACATACCCGAATGTGCCCCGAGAACCATACGGGGTCGATGTCAGGGCAGCATAGCAGTTGCAGCCGCACTTGGAAATATGCTGGCTTGTGGGTGTCACTAGCAGACCTGTGGGATTTTGCCTGACATAGAGAGTGCATAGATTGGGTCAACTACAGCGCTTTGCTCAACATCTCACCAGGGCAAATGCAGTGGCGCTTGCCATTCATTGCCCACATTATACCTGGGGCGCTCTTCCTGTTTCTTATGCTTTTCCAACCCGAGTCTCCCCGTTGGCTTGTCGAACGTGGCCGCTATGAGGAAGCAGCTGCAGTCCTCGCATATATTGCAAGGAAGGATCCGTCTGACGATGCTGTCGTGCTGACTCTCAGCGAGATCCGTGCCGATTTCGTCGGGAGGCACAATCTTTCGCTGCTCGCACAAATCCGTAAGATGGGAGAATCGAAAACCATAGCTTTGCGTTGCATCATCCCTTCTCTCGCCATCTTATTCCAGCAGTGGTGCGGCTCGTTCGCGATTAATTTCTACACCCCTCAAATATTCGCCAGCCTCGGTTTATCACCCACCCTCACGCTATTTACTACCGGCATATTGGGTGTCGTAAAATTCATCGTCGTATGCATAACCTTTACCTTCATCATCGACAACTGGGGTCGGAAGAAACCCCTTATATATGGTGGCATAGCGCAGGGCTTGATGATGCTTTGGATTGGTGGCTACGCTGGTGCCCACCACGACCAGCGCGTTGTGCCAGCAACGTACATTTCTGTTGTCGCCATATTTCTCTACAGCATCTCCTTTGGCTTAGGCTGGGGACTCGCTCCCCATGTCCTCAGCTCTGAAGTCGCCCCAGGCCATCTCCGTACAGTCGTCATGTCCCTTGCATCTGCAATAAACTGGCTGTTCGCATATGTCCTCGCCGACATCACGCCCATCATGCTCGAACGCATAACCTATGGAACGTACCTCGTGTTTGGCGTCATTTCATTTATAATGGCGGCATGGGTGTATGTCTTCATACCCGAGACGAATGGGTACCCGCTGGAAGATATTAAATATCTGTTCGAGAAGGACATCATTGTTCGCTCGCTAGAAGATGCACCTGGGGGTTGGATTTTCCTTGGGAAGCGTCGCGCCACCACCGTGCACGAACTGAAAGCCATGAATGCATGTTCAACAGATAGTTCTAAGGAGGTTTGGAAGGAGTTTATGTCGCATTCGCGCGAGGAGTCAGCGCAGGGCCATTCGCTGAGTTCACAGAAGCCGGATGACCACATCATATGAATGCTGCATGTTTTGAAGGTTACATAAATATCTCTGTGCAAGTGTATCTTTCTTGTTGTTACGTCGTGTTACACATATATGTCGATGAGTATGTATACGTATTAGTTATCCAGCTTGACTGCCGATGACCAGGTAAATTCCCTGGTAACCTTGGTAGACGCCTTTAACACTGGATATCGAGGGAGAACTTCCAACATAAATTAATGGCTAACAAGGACTGCGAAAGCGTTCGAAAATCCCCCCCTATGCCTCGCCAGTAACCAAAGCCGCTTTATGCGCCTGTTTGCAGGCAGGCTTTCCGTTGAGATGCCTCTTCAAAGCATCCGGTCGAGTAAACGTGTGTTGGCAACCCAAGCACGTGTATTCGGGAGGACAATGTCTAAGGGACTGCCGGTGACGTGCAAGATCGGTGATACTGTAACACACCTGGCTGCAACCGTCGAGTAAGCAGGGGAATAATGTTTGTTTTGGGCCAGCGGCGCTCCTTCCTCCCGATGCTGATGGCTGATATTCAGCATCATCTGATCCGCGAGTAGGCGTGAAAGTGTTGCATGAGGAATATGACTTGCGGGTTATGGCTGTCTGCTCGTCACTGAGGCATTTTTGCTCTTTACTGGTACGCTGGGGCGGAGCTGAGGCATTGCGTGTTCTCTTTGTGACTGTAGCCCGGATGCCGGGATCGCGGTCATTCGAAATAGAGGTTTGAGTGCGTGGAGGGGGAAGGCTAAAGGGTTCCGAGACATGCCGCTGGGTAGATTGAGGTAAGGCAGTGTTGTGACCACCAGAACAACAGGAAGACTGTCTTCGGCCCGATATCAAATACACCGGGACATAAATATTATCATGTCCGTCATCACCCTCCACATCGGATGTAAGAGAAGAGGCAAGTTTATCTTCATCATCAGACCAATACACGGGACTGAGAGAAGAAGCCGGAAGTGTTGGTAAATCCTGTTTGAAGCTATGCGACTGCCATGTCATTGTATCCTCTGTCGAGTAACCGCAGTCATCCAGTTCGTCGTCGGCATCAGATGGATGATCATCGAATTGGGTGCCAATTGGTCCGTCAATGGCCAAGTTATTGCTTCCCAGAATGAATAAGGATGCAGACGCTGATTGGAGCGCTGGATCCTCCCCATAATCCATGGATGGGATGTAGGGGACCATGGTGTTGACCTCACTTGGTCTTACAGGCACGGCACCACGGCTCTCCTCATAAGACGAACGATGAGGGCGATAGCCAGGCCTGTCCCATGTTATTCCCATATCACAAGGTGAATTTTCCATCACGCTAGCGAAGCAACGGGGTCGTTCCCGGCCAAAACCCTGAGGATGTGGATAATGGCGCAAGTCCCAGGCACGAGCCACAGCGTCGTAAAGCTGCGAATATGAGGTCACCATTCGTGACACATAGATAATACAGCTTACATTGTCCGAGGGCTTGAAGGATGCTAGCTCTTTATCCATGGTAGAAACATCAAAGTAGTTATGCAAGGTGCAACTGTACCCGGTTGTGGTGACCTGACAGGCGTAGTGAATATTCTCTTTCGCAGATGCAAATGGCACCATCGCGGAGGTCGAGGAAAGCTATATGAGTATTGCAGAGATGTATGTTGTTCAAGTTGGAGCAGGATGAATGCGAAAGATGTGAATTTATACGTCAGTCTGTGCCAAGTTCCAACTTACAATGATCCTTTCAAGTCTTTCACAGATCCTAAGTCCTGACACGAGGGAAGTATGAGAAGCACTATTAGCACAGAGACATCCACCGCAGCGCACTTGAACAAAGGAAGCCTCACAAAAAGGTTGCCAAAAATGTCCCTTTATTTCGGAAAGTTGAATCGAAGTTGACCATCGATTTACTTCGAAGTTTGAACCCAGTCACGGTGTTACACATGCACCCCTCACTGGTCCCCCGCAGTCAGACCAAAGGAAGACAGTCGTTCCTTCTTTTTCAAGATCGCCCGCGTCTGCCAACCATCCAGTGTCCACAGCGGTCCCGAACAAATGACTATTTTGTGATAGGTCGAGGAAGAATCGACCCAGATGACAACTCGATGGCAACAGTTGGAGTAGGAACTCCCCGGTATAGTGGACTGCGTACTACCCTCGCTCTCTGACAGGCGGCATGAAGTCTTTGCGCCCCACGCCAACAGTTGGGTAACTCGGATCATACCGAGTACACATGTCATCGATGCTTCCAGCTCTCTTCGCGACCCTCGGGCGAGTTTGAAATTGTGCCTGAAGACTTTACTCCTTTTTCACTATCTATGGAGCGTACCGCAGTCCGTCTGCGGAAGAATAAATGGTTCATGTCCTGAGCTGTGTAATTTGTTCTCCTTCGAGATTTGGTGGAGAGGGCAACTAGGCGATGAGCGCGAGAAGGTAGTCAGTGTTACAAGTGAGTTGGAATATGGCCCGTTAGGATATTGCATACTCACGGACATCAACACTTAGATTAGTAGTCCCTGACGAGGTGATTCCTACCGAGAGAGCCACATATTCAAAGTATGTGGTGCCAGTGATTCTGAGCGTGACGTAAGCGACGCGACTGGCCCATCTAAGATTCTAAATGCACTCGCTCAGCAGACATTGGGCCAGGACCAGAACAACAAATTAGCAACACCAGGACTCGTGATACGCGCGTACACTGGCGTGCCGTTAATGACATCCAATTTGATATTGTGCAGGTCGTCGCTCTTCAAAGACTCGACTGCGCGGTCACCCGCTCCATATAAGTATTTTCTTTCCGAGTGCTGTGCCTTGCAAGAACTAAAACATTCATCATGCAAAGCCAAAGACCGAACTTCCGAAGCACTTGCCTCTTCTGTCACGTCGCTTGCCAAATGTCCTTATAAATTTATTTCGCTATCACCCAATGGTCCGTGCGCACTCAGCCCAGTATATAACCCAACCACTTACGATTAGAATTCCTCATACTTACCTTGATGGCACGAGCCTCTTCATGTCTCAGGTCCGTGGGCCGTTGGGACCCTTCATAGCACGGCGACCCTGTCCTCAGAGGGTGTCTTCAGTTTGTGTGAGCTTCGGCTCATGCACTGTCTCAATATTTTCCTATCCCACCACGGCCACTCTGGCTGGGTGGGCCGTCTTTTTTTGCTGGTTGGGTGTCCTAACCCTAACCCTAGCGATCGGAAATGGAAAAAACCGAGTTTGATTTGCCAAAGCCCAACGATCGGATCCGATCGTGTGTCGAACCTCTGAAGGACAATGGTTTACAACCCGTTAGCCTCAATCCACCTGCTGAAAGCTCACTTGAACAGATGGATCTTAGCTCGTTTATAAGGTAGAAACCTGGGCCTGTTTAAAATTCTTACTAAAAATGCAGCATATTCTTCAGAAGTGAATTCGCGAATCTAGCAACTAAGATATTTACCGTCTTTGTGAAATTATTCCCCAGGAACTAAATGACCTAATCTCCAGGCGTACCCATCTCATCTCCAAACAGTCCAGGAACACGGAACCTAAAGAGAAGGAAGTTGCGCTACAACGATCTGCCCGAGGCTAATGAAGTGTCATGTCCAGTTGCTGATGGATCCCATGTGATGCGATTGCGTAAATCCTGTCAAGCTTCAAGCGATAGGTTCATTGATAACCGTCATACCGGTGGTGGGCTGTGGTGGGACGAGTGCGCCTCTTGATGTCGTCCTGGACTAGCTCCAAATGCCATTGATGCAATAGATGTTGGATGATAGACGATACCCAGCTTTGGAGGCCCATCTGAAAGCAAACCGCTTAGTAGCATTCGAGCGCTCCTCTTGGAATCATGTGCAAGGGACATGCCGTTTTTCATCTCCACCGAGTCCACATTTCGACCGATCACGAGGCGTCTCTTCAGCTCAGGAAGGTTTCATCCGTTCAAGTTAACTTCGCAGTCTAAAACCCCGGTCAGGAACCGCTACCCACACCGAGGTTGACTAGAGTTGACAAGTCATCTCCTGATTACGATATCTATGACCTGTCACGGCGTTGTTTAGCAATTCCGCAAATCCGCTACCAGGGCCTACGACGATTAGGATGCTACGTCATGATTGTGCGTCGAGTTTTTGGTTCCTTGCACGTCGCTGCACCAACGATGGATGTGGTGTATGGAGAAAGCGTGCCATTGTTAAGAAAGGCCTTGGTAATAAATAAATTGGTCGCCTACGCATAGGGAATCCCCTGAAAATCATCATTGATCCGAGTCCACTGCTTCTACCGCTTATTTCTGCTCTCGCACCTTCTCGCACTCGCCAGCGTTGCCCCTGTTTCCAGGGGCAGAAGGACCTTGTCCCAATTCAACGAAGAAGCATCATCCACGGTCCAGTACTGCGAGTACTATTATTATTCCCAGCGTAAAAAGGTCTAGTGCCTGGAACCCTATCCCTCTAGTCCACCAACGGCACCGATATTGCAGCGCTCTAACTCTGCGCGCAGGCTTAGAGATGATTTGTACTAGGTATTCATGTCACCCAGTACCCTTTCCCACAAACCCCGAATTACCCAAAACGAATTGCCCAAAACGAGCGATGGTAGTATTCGCAGCAGTGAACCAATGCCCTTAATCCCAGTTATTTCATTGATGGGAGGTGACATCTCTGATCAAGACTGCGCCGCTGAATGCCGCTGGTCGTCGAATGCCTTTTACAAGTCAGCCTGGCTTGCTCATCTCACGGCTGACGCTTGACGCGTCCCGTACCCCGAGCTCCGAGAACCTTTACTGACTCAGACTTACGACTAGGCTGACTCAACATATGCTGTTTGGAATCTGGGTCTTCTACTGGGGTTCCATTGTTAGCGGAGCGGTGACCAGAGCTCAGGTCGAATATTCTTATTATAGAGGCAGTGCGGTACCCGAGCTTCTTTGAGAGTTCCTGCAGAGACCTTCAATATTACGTTCTTACATCGAGCGACCCCCCCTTTCCGGTACTTTCTTTGAATCCCGACTCGGCGCATACTGGTTAGCACAGCGTCCCACAGCGTACACAGGAACGTCGGCCGGTGGCAGTCAACAATGCAATTGATCCTTCTCGTGTTCTACGTTCGAAAACAACAATGCCTATCACATGCGGTTCCGAGCACGTCTTCCAGGAATGCAGAAACGCGATATATGAATAAGAATCACCCTCGAAGAAGCGCGTGATCAGCACTTGCAAGGCACGTTGCAGAGCGCCAAGGATGGTTCCATTAAACACTCGCACACCAAGAATTACATACCAAGTCACCGCTGGTGGTTGCTTAGAGCGAGTCGCTATGTGGGCTAAAATACCCGTCCCCCACTGTCCAGTTTTAGAGATTTGGAATGATTCCTTGATTAGCAACGCTAGCGTAACAACCGTAAGATGACACCCTTCCATCCGTGTAACTTATCCTGTGCAACCATCATCCTCGATAGCCGCCGGGGATCGAAGGCCTACTCATTAGATGCGGCCAAGGTCCGGATAACCCCTGATAACTTCCCCAGCCATTCAGAAGAATGCGTCGATCCTACCACTTGTAGGGGACATGGTCAGTACTGCCTTGCAATGCACGATTGAATGGCACTCCGGAAATAGGGTCGCGTGCCATCACGTGTACACCACAAAGGATTTACTATTTCCAGAACTATTGTGCGCGCTGTGGCCATATTTTCTCTCTGATTTTCTCGCGATCGTTGATGAAAGAGGCGGTGCATCAATGATCAGGTATAAATTACTGTATACGGATGTATACAGGAATTTCATTGAACAAAGTCTTGGCTGGGTTACAGAACGGGGCTGTGTATTGTGTATGCGTAATGTGCAGCCAGGTATGTTATCCCGAAGCCGCAGGTTGCCTTCGCAAACACTGTCCTTCCGACGAACGTGCACATTCACTTCGTCGAACGGCAAGTACCGTGGAAAAGTACGGCTGCTAGTAGTACCCGAGGGTGATTCACGCTTTTGACCGGGGGAGACACGACTGGTAACGTTGTGGACTCTATAGACATACCGCATCGAGTTTGGATGAGCGTTGCGGAATAAGCATTCAGAAAGCGGCGTTCAATCGCGAGCGTAACTTTCGCGGGTAGCTCGATCAAAACTTGATGGATGTGCGTAAAGCACTGAGTCGAGGTAGATTTCATAATGCAAGGCAGTGGGCACCATGTGGTCGCAATACGAAAATGTCTGAAAAAGGAGTTTAGCTGTCTGAATGACCAGGATCGACAGGAGAGTGGCGTTCCGATGCTACTATGATGTGATTGAAATCCGAGTCGGCGTCGGGTGACTGCTAGGGTTATCCTCGGTCGTTCCGCTGTCACCCTCTGGCAGGTATTTGAGGAATGGACCACGCAAGGACTAGTCTATGAAGGACTGAAATGAAATTTAACAGCTACTACACATACAGTCATCAGAATTCGCAGCGGCCCATCGCGATGGAATCGGAAAAGTACCAATAAAACGTTCAAAAAGGACTGATAGACTTTGAGTTATGAATACCTCGATGTATTAAGAGATCAAGGAGAATGAAATGGAATATTCCAGCGAGATGTAAAGAGTTTGTGGTGGCCGCGGCGTTTACCAAATAGTCGTAGTGACATTGATGTAGGGAGCATTAAACATAATGCATAAAGGATTGACAGGACAACATCTGTCAGTGCAAGCGAGGTTGCACATGCTCGACGGCGCCCAATATACAATTTATGTAATTGTGGAGACGACCGCATTGGAAGACAGATGACAAAATTGTGGCCTTTGGGACCGTGCGCTATCATGCGCCGATATGATTAATAGCCGACGTGGAAGCGTCTAAGTAAACATTGTGATCGGCATCTTGAGATGTCAACTTGGCGAGATGAATGAATCAGCAGGAGCATAACGGGATGGATTTGAGGGACGCTGGGAGGTAGAAGATGCGACGGCAACGCAATATCATCGAATGAGGATGGGTCGGATGAGATGGGAAGCATGGGGACAACCAATCGGAAATTGCCGAAGCGAAAGATTGATTCGATAGATGGGACATGATGCCATGATGCGGATTCAACAGGTTCGCATGATGCGGGATTTCTGGAGATGCTCGAGCAAGAAAGAAAGGCCCGCTATTTTCGGTAGGCGTCAGATGTTATCGCTCACTGAGAAGTTGTCAAATTAACGCCTCAGCGATGATGTCGAGGTTATATCAGCAATGTACCCCGACTTGGAATTTTAATAGGAAAAGTTTCATTCACGGTCTGGAAGGGGGAGAACAATAAATTCCATGGACAGATTGAGAGAATATTACGGCATTGGTGCCGCGGCCGGAACCTTGGTCTAACGGGACATGGATGAAGCCGAGGGTGAACGTGTTTTGAGGGTTATCACAAAGAAACGAAATAGAAAATGTCAGAGAGGAATATAGAAAAAAGATAAACTAAGTAAGGAGTAAAGTAGTTAAGTCATACCTGGGACTACCAATTGAATAAGCGGAGGTTAAAAAGGTCAGGCACTGCTGATGCAATAAATGTATTGGTACAAGTAATTCTCACAAAACTCTTGCTCCCCCTCTAACAAGCGTCAATTATCTTTCTTATTCCTATCCTCCTCATCCTTCAACTCTTTATATTATTTTTGCTGTCCTTTCAACTCACATTGAATCAGCGTCTTTACTGCACAGCAAATCGGACTCCCCGATCTACAAACTTTGTCTTTGCACAATTATCCCCTACGCAACAACCAACTTCTTCAGATGGCGCTTCTTCGTTCAGAATCAAACCCATATCTCAATGAGCTCGATTTTCACTCTACAAGTCCTTCAAACAAGCCTTTGAATCTACCTGCAAATTCTCCTTTCGATTCTTACGAGTTCGGTCATCTATCTCCACCATTTCCTCATACTCCATCATACAATGGATCCTATCAGAATTCTCCCTACTCTGGTCATTCAGAACTTAGTTACGATCCAGATGGTCCAGAGGCATTTGGTCTTTTTCAAGATGATAGAAATAATCTCGCTTCTCGCGACGAATATGACCCCTCCGAGTATGATCCACCCAACTCTTCCGGTTTGCTTATGTTTCAAGGCGAATACATGTCTGACCTTGATAACAATCCCCCCAATATATCACTTTCCGTGACTCATGCTCCATTCGATAACCGCTCTCCAAACTCCTTCGATCATAGTTCTCCTTCTAGCAATGGAGGAGGGGATGAACCGCGCAGTCGTGCTTCTTCTGTATCATCGAACCCTCAAATTCCCACGTCCTCTCCGCGTCTCGATATGGCTCATTCATTCGAAAATCTTCATTTTGAGTCACCCCACTGGCAGCCCCGAAAACTTCCCGGTGATCGCTCCATGTCTCCCCCAAGAAAGCCTCAGTCTCCACCTCAACTCTTGATTCCTGATAGCAGTCCAGCTTCTCGTTCATTGTTCCCCCAGGAACCTCCAAGGATCAATGCTCCAGACGGTGATGGCGGTTTTGCATCTAGCGGACCCCAATTACACATTGTCCCTGCTACCCCCATAAGCGGCGGGGGAGCGGCTTCACAAGCCGTCCCATTTCAGTCCACCCTGAAAACTCTCCATCAAGGCAAGTTGACTCCGTGATAGATCTTGTTTATTTCGGGAAACACTCATTTACCTTTTTTTATATTTTTGTTTGCGTCTTACGTCCGTATAGGATCAACACAAAAAGCACCACAGCAACAGGTTGCGACCCCCCCATGGGATCAGCAACAAATTCAGCATACCGAGGTACCTCAACCGCTCGGGGTGCCACAATTCCATGAACAGGGTGCACAGCAATTTACGCACAGCCACGCTTCTCATACTCAGGGGCTGTCCACTCTCGGTCCCCATCCAGATCCTACAAATACCAGCTTCCTATTCCCGGGTCCCAACCCCCGCACTCGTAGTAAATCCGATACTTCATCTTCTTTACGACCATCATTCTGGGATCCTTCTCTCATGACTCACGAGCAACTTAGAGCCATCAGCAGTTCAGCTCTTGACGACAACGGCACTGTCAACCTCAGTGACGTCCTTCCGCAGCACCAACACCAATCACAGCATCCCTCCAGCGCGGGTCCAAACCAGTCATCGTTCAACAACTCTCCCCATACCCAGCAGTATAACTTCGGCGCTGCCAACGCCACCTCCAACATGAACTATCTCACCCCCGATGCCATGGCAGCTAACCTGCGCCGATCCAAGTCTGATAGCGGGCGCCCAACTCACAATCGCCTCTCGCGTTCTGAGGACATCTCCCATTCCTCTCCCCTCCTCTTCCCTCCCTCATCCCACACGGATCTCATCAACCGTCAGTACCTCTACCCCCAAGAGACCGTGCAATCCATCCGCATGCACAACCGTCGTGCGTCGTCGGGCTCACGCGGTGGGGGTGACGGTAGCTGGAGTGGAGTGTCATCTAACCGCCCAAGTCCATACCCCAGTCCATCAGCCAGCCCACGTGTGCGATACGAGGATCTACCCAGCGTGTCCCTCGCTGGACGTTCTCCATCCATGCTTCGTCCAGATGCTGCCCAAGCAACCATCACGAGCATCGCTGTCACGAAGCAGACTGTGACTAGTGAGCGCACTGCTGGGGCCAGTCACCGGCGCCGCAAGCAGGATGCCAACTTCCTGTGCCCAGTGCCTGGGTGTGGCAGCACGTTTACGAGGAGCTTTAATTTGAAAGGTGATTAAACTTCATATCGGCTCATGCATGATACTGATGCATCTCCTTAAGGCCATATGCGTTCTCACAACGAAGAGCGACCATTCCAGTGCAAGTGGCCGGGATGCGGTAAAGGGTTTGCAAGGCAGCACGATTGCAAGCGACATGAACAGCTTCATTCGAACTATCGTCCTTTCACGTGCGATGGTTGCAATAAGACCTTTGCGCGGATGGATGCCCTGAACAGACATTGTAAGTGCTGTGCCTTCTGCATGCAACATACATCGCTGATCGAATGTTGTATAGTACGTTCTGAAGGCGGTGCTGACTGTCAGAGAATTCTCGACGCTGCAAAGCAAGAGCCTGACCGTGGCCCAGTACCCAAGACCGAGGAAAGTGGGTGGACTAGCATGAGCGTCATGGTATAATGCTCGCTTCCATCTTCACCTTCTTGATTCGCAGCAATCCTTCTAATGTCTGGCACAATGTGTCTAATCTACGTTCCATCTACATTCATCAAGACTGCCTACGATACTCCTGGGACGCTCTGCGGTTTCTCATTGATGAAAGATTTTGCTATACTACCCCTTCGTCTTTTCGTCTCGTCATTTATCATGTTATTGATGCAACTTCGTATGCTAGTCATCGTACCTAAGTATCATTGTAGTGTGCCTGCCCCCGCTCTACCGTTATTATTCGTCGCCGATCCTCATCTCTTGTAGCGTAGTCATCGTTAGATATCGGCGGACGTCGGTTCTGATTATCATGTCGTATATTTATACAATGGAACCAAAAATTCAATGATCATCTCGCTCGAGCTACAGCATGCTCCAGGTTTTTTTTCATTATGGTGACGTCTACCACAGGAAGAGGCTGTACATACCTGCCTTAGCTTAGTTAGCATGAGCACCGCCTCGCCCGATCAAATAGCAATGACAAAGTTCTAACGGATACCCGAGGGCTTGCACTGCCCCGACGAAGACGCACTTTAACAAACGAGTTTCAACTTGAACCTTCTTCGTCCTTCTTCGCAAGATGGAAAACACGCATATGGAGCTGTGCGAGCACCGTTTAACTCGTTCCGCGAAACGGAGAACTAGTATACTAGTGCTGCACAGCCCATGTGGATACAATGTTTCGAGGCACAATCGCGATCCGTGTGGCGCTTTGGTCTACTATGAATGATTGATCATGGTTCTGAATAACCATCGCGGGTTCGCCGTGTTGCGGCATAAAGCCCGCGGCGAGTTGCGGGAGAAGTGTGATGTCGGATCGTATAGCTATGTCAACTCTTCAATTGTACATGCGCGGCGAGTCGGTAGATAGGCCTCCTAAGGGTCTCTCGGTGGGCGTGGTGTGTCTGCTTGTCACATTAGGTTATTGACGAATAGGGATGGCGCGCCTCCGCTATTGCAATTGACCACTGCGCTAATAATACGATATGTACTTGTATTGTTGATCGTCGCGCTTGTGATGGAGCCGCAAACTGTAAATGGACCGATGGTACCTCGGAGTGCGGCCGTTCATGAAACTCTTAGACTGGCGGCGCCGCAGCATCTATTGTAAGTAGTAGCGTCCTATGAGACTAAAATGGTAGTTTGGTAGCTCCTAGGTTACACGGGCGCTCTTCTCTTAACTAATCAGCTGTGTCCCGTGTGTTTTGGTGAATGACAAGTCCAGGGCGCCCGTCATGTTGACATTTCGTTGATGTCGCACACGACGATCTTTTCGGAAGCTGTGGTGTAATGGCTAAAGGTGGTGATGGGAGGTCTTTAGGGATTCCCCAGGCACAGCAAACGGGATAATTGAGGGCGGCATTCTGCGGCAGTCATACCAGAGCCAACTGTCCCCGAACTGAGACTTTGCAACAGTCATAACCTACCGACTGGACGTTTTGGGAGGTGATAGTGACAAATCCCCGAGATGACCCTGGTCTAAATTTTTTCCCGGAACAAAGTCTCAATGACGAAGGGGGTGTGAGCAATTCAAAATACGAGAGAAATTATTGAGGGAAGAGTTGCGACATGAGAAAGTCTGGGCGAGAAGGCCCCTAACTGACCCGCGATGGTGCTCGGGTGACATCCTGACAAGTCGGAGTTAAATATATATCTGCGCGACGTTGACAGCTCGCGGAGCGGTGATGTCGAGATTGCAAAGTCCCTCCCTGAGATTGGAAATGACGACCTGAGTATCATTTTATCCGGGGTATGGTCTCAAATATGAAGTTGGGTGAGTGATTCCAAAAACGAATAAAAATCATGAATACCCTGGAGGGAGCGATTCGACATAAGAAATCTGAACCTGAGGGCTCCCGCGATGGTGAGTGGGCGACATCGGCGTTTAGAGTGCTTTGCTGCGATGTTGACAGCGTACAGAAAAGGTCATGGAGAAATTGACTGACAGGTACACCACTGGCGTTTGTGCCGGAACCGCAAATGCCTAATGGTTTTCGAAGGAGTCTATAATTAAAAGTATATCAACAATCGAAGTCGTAAAGTCGAGGGACAGTAAGATAAGTGCTGGATAACAATCCGAGTTGGTTTATGAGCCACGACATGCATGACAATCAAGTGAATGTCATTGTCACCATTATGCTATCGTTGGGCGTTGCGATAACAAAGCTCGGGGGCCGCATTCTCGACCCATTGACTTGGTGCACAATGATCAATCTCGACCACTGTGGTCCCAACCTGACATAGGAGGTACCGAATTATCGAGCGAGTAGAATATAGAATACCGACCAGATAGCCCCATGGAAATTAAAGAGCCTGCCAGATCGTCTGGGGGGTTACCATGATCGTGAAGATCAAGACGTCTTCAAGCGGAACCGTATTATGCATCGAAATCAAACCGATAGTACCAGAGCTAGCTCAGTGGCTAGACAACCAATGAACTATGAACTAATAAGATTCATGTCGTAGTAATGAAATCAGTCACGTCAAAGAATATGGATTGTCCTGACCTGGGGGTCGACATTGAATAACGTCAACGTATTAACTTCTTGCAGAATACCGGTCGATGACACTAGTACCGTGCGTATATTTCAGTTTGGTAACGGTGGTTGAACAAGTGAAGAGTCCGAACAACCGTGGGGGTGCAGTAGCCCATGTTCTAGAAAGGGCTTGGCGCATAAAGTAAGCATGACTGACCTGAGATATATTAAAGCATGATTGTCTGAGACGCACATTCTCCCTACTTGACGTATGCAACACATATGCAAACATCATTACGATTCACCAAGGAACTAGCTGCCCAGGATAAGGGGTAGCAACGGTTTCTGATTTAGCACGGTGTTGGATGACCGTCAGAAGCCAATTGCGAGATAATGTCGCCCCTGTAGATCATTGAGTCAGGTGGGATTCCTAGTGTGAGCGGCTGAGAGCGCGGCAGTACGGCAGGAACATGAGACTACTTTTATGACGATGATTGGCATCGTGATTGAAGAAACGATTGTCTTCATTGGATGGGACTAGTGAGGCTAATCATAATACCATAACTCACCCTAGTGGTATCCGCGACGTGCGACTGACGCATGCGACAAAGGATGATACCAATAATAATGATAGCTGCCAGTGAGAATTCAACGTCAACCATGAAGTTGAAGGCCATGGGCTGCACCTGCCACGCTATCAAACCACAAAGCAAACCTCACTATCGACGTTGCACTGTTGCAGGTTCGGAGCAACAAAGTGGAATTGAATTATCGGGGCGTTCCGATTCTTCACGATAACGCCTACAGCATTCGGAATTGAGCAGTATAGCGGCCGACATAGGATCAAACCTGCATGCACGATCCATGATGACATCCTATAGTTCATCTTTAAACAACGGGAGCACGTCTGCTTCCGTACTTTTGAACCAAGGCCATTTTTCATCATTCAGTGTACCGCAACTAGCACCTCCAAGGACAACAACATATCAAGCGCCTATCTTCGCATCCTCATCCACTTCTAATCCAACAAATGGCCCACGCGCTTTCAAGGCTCCAGCTCATAAACATGCGCATCATCTGCACTCCATCCCTCCTAGGGAGAAATCTACTCGAACTCTCATAATCGATCATATGTTATGGGTTCATGGCCGGACCCGATTTACCCAGGCCCGTGCTGAGCTCGGAATGACCGACCGAACAGGAGGTCCTTCTTCGTCTAATTACCGTCATCGCGAACGCCCTGAATCTTACGACGAAGATGATGAAGTTTCAAGTGACGGGGAAAATGTTGAAATGCTCAAGGCTAGAGAAGGTGGACCAGGTCATCCTCACAACGAGGATGAGGAAAATCGTCGGCAGAAACAGGACTTGATCCTTGCAAGGACTCTGAGACTTCGTGCTATTGGTCTCGAGAAGGTCGTAACATCAATGCTCGACCAGCCTCCTCCTGTGCACCCTATCCTGGACGAAGATTTGACTACGCCACCCACATCCCCGGAGCGCCCGGGGCTACACCAGTCGCCCCAGCGTACTGTCTCTCACCAGCACACTCTACCGAATGGTGTTCGTTTACGGTTGGCGTTGGGTACTGTCATCAATGATTTATTTGCGCGTCAAGCGCCTACCCCTCTATACCGACATCATCACCATCCTCCACCAATTATTGTTTCTAGTAATGGCTCGGATCAAACGTCATCCAATGGTTTAAGTCCAGGAAGTTCTCCTGCAATGCAAAAGGCGTCACCAGCGTCCGGGAGGGGAAGTAGCACGTCCTCTGCGCCAGGACCTACTGGTAGTCTCCCTCCATCAGTCCTCTTGCTTTCCCAAGTATCAGCTGCGGCCCTGCCTCAAGTGTCACTCTTACCCATGGGTGACTTTCGTGCACTACCTCCCCCGATGCAAGCACCACAAATGGTGCAGTCTCGTGTGAGTACTTAATTTTGAAAATAAGGTATCTACTATTGCTGACTTGGTCTTAAAGAACCGAAGGTCAAAGTTCGCGCCCAACAGCCGTGTATACGCCATGTACAAGGAAGGCGCTGATCCCTCCACCGCCAATTCACCTCCCGGCTTGCGGTGCACACGACACCTTTATACTGCATGCGAAATCTGTGTTGAAGCCAAACAATCTGTCAAGGCACCAGGCGGGTCTGGTCGAGCGCGTGCAACGTCAGCCGCAACCGGCCTCAGAACCTTTGGGGACTGGGAAGGTGGAATAGGCGGGTCAGGTGGAAGTATGGGTGGTAGCGGCGGTGGTATCGCTGGCTGGCAAGATGGCCCCGGCATTGGATCGGGGTTGGCTCAGCCGGGTGTAGATGGCAGCGTGCTGCGCCGGAAGTCGAAGTGGTTCATGCCTGATTCTGAAGGAGAGCAGTCCGACGCTGCAGCTGGGAATACTCGGCTTTCAGAGCTTATTCCACGCTTCCTGAGGCTTTCTGCCCTTGTCGCAATGGAGCTTGGAGAAGAGCTTGGCGACGATGAGTATGAAGGCGACTGGCAAAGATCAGGCATAGAAATGTCTGCCCAAATGCCGTCGTCACCTAGATCCTTATCCCGAAGATCTCAAACCATAGAGGCGCCTCCTTTACGACCTTCACGAGAATGGTACATGCTCCTAGCAGGTTTGCTCGCTCGTGCTACCCTGGAGGGTTACCTCACCGGAGGGTGGTGGGGTCTGGAGGCTGTTGAATGCCTTCTATCAGTTGGCTTGGGCATCGGTGACGATGGGTTTGGCCATCTGGGTCAAGTCGACCAACCGGACGACGCAGATTCTGCATTTGCATGGTTCGAACCAGACGACCTCCCTAGTCTCAAAGAAGCGACAAGAATCATGTTTCCTGCATTGCGAGCTGCACGAAATGGAACTCCCATTCGAAGAGAGGGCGCAGAAGCTGAATTTGAAGCTGAAATGGATGAGCGTCTCAGAAGGGTGAGATTTTACTTCATCTTGGTGAAACGAGTTTCGAAATGATGACTGATGCCCGTTTTCTGCGCTAGTTCTATACGATACCTTCTCTGACGCCAGATCTATCGACACATATGGAAGACTTGGCATGGCACTACCCTGCCGAGCCTGTTGAGAGGGCAGCATTACGCTTCTGTGAAGCAATTGCAAAGTGGCGTGGTAAACCTGAACTTGAAACCGTACGTCCTTTTTCGTGTATCTCAAACACCGTCTGATATCATCTAGTACACAAAGAAACAGTCGAACGATGTAACCGCATCAGGATCCAGTATGACCATCGAGACTCTCGTGCACTCCAATCCAACCAGTCCCACCATGGAAGGGTACTCGGTTCAACCATCGAGGTCCCAAAGGCCTCCCATTGAAAAGTACTTCATCGTACCCCCTTCGTATATAGGAAGAGGCAAGCGCAGAAGGTCGCTTGATGAAGCGGACTCGTCTCACAAGAGAGTTCATGGATGATGTAGCGGACATCTGTATCACAATATCGATCGTCTGCTTCATTTGTTCGCTGTGTCGTGATAATACTTATCCTCGTGTTTGCTTGTACAGTATCGTTATTCCGTCTTGTTATCGTTTATCAGCTCATTTCAGTGGATTCCCTGCAGTATTCCAGAGCTCAAATTCAGATGCCATTACTCTAAGCCCCACAATCTTTTTGCGTCCGTGCTAACTTGCTGAATGAAGCACATCTCAATATCTTTGATCTCGACATGCGTCACCATAGTCTGTGTTACTAGAGGGCTAGCTCTATGCTGGGTACGTGATCATCTCCTGATCAATCATGCCAGACTCTCTCAGCGGATCATATCTGACCTCCAAGTTCCTAAGTAAGTTGGCAGTGTTGCGCAAGACACAACTCAATTCGTGACATGAAACTATGTCCTTTGTGTATGGAGCTCATCGTAGACCATGCGAATGGTTTAGAATGTCAAGTAGATGGCACTTTGCACTTTTCTGCTTCTTTTTTGCATCCTATCCGCGCTCGTGTACCCTCATGGCTGGTTTCAGTTACCTCATGTGCTCGCTTTTTGCGTTATCCGTCTTGATCGAGTGGTACGTCAACTGCGATTTTCTGTGGTTGGAAACTTGTTTGATATCAAACACTTAGGGATCCAGTGGTTGACATTCGCGGAATGGGGGGGAAAATACTGTTCGTCAAGCCCAAAGTTTGCCGATGAATGATGTTTATACTGTTGGACTGCAGGCGACCTCCTCTACGTCGAGATACTCGGCCGGAAGATGTTGATCATTAACTCAGAACACGTCGCACGAGAGCTTCTCGAAAAGAATATTCCAATTGTCCTCGAGTGTCAAGTTGCGAGATTGCTACTTCTTGATTTCTCTAAACGTAGGTGGTAATGATGTCTCCACGTATAGGATGGACTGGAGCTTCAATGTGGTATTTATTTTCTATGGTCCTTCGCGCGAGCTCCTCCACTTGATCATGGAAACTGCTGGTGCAGGGAAGAAGGAGGACGATTACCCAGAATTCAGAATACCCACGTCTCAATTCATTACGCTTGCGCCTCACAAACATAGAAAAGCTATGCTGTCTACCAGGGCCTCCAGCTTAGCAAGGTTCACCAGATGATCCATAACAGAACGTGAGTATTGTCGCATTCAACAGTTTCTTCGCTGAAAATGCATTGAAGATTCCCGGCGTCAACGATCATGCAAGGTTATGAAATGGTTCCGTGGAACGACCTATTTGCTTCCATGGCTGATTGGGTTAGCGAGATGCTGACACATTCGTTCTTTCCTGGCGCTGCATTGGTCACGTTCCCTACACGTGTCATTTATCTTCTCTGCAGCATGTAGACGGTGTTAACTCATATTTTATATGCAGTCCAATACTTACCGGAATGGTGCTCAGGAGCAGATTTCAAAAAGTGAGTCTGGCAGATGCATTATCAACGGCTGCAATAAATTTAACAACCGAAATAGTGTGCTTGACGATGTCGAAAGCTTACGCGTGAGTTGCAGGACAGGCCATATGGGTATGTGCAGAAAACAATGGGTCGCATTATCCTTTCCGAGACATGGTGTAATCTGTTAATCATTACTCGAGGCTGATGGCACAGCTCCGCAGTCAGTGCTATTCAAGATGATTGAAAACGATGAAGCCTTAATTAAATCGGCAATCGGTAGCAGGTACAACACACACAGGTCTGTGTTTGTTTTCATACTCGAAAGCAAGAATGTTGATGGCGATACTAGGCACTGTTGAATCCGTTTGCATCGCATCGATCCAATAACGTAGTTCATTTCGCTGATATCTCTCTAGTTGTCATCAGCGCTGTTAGCTTTTATGATGGCCATGGTCATGTTCCCTGAAGTGCAAAAGAAAGCTCAAGTGAAGATCGGTGAAGTTACTGAGGCACTAGGCTAGGATGCCGGACTTTGGCGACCGGGAATCCATGGTCTACCTCGAGGCAACATATTGTGAAGTCTTGCGATGGTGTCAGGTCACGCCACTGGTGAGAGCATCCCCTCACTCGAATTATTGACATGCGGTTCAGGGGTACATCAAAACGGAGAGTGATGTATATATAACGGACATTCTATACCTAAAGGTGACTCAGGTGTTAATCCGTAAGACTCCGATCCCTGTTGACTATGCGCTGTCAGACACGATTGTCTTTACCGGTATATGGTAATTGAACCGTCGTGCCTCCGTTGATCATTTGATGGACTCTGCTAGGGCGATGACACACGATGAAATTATGTACCCTGAACCCTCTACGTTCATGCCTGACTGTTTATTAAGGAGATGTAACACTTTCGGACGACCTTCGATAGCAACAGTTCGGATTTGGAAGGCGGCGTGTCAGGTCAAGGACTGCAAGTGTAGAAAGTGCTCACCAAGACTCAGGATCTGTGTTGGTAAATATCTCGCTGAGGCAGCAGTTCGAATCGCTATGGTATGTCTCACGATGTTTGACGTATCAACGAGTTCGGGCACGAAGTCATCCCCCAGTACACGCCAGGTGTGTAGGCCGTTTGAGCCGATTGTGTGTCGCTATTCTTCACTGAGTCTTTTTGCAGCCACCCGGAACCCTTCGCATTCTAGATCACATCTCGGTCACCGAAGGCATCGGCACTGGTCCAGCGCGGTGCATCTTGAAAGAAATAGCCTTTAGTTTCGTTTGTGGTCAATGAAGTATAAGTGACACGCTGAAAGTGTAAAATAGAATACGTGTAGTGTCCTGATAGAACATAATTATATGTAAGTTCGTGTTGGGAATGACATATTAGCACGAGTCTGGCCCCGGATGACCCTAAAATATGATATAATGCGAAAGACTCATGAGACTCGTGAAGTGCGTTCATTATATCCTACGAGTTCATGAGCATCAAATGTAATGGACAAGCGTGTTGCTCACCATCTTGGTTGAATCTGTCGTTCAGGATAGAGATGCATCATTATTTGGTCAGTCTGGTACTCCGACTCTATCACAGATTGAGAAGGGCGATGACCCGAATATGGTGCAAATATTGGCGGTCTCTTGTTTTCCGTGCCTCTCGTGCGAGGAGCTTGCCCCACGCCAAGTCTGTTCCGCTCATCTGATATTCTCATATCAGCCGGGTTCATCACTCCTCGGCGCTCAGGCCGCCTCATCTCGGATGTCTTTCGCTTCCTCTGTTCCTCCTCGGCCGATCTACGAGCCATGGCCATTTCTTGCAGATAGTGCTCTGTCTCGCGCGCGCGGGCGGATGAGATCTTGTATGTACCCTCGCAATAGAACCCTCCGGGGACGCCGCGGCATTGGTAAACACCCTTGACTGTTTGCGGGTTGTTGGAGTGGTAGCAGTCTCGTTGACTACACTTATTGTGGAATGGCGATGGCCATCCAGGAGGAAGCGCGGATGGTTTGGGTTTCTTCGTAACTAGACCAGTCAGGCTGTTAGCGGCTGGGAAAACAAAGTGGGGAACAAGTACTGACAGAACATCATGACGGGAGTCGTTAGTGCTTGCTAGTGTACAGTGAGAAAAAGTTGAGGGGGACAGAGAACCGGTGCAAGTACTTATGAGAGCGAGGGCTCATGCTAATTACCCGCGGCACCCCGACCCGGACACGCATTCACGTCGTGTTTGGAGTAGTAAGTACGGTGCGGTGCTTTGCTGACTGACGGCATGACGCCGCCGTTACGTGGTGATCCGTGCTGGCCATCGCCGAAGAGGCAAGTCATAAGTACGTTGCCTCTGAGACCAGGCTCTAGCAAGTGCCGTCCGTTGCTGCTGTACTAGTGACGATGCGACAGCAAAACAGTCGCGTGCTATTGGGCTTGGCGAACCTCGGTTAAGGGAGTGACACGTCTCGATGCAAATTGAGTAAAAGGAGTAGCATGACGGCATCTTTTGCAAGAATGGCAAGAAGTGACCGGCTTGATGAGCACGGGTGAATGAATTTGACATGAAACTTTAGCGCTGAAGTGAGCGCTCGATTTGTCTAATGACCTTGGGACAAGGATAGGTTGAGAGTTCCTCCAATGCACTATACTCAAAAAGGTCTGTGACACCGTTCTCACCAGGTTCATGCATGCGCGTGAGCCATCACATGGGTAATGTGTGTTGTGGCGTGAATGAGCATCCCATGAACTCACCGGGCTCCCGATTTGAAGTGCATGACTAGCCTAGGCTTTCGAAAACCCTCCGGCGTTCGGGCATGGCTCTGGGTAAGCCTTCATTACACAGCCCCGGTTCAACGTTGCTTCCATTCAATGAATCATCATCACAGAAAGTAAATAAGGTTGAACCTCGCAGCAGGCCCGTATGCGCGCGGACTGCGAAACCTCAACGAAGCGTCGATGCACCGAAGATGGCTGTTCAACACGCGCGTTACAGTTGGGCCTCGATATTTGTTGAGCGCCACAAGACGGAGATGAGCCACTAAACGACCCGTCTTGGCGCGGTCTAGGGCAATCTTCGCCCAGGCCTTGTCGGCCACTCCGTGACAAGTTGCCCTCGGAGTTACAGGTACAGCCCTGATTCGTACGGCATTACCAACTTCGTCGAAGTTCGTTAATGTCACGTTTTGCACACGAGTTGACGTGTTGCCTGTTGTTTGGCAAAAGCTTCTGAAACAAACAAACTGCTTGCATCCTCGACCACCACCGACCAGTAATAGCAGCTCTCATGGGTCTCAAGCGGCCTGCAGAGGATGATCCTTCATCTGCTGGAAAAGTGGCTAGAGCCAAAATAGAAAGCAGCGGTACTCTTGCGTTTCCAAGCCATTCACATCCAGCTTCACATCCACCCGCGTTTCAGCGTCCCAGTCAGCTTCTCACATTTTCGTATTCACCCTCTCGTGTTCTTCAATTTGATGATTCTGCATTGCGCTATTTCGTCGATCCACCACGTGGTGCAGATCTCAATCATGGTTACGCCAACTGGATACGGCGCCCGGAAGAACGTGGACGCATTGATGGTTTATTGAGCGCATGGTCACGGTTCAAGAAAAGTATTCAAGGGCAGAATCCGGATATTGGAGTCATAAGCTGGAGAGGGGTTATGACCAAGTGAGATATTATTCCATTCACTGTGTGATTTTTGTTTACCTGCGGGAATGATTTTGATGAGGGAGAATATTGACGGCACCTTACGAAGAGAGCGTTGGTTGGGAACTCAACGTGATGTGTGTCGATGGTACTATGTACTTTGAGGAGCATCTCTCAGATGCAAAGCTAAAGGAAAAGTGAAGCCTTTTCCATTCTTACATGTACGTCTTGCTCACGCCGAGGAAGGAATGACATGACACCTCGGCATCGACTTCAGTCTTACTATGGATATTCATTTGAATCGTATTGCACCTCACCAACTCCCAGTGGACATGAACACCGCGCCTCTGGTTCCTCGAGCGCTGCTGGTTGGGGCGACGATGTTGATACCAATGTACAGTGGTGTAGTGTTGTTAAAACAAAGTTAGGTGACACACGGATCATCATTGGTGGAGAAGTAGACTGCATTCGAGGTATGTGGCTCCTTTTGCATCAACCGATAGGGCGACGTTATTTGTTGCAGGAAAATATGCCGGCAATACTGACAACTTCGTGGAACTTAAAACTTCACTATCAATTCGTGGCGCGGAAGACGAAGCTAAGTTTGAAAAGTAAGTAGTATCTACGTTTCAGCCACCTTAACTCCCTGAGGCTACGTGACAGGAAGCTTTTGAAATTCTACTTTCAGTCATTTCTGCTCGGAGTTCCGGTATGCAAAGCTTGATACTGAATCAGTACCTTCTTATACACTGCATTACAGGAGGTTTTTGTTGGATTTAGGAAGCCATCAGGATATTTGACGACTACGCAAGTCTTCCAGACCGTTCAGATACCTCGCCTGGTTCGAGGCAAGCCTGGTGCCTGGAATCCCAATGTGTGTCTAGCATGGGGAGACCAATTTCTATCTTTCCTCAAGAACACCATCAGAGGAGGCTCGAAGGGTGATGTCTGGCGTATCAAATTCATGCCAAAGACAGGGGTCTCTGCTGCTTTGCTAGACGACGTGGACGTCAAGGATGTCGAAGGAGGGGAAGATCGCGTGGGATTACTTCCGCGATGGTATTGGGAAGCGGTGGTGAAAGACTCCGCAGTTACAGCCCAAACAAGGAGTGAAGGAGCGTCGTCCAAGGTAGGAACTGTCTTAGTGCCTTCTGGATGGAAGATATGAACCAATATGGGCGTTCATATGCTCACCTGATCGAAAGTCATAACTGCCAGCTAGGCTATGTACAGCTATTCCTGCCCCGCGTGAAATCCGGTTATCTTGGCATCAAGAGACTATATCTTGTGACCTCATTTACATGTCATGGAGGTCACCGATCCCCATCGATCAAACATGGACCATCAGTTTGTCCTATTGCCTGCCAGAAATGCACTACACGCTCCTGACTAACGTAATGGAAAGTGTAGATAACTCGAGGTTCTTTTCTCATCAACGTTGAATTTCGTGAAGAACATTTCTGTGAATTTTGAGCCAATATTAGCTATTTGCGCGTAAAAACAGGCACAAACCGGGGAGTGCGGGTAAATCAACCCGTGGGAATACGGATGAATAAGGCTAGCGCGTCGTCGCGCGTGCTCCATTCCTTAACGCGCTCCTCGACGTCTCACAGAACGACGCATATCCTCTCTTAGTCGTCTGTAACGGTCCCCAGTTTTTTGCTGCTGACCATCCAAACGCTCTCGCTGTGATATATTGTGCTTTATTCTGTATATAATTGCTAGAAACTCCCAGCGACGCGCTCCTTATGGCGACTCCGTCGTCTTCGGTGACCTCAGCGTCTCCACCAACGACCTATCTACAGCCCTACAGCCCTTCCACATCGATGGATGTCGATCCGATAGAGAAGGAGGATAGGCTGAAAGCTATCCAGAAAGTCATGGCGAGTACAGAACTTTCGATGGTGAGTTATTTCATTTCAGACTGAGCGCCCCGCGTGGGACGCGTTGGCGGGCAGCTATTCGCGCCAGCGATGTGGAGGGGCACTAAGAATATTGTTTACTTTGTGGTGCTCGTATACCGGATCCTCCGCTGAGATTGCTGTGTATTGGGCGCGGTTGTGATATAATACGAGAATGCTAACATACTCCTGTCTTTCTTCCTTAGGTGACGCGCAATCTTCGCGCCCGCTTGTCATATGCCTCATACAAGGCCACCCACAATATTTCTCATGTCAAACTGACTGACCTCGAGGCGAAAACCCGTGCCCTGGCTGCTGCTCCACCGCGCCTGATCGGCACCAAGCGCAAGGCCAGCAGCGGCAACAACTATTACAATAACCCCGCTACGCAGGGCACAGTCGCAAGGCGTGGAGCTATGGCTCCTCCCGCCATATCTGCGACCTCTGCCTCATCCGTTCCTCGTTCCCACTATCCCACGGCTGTGACAGGTTCTAGTCCCAACGCGACTCAGAGCCTGTTTACTACCCTACTCGGACCTCCTCCGTCCAAACAGGCGCGAACGGTCCGTAACTCAACAGACCCTCCTGTCCAGGCAGCCGCTCGCTCGACTGCCGGATCTCGGCCCCGAGGATCTGAACGTGCTATACGTAGTATAGCAGAGAGCACCCGCGCACGGTCGCGTAGCCGCAAGGAGGATGCGACTCGCTCCAAACCCAAACGTGCTGACAAGGGCAAGCAAAAGGCGTCCGCAGCGGCCTCAGCGGATGTAGAGAGGCAAGCTGTGGCTACTCTGACATCGCTTCTCCAGTCGCGCCCTTCCGTAGCTAGCGTATCATCCCCGCGGTCCACGCTCTCCACCGCATCTGATGCGAGTTCATTCCAGTCTTTGTCGCAATATGCACAAAGTTCTGCTCGCATGACGACAGCAGCGACTTCGCTGCTGCCATCAGCCGAGTCATCATTTACCATGCCTCGGGCAGCCACTCCCCCTCGTAACTCAGGAGACAGCATCTATTCGACGCCTCGTGCAGACGAGGAGGCAGCCAATATCATGCTTTATCTACATACATCGCCGTCACCTGTCCGTCCTACAACCACCCGGGACAGGGATACTCAAGATCACGCAGCCTACAGAGCCCTTGGAAGCGGTTCCGCATCTCTCCTCACTAAGGGAAAGATCCTTTTTGCAGGCCAGGATGCTAGAAGCTCGCTGAGATCAGAGCGCAGCTTTACCTCAGAAACTTTACCCTCTAGCCAAGGCAGTACGCAGCCTTTGAGCCAGTCAATGCGATTGGATACCGCTTCCTCCGGATCTCTCGCATCTGCGCCACCTTTACAGCCAACGATTATTCCACCTACCCCAATTTTGGGTGTTGAATCCTCTCCGTTGTTACCATCTCCACCTTCACCATCTAGGCGCAGTGATACTTCGAATGGCTATTCGGGTTCGCCATCAAACAGCCTTCAGGCCCCACCCACTCCGGGCAATGTCCCTTTCAATCTCAACGACTTTATCAATGTCTCTCCTTCCCCTGCTGTTACGTCCGCGCCGCGCGCAGCAGTATCTCTCAAATCTGGTCTGAGTGCTAACCTGCGTGCAGACGTCGGCAAAAAGCTTTTTGAAGAAGAGCAGCAGCGGCAGCACTACCAAACCACTCATGGCGCAGTCGGTGGTTTCATTGATAGCCTTCACCATGACAGAGGCGGCGTCCTTGGTGCTAGTATCGACCTCGCAAGCGGCTGATTTATTTTTCCGATCCTCGTCGATTGATTGGTTCCCCCACGTCTAATACACTTTCATGACGCATTCATTCTTCATCAATCATGCGGAATCCCTGTTGTATCAACATGAAGAACAGAATCCCTTGTATCTACCACTCGACCCGGCTGGACGACGTCGTTGCAACCTATCAGACTTCTTGTTGGTTTTGATATTATCCACAAGGCATGGACTTATCAATATTGGGCGCTACGGTTCGAAATCAGGAAATTATCATCGCTATCTATTTTCACCGTCTTCATTTCCTCATTTACGGTTAGATCATGACCTTCTCTTGGATTTGTGTCCATAATGGTTTCTTCTTTGTTGTTCACTAGCCCTGCTGGGAAAGCATCATAAACTTCTGTCTCTTTTATGAATCAAGCCAGTTACTACTGGATGCACCTATTTATCTCATCCTCCATCTCACCCTTTCCGTCTCTTGTTATCTTTTCTGTCCATCCCGTTCATCCTTGTCCTGTGCTCTGCCGTGATAATTTACGAACACGGTCAGGCTTCTTGTTGTTTTACCATGTTTTTTTTTATCGCCATGTGCTAATACCGTCTGCATCCCAATGCATAACGTTTCTTGACCATCTCCTCGGACTTTCTAACCGAAATACAATCTTACCCACCCAAGGCAGCCCAGGACCTTCTCCTGAGAACTTGGAACATTAATTTCAGGTGTGTTTTTCATTTTACGTGTATAATTGAGTATTTATACATGACTCACCCGCATCCCGACTAAAATCAAGTCTTCGAGGTGGGTGTTTGAGCGTACAGAATCAATCACACATTCATTAAAGTCACCGTGCTACAGTGAATTTTGCAGCTGTTGAGAATGCGGTCTACAGATGAAGTTCATGAATGCAGTGTGCTCACATAGCAGAGCAAGAGATTCCCCCTGTCAAGACCGTCAGCACATGTGCGCAAGGGCGTGGTCAGTAAGGATCCCCGGTTCATGCATTGTCTGTCGATGGCCTTGGGTAGATTCGATTGTGTTTTGGGTGGACATCACACGCGACGAGTCCAGTAGATCCACTGTTGTACGGTTCTATCCCCACAATTGGATTAACGTGCTCCGAGACTGTGATTGTCCACAACATATGTTGTCACAGTGCAACCACATATAGCGCAGACTTGAGTCTTGACTGTTCTGTACGTTGACGAACACTTGGCACTCAAGACCGACTTCTCCTTGCCTCTCTATCACGAAGATGTTTTCTCTTCTTTCGAAATCATTTGAAGCTCTAAAGGTAGATCTATCTCTTTACCTGCCGTTTTCTTTTTTTGACGTTGTAAAGATTGCGACTCCGTCACCAGTCTAGACTCAGCGAGCTTCCCTGCGAGATGCCGCAGGTGCGGGTTGGAAGTTTGGAGATTGCGTGCGAAGAGTGATGTTAGAGCTAAGAGTTGGGGTGGGTCAGAGTCTCTGAGGAGGGATAAGCATTCGTTGGGGTATGGGTTGTGAAAAATTGAAAGACAAAGATAGAGACGGAGCACCAATGTCAGCCAGAATAAAGTAGTAACCAAAGAGAACGAAGTGTGGTAAAAGAGAGAACAAGACGAAAAAGCACCATAATGATTTGTGGGCTTGTGCAGCGCCGTATGATCAAAAGACAAGTGTTAACACCATGCCCATTTCATATCCGCCCAAAGTAAGGCAGAAAAACACGCCCCAAGACCAATGAGAAAGGCCCACACACCTTTCTAACAACAAACTCCTTTCCCATCGTTTCCTCTCCCGCACAACCCCTGAGATCTCTGCAACTGAGAAACGAACCCTGCCGGCCTCGCTGGACCTTCCAATATACAACAGGTAGACTCGCCTGCGACTCAAGCACCGTATGCCTCACCTGCGTCTCCAAAACCGCCGTTCTTACATCAACTACACTGTACTACGAGCCTCGCTAAGTGTCGTTCCCTCGCGCTTGCACCTGCGCCTGTTCCCGAGGTCGAGGTCAAGGCTGGGCCTCCAGGACCGACGGGCATTGTTCTACCCTTTCCCATCCCTGTTTATGCCGTACATTGATCTCGCTCGACCCATACTTACCTAGGCCTCTGCACGTCCGAATGCAAGTAGCTAAGCTCTGCTGAACTCCGGGCCAATGGAGTTACATACCTCTCCGGTTGATGGAAATTGATAGCAATGAATGTTTACAAGGGTATTGGGCAACTACAAGGTTGGACTCGATGACAATTACCGTATCAACAGCCTGCTGTGATCATGAAACTGGAAATCACGTCAGTACATACACGGAGTTCACTCTTCGATGTTTGGCCTTGTTAGGATCCGAAGCTTGGCGCTACCGACCTCCAATTACCACTCGTAGCGTAGTCTGTGCTTCTCGCTATCAACCGCACCCAAGTCGGCCAACCAACAAATACATCAAGCAACAGCGTAGTGTACAGCTCTGATCAGGGACAGACGTCAGTTCTCAATGAACAGGAGGATCCTTACTCTACCGTTTTTATTTTCATGACGGTCTCGATCATCCTCTCCCATCGTATCAGCTCAGTCGAACTCGTATTGACTTTGGCTTTTTAGCGGCCGTGGACTTCTATCGTTTTCACCACTTTGTTGATATTGTATGCACTAAGAAATACACTGGTTTCGTATCTATTCTCTTGCAGTTTACTAAATGACGGGTATGAGTGATACGAGAGTAGGAAGGTTGGCTCAGCATCGCAAGGCGTCGTATGTCTGTTCCAGGTTCCAGCAGACTGCTTACCAGCATCCTGGTCCATGGTTGGCCACTTTCATTGATGACTGACCATGCCATTATTGCCCACTTGTTTACCACAGGCTCCCCCGCTGCCGTTAGTGCCATCATACCCATCAACAACATGGAAATACGTACGTGCAGCATCATCCCTGATCATTCAACTATCACCCTCTCACCCAAATTTCATCCACAGCCCACATATCGCTACTCCCCGTCTTGTCTAATCACGCATCATTCCACCTACCACTCAATCTTCAATGCTTCAACGTGTTGCTCGTCATTTGTATCGTCGCGCCATCATACCCGGTAGTTCGCATGGGCAATATATCAGACTCGAAGGTGGGTCGCTCCATACCACCTTGGTATTCGTTTTGTGACCTTCATTCACCAATTACAGTTATCAGCGGAAAAAAATCTTAAAGTCCCGTCTGAACGTATACCTGCAGGTATTTATGTGTCCATCAAACTCGATTCTGGACATCAGTTGCCCCAGTCCTATTATCCGACGAATCCGTAGCATGGGGAGATACCGTGATCATGCAAAGACTTCTACAGTGACTTGCGGACGTGATTCTGGTACTAATGATTGGTTTCTAGATCACCGCATGCGTCACCTAACTTATCGGTGGAGATCCGGGCATCCTTTGAGCTCGGTCGAATGCTAGGCAATGGGGAAGTCATCGGGAAACTTGCAATATCGTGGGATAAGCTGCTCCGTCATGGAAACGAGCCTTTCGATGAGTAACTTGTTTTCTCATTCATATACATCTACTAATGTGTCGTAGATCTGTCCTTCCCACTCGTTCGTAGCGTCCACCCTTCCCTCACGCTGAAAGCCACTGTTATTAACCTTCCCGGAAATCAGGACGACGCACTGTTTGATGTAAGTGGCGGCGCCAGCCTTCGCGCTGTCGGCTTTTGCTGACAGATCGCAAAACGCAGTCCATTATTGATTGCGAGATCGCTCGAGAAACAGATGCGGGCCACACAAGATTTGCCAAATATGTGACACGCAACAGGGTGTCTGACCTGAACAATGCTGTGGAGCATTTTCGTTTGGTTTTAGAGCGGTGTCCGGTCGACCACCCTGACCGTGCAGCTGCACTGACCAACCTTGCGTGCGCACGCCTTCAAGGGTACAATCGTAATGATTTTAAAGACATTGACTTCATCACCTCTCTATTCCGCGACGCCCTTTCATTGCGTCCGCAGGGCCACCTCGATCATCCACTATCCCTCTATTATCTCACTGAAGCGCTGACCTAGCGCCATAAAAAGGAACATACAGCTACCGACATCCGCGAATCTGCTCAGATCTACTGTGAGCTACTACCCCTCTGTCCCGAGGGCACATATCTTCGGAGCATCGCGGAAGGGGCTAATGGTGTGGATTATGTTATTCGCGAATACAACAATCTTCCAATAGACGCATCCGATGAAGGCATCCGCCTTCAACGAATCATACTCGAGCTCTGTCCTCTTGGACATCAACACCGTCTAGGCGCCCTCAACCAGCTTTCGCAGTCACTCAAAACACGCTTTTGACAAAGTGGTAGCATGGATAATATAGACGAGAGCATACAACTCGACCGTGAAGCCCTTTCTCTGTGTCCTGAGGGACATCCTGATCTTGGTTGCTACTTGAATAACTTGGCTGCTTTACTCAACGACTACCGCTTCGGTCACCAGGGCAAATCTGACGACCTCGACGAGACCATCTCTCTGTACAATGAAGCATTGTGCCTGAGCCCTGTTAGGCACAAATCTCGTGATTCACGATTGTACAACCTAGGGACCGCCCTCCGCGACCGTTTCAACCAACGCGGTGACATAGATGACATCAACAGAGCTATCAGCCTCTATCGCGATGCACTGACGTTGCGCCCACCTGGGCGTCGAAAACGTGACGTCACACTTTGCGGCCTTGCCAATGCGCTCAAAATCAGATATGACAAATCACATGCCGACGAGGATCTTAACGAGGCCATCGAGCTACACCGTGATCCGGTCGAGTACTCTAGAACTCTTATCGGCTTGAGCTGGGCACTCTGCTTTCATTTCACGCGCACTCGGAACACTGAAGATATCGAGGAGGCCATTGAGCTCTCACAAGAGTCATTGGAAACTTTTCCACCACTGCACCCAGATAGATATGCGAGCTACCGGTGCCTGCAGGAGGCATATATGTCTCGTTATCGGGTACAAGACAACCCTGCTGATTTGTCACTCGCAGTGGAGAACTTTAGACGACACCCCATTCAAGGCTTTCCTCGGCGCATCATCATGGCATATAATTGGACTCTTGCAGCGGAGCAGCATGGTCATGGATCTGCATTGGATGCCTATGTAATGTTTTTCGAGCTTCTCAACGCTCATTTGTCAACACGATCATCTACCATTTCACGGCGCCAAGCTGCCGCCGTCTTCCGTTATGCCAGAACACTCCCTGTAGATGCGGCGTCCTGTGCCTTGCGCCGTCATAACCTAGAGAAGGCTGTTGAACTTGTGGAGCATGGCCGTGGCCAACAGTGGTCACTGGCTTCTCGCCTCAGAACTCCACTTGAGGACCTCGAGGCAGTGAACCCAGAATTAGCTCACAAATTTTCGGAGCTGAGCAAGCGTGTTTCCGACACCGCTCAGGGTTCCGCAACTATCACCGACAGAGCTACTGCTGATCAGGCAGCGGTGAAGTACCGGAGGTGTACAGAGCAGTGGGAAGCTGTAGCAGCGGAAATCCGCAATACTGAAGGTTTCTCGCGATTCCTGCTCCCACCATCATACGAAGACTTGCAAGTGGCAGTGCGCCGTGGTCCAGTCATTATCCTCATCGCGAGCCAATACTCCTGCAATGCCATCATTGTCCCGACGTCAGGGGGGGCCCTTCATATTCCTTTCCCCTCTCTCACTCTCGCTGATCTCGCGAAGCTCAAAGACGACTTCACGATGGCAATACGGCACGCATCTCTCATGGGCCCGACGGAGTCAAGGTCTGAGTTGATAGTACTCTTGCGCGAGATATGGAACGAGATGATGCTACCCATTGTCAATGTACTCCGGCATGATCTCAAAGTGAAGCCTCGCTCCCGAATCTGGCTGTGTCCAACTGCAGCCATTACTTCCATTCCTCTCCATGCAGCTCACCCCTCTCGAATGAAGGCAGATAGAAGTGGACGGGAACCATGCCTCGAGGATATGTACATTTGCTCCTACACGCCGACGCTTTCGGCGTTGATCAGGTCTCGACAGACGATGAAGACACGTGCGACTCCGTCTTTCGCGGCAATCGGACAAAGTCAGCCAGGCGCAGGGCAAGGCACGGCGCTCGCCACTGTGGACAGTGAGCTCGAGCTGGTCCATAAACTCGTTCCCCCCAACGTCGAGTTCACTACTCTTTCGGGCAACGAAGCTACACAGGCAGGTGCACTCGAAGCCTTGCAATGCAACACCTGGGTGCACCTGGCTTGTCATGGCAAACAGGACCGCGAGCAGCCTTATAACTCACGCTTCGCTATGAGAGATAAACCTCCCACATTGCTCGATATCATGGACAACAATGTTCCGGAAGCCGAATTCGCATTCCTATTAGCGTGTCATACGGCCGTCGGCGATGAGGAGACGCTCGACGAAGTCATCCACCTCGCAGCCGGTCTACAATTTTCAGGGTTCAAGAGTGTCATTGGCACACTTTGGGTGGTTGATGACGAAGTCGCAAAGTACGTTGTCGAGGCTTTTTATACTAATATATTCAAGGACTTGAAGGAGGGTGTCTTGGACTGTACGAAGGCGGCCAAAGCACTCAATCATGCTACACATGCCGTGAAGAAATTGGTCCCTCTCAAGCAGAGAATTGTTTTCATTCATATTGGGGTGTAGTTCTATGTCACATTGCTTTCGCTGTCTGGTACAGATTTACAAGTTATTGGTCTTGGATCCTCTTTCATCCTTGCTGTACGTCTTTGTGTAGGATTACCCTGATACTACCGTTGTGCTTTTAGCTGTCTTTGTCGCAACCTCTCGTCCAGAGTCACATTCATTTCTCGAAGATAATGTTTGAGAATTTATTGTCGTTGCTTATGTTATTTCGTTCAAGTACTTCCGCCAGTGCGCTACAGTCTGTGAGTTGACCTTCCGACCATGGAATCCATCTAAAGAAGCTTGCGAAATACTAAGTTATATTGGGCGGCTGCCTTTGGGAGCTAGACGATGTTTAGCACTTTTCGGATGGTAGACGTTAAATTCACAAACCTGTCGGACAAATGCAGGTCTCCCTACACGGAAGAACTCGGAGACTTTTGAGTTGTTTTCGCTGATGACTTGTAGTCTTAGATAGAGCGTGAGGATCACATAAAAATGACAGGTCATATGCTGAGTAGCCTACCGTTGAGTCTGAGGGGTCAGCCCTCCAAGCTGCAAATGATGACACGATGAAGCAAATAATGGCAAGCTGGCCTCGTGGACGGTGGACCTCGTTTTGCTGGAAAGAGTCAGAAAGCGGTCAGAGTCTGTTCCGATGCGAGAATTACATGCGAGATAATGAAGGCCACAGATCAGCTCTACTTCATCATCGGGAAGGGTATTGCCCGACGCCCAAGTTACTTCTGTACGTCGGTACACGAAGACAGTACCATCCGGAGATATCCTCCTTCCAAAAACGCTTAGAAAAACCGCCATAGAATGCTGCCTCTGAGAAAAGCAGCGCGTGCGTGGGGGAGATCTTTGCGTCATTGACCGTAGACTGAAATGTGGAAAATCGCTCAAAGCTCTCGAAGGTTTTACATCGGTCAGGACATTTGTGAGAAGGATAGAAGACGATCCTACTGTCCATAATGGCGTGCCTGGGCTGAACGAATCGTCTGATGAGACCGTCCAAGAAACGCCACTTGGTTCCCGATAATTTGTAGAATTGTCGCAGCGCGCGGGTTCACAAGTCCGTGACCTCCTCGTAAGCAATATTTTAATGCTGGTAACAAGTGCATGTAGACGGTGATGAGGGGGATGCAATAATGTAGGAAAGAATATGAGCAGGGCAGGATTCGAACTTTAGCACGCGATAGCGCCTGCAAGCATGCTTGCTGAAGAGTCGAAGACATCAAATCCGCAAAAAGGAAGTGGGGACGAAGTGCGACGCCTTGTCGAGCACTTATCACCATCAGGGTAGTCCCTTACATACAGAAGACGCACATAGTGTCAGTCACACAACTTGAGCGATTCATTTACACAGCACTTAGCCTAAGAAGATCATACATGGGACGCAGGTTAAAAATATGATTTGAGCGAACGTGTCCCGAGCTTCCAAAATTCCCACTGGCACATCTTACAGTAGGTCCTCGTATCAGTCATGGAGTGCATCTGTGTGAGTCGGTCTGAACGGTGTTTCTCATGAGTGATAACTCAGGCATCCACAGCTAAAAATTCACTTACGGATTCCGCAAAGGTCTCTCCAAGACGGTCGGACTTGAGTAACCCTTATATAGGTAGTGCCCAAACCGTCCAAAATTCTGTGAATAGACTTTCACAAGAGCTGAAAGAGGATGGGCCCAGGGGCTCACCAGCAATCATTGCCGTTCCCAAATAAATCGTTCTAATTTTAAGGTCCCAGCGGGCTCCTCTCGTATAGGCTACGTAGTCCATGGTCTGCCATAGTCAAGAGACCATGTCTTCTCTAACCAGTGAGAAGCAATAGGCTGCAGTGATCACGCCCCGCAAGGACCATACCAGCTGTGTACTACTTGGTGTTGCGCACCTACCCGGCGGACGACGCACTGTCACATGTTCGGAAGATCACTCCGGGCATGGGACCAGCGGCGCACAGTAGGTGAAGACTGGCGAGATGATGGGGATGGGACATAGCATTTTCTCCGAATAGCAAGAGTACTTGTCGCAAGTGGAAACGATGATAGGAACGTGAGGTCGTTGGACGTCGAGACGGAGAAGGTCAAGTGTGTTGGAGTGCAAACGGCGAGTGGGTAGTGAGCGTACATATATGTCCAGACTGAGACTCCAATGACGGAATGGGGTGAACTGCTCTCTCGAGTCACGGATAAAAACCAGCTTATCTCCGGGTCTGGAACTTCGGCTCAATTAGGATATTCGATCGGGAGCAGATCCCTTCATCCCAACTCAAACGGCGACTAATGCATGTACTGATTTGCCTGCCTCCCTGCATGATAAAGATCCGAACGTCCTGAGCAAGCTTTCCACCATCTCGTATAGCGCTATATCCTATACGGATAGCTTCCCCCTTTGCCTTGACGAGCGGGTTGATCGACTCCCGAACTGTTATCAGCGAACGCACTCGATGCAAATGTGTATCGCAAGTGACCATGCCGTCATCGCTCTTGGGTAATGTTTCACAGACTATACACCATCCATTCTCTTGCCGTGTGCACATGCTTCCGCATTTCTTGTTTATCATTGCCGTTGTATACTCATCACAGTGCCATCAGCTCCGTACTGACACTCGAGTTCTAGAGCTGCTCTAGGTCCAAGAGATCCCCCGGTCTGGTTTTGATTCCCCCTGTCAAGACTGTCAGCGCATGTATGCAAAGGCATGGTCAGTGAGGATCCCCGGTTCATGCATTGTCTGTTGATGGGCCTGGAAAGATTCGATTGTATCTCGGTGGACATCGCTCACGAGTCCACTAGATCCACCGTATTACAGTTCTGTCCCCACAAGTGGATGCACGCCACCTGAGGTTGTGATTGTCCACAGCATACTGTCACAGTGCAATCGTATATATAGCGCACACTTGAGTTTCGACTGTTCTGCACTTTGGCGAACGCTTCGCACTCAAGAGCGACTTATCCTTACCTCTATATCACGAAGATGTTTTCTCTTCTTTCGAAAACGTTCGAAGCTCTAAAGGTGGATTCATATGCTTACATGCCATTCTCTTTCTAACTGTTTGAAGATTGCAACTCCCCAACAGACTGGGGGTTCTGTGAGACGACCACAACCACTCAAACTTGTCCGTCCATCAAGGCAGCCTAATATTCAGTACTACGGATATATGGTCACCACCGAATGGCTTATCCAGTTCGCGGAGCAACACTGTCCAGGAGCGTTGCTCGATCGCAGGGACAGTGGCTACGAGTTCATTGCGAGGACACGAGGATATGAGTACATCTCAGCTTGGTCGCGCATCTGCTATTTAGGACTCAAGGAGTGTTTCAATCTTGCGGTCATTCCAGCTGACACCGTTATGGTGTTCGCTGTGTTTTCGGATCAAGAAGAATCCTTTGAAGAACGTCCTACGCAGGAAACGGTTGACTTCATGACAAAGTCAATCGGGCATCCGCCGCAATGGTGGGTAAGTTGCGACCATGCAAATTGAGTGCGAATGGCGACAGGCTAGAACCGTGAAGCCGCCGCGTTGTTGAGCTTCCTAGGTTTAATTATGTGCTGTATTACTTACATATACCAGGCCTCACGCATCATGCTATACGTGTGTACGTACGAGTCTAAAAACATTGAATCAATGAGGTATTCTGATGACGGTCCACGTCTGAACACCGGTATTTTAACCTTGTCCCTGACCGTTATTATACCGCAAGGAACTACGAATCTTCGTTGCGGCTGCATATCGTGCAGAAGATGTAGACTTCACGACTTCACGGCGAAGTGTTGCGTTGGCTTAGTTTGCGCTCGAGGGTAGTATGACAGAGGAAAAATGGGTAAGATGTTTGATTGTGCGAAACTAGTTACTTTTAAATTTCGAAATAGATGGGTTATATCTACATTACACTGTTCCATGTAGTGATGATATACCAGCATTGGGGATTAGATAGGATGATATTACTTTTTGAGGTATTTGCGAGAGCACTGCTTCTTGTGTACATCTTTCCAGTGCGCCTTAAGAGTATGTTCGTCAGCAACGAGACTTGAAAAAATGCCTTAATCATACCTTCTGGTGCTCGGGAGAGCAATACCTAGACGTTGTCCTGTCAGTAACACATCATTCAAGTGCATTCATGAACGCTTACAAAATGGCCCTACAACCACTGCACGTCTTGAGATCCTGACCACCAGGCTTTCCACAAGCAGCACAAGCCGACTGGCTCCTTCTGTCCTTCGTGCTGGAAGTGGTCTCCTGCCAATATCCGTGGTTCTCGTGGTCCCATTCACGCTGGATGCTCTGGCCTTTCTTGAGTTTGCCCATCTCGGGATCGAGTGCACTATGGTGGATGGGCATGGTGAACGCCTTCATACCTGTCCTGACTGAGTTGGGCGAGCTAAGTGCCGCGGCGAGTCGCTCGTTAGCCTGGTTGATGTCAAATACATCAATGTCGAACAGAGAAGGAGGTTTGCCGAAGTCTCTGTAATTCGGGCAATCAAGAATCTCGCGTTTTTTCTTTGCCCTGGAGAGATGTTTAACACGGAAGGGAAAGCCAGTGGAAAACCTACTGTTCGATGTATGAATCAGCGTCGTAGGCCTTGAGGAAGTTTTGGTACTGGTATGACCCTCTCATATTTTCTGGACAACGGTTTGATAAGTGAGATGTTGTATACATCAGCAAAGGAACTTACCACCTGGGCACATGCCCTTGCCACCGAGTATCTGGACACGTCCATACGACTCCTCGATGGGGAAAATTTGCTCGATCTGATTGATGTGGGATTAATCTGGTATGGAGCAAGATACTCCGCCGTACCTCAATCTCGTGGTGCCACTTGTCTCCATAGTCATACAAGTACGCAAACTTATCGCCCACCTTCGAAAACAGATGGGCGAGCATATACCTAGGTGTCATCAGCATCAATTCGATGACGCGATGGAATTATGCCCTCACCTGTCATCCGGAAGGTAATCATATCCAACCTAGAGCCCTGGTGTGAGAACTTCACAGCATCATTTCCTGGGTAGACTTGCCTGGTTGATATGCATTATGTCTGTTGCGTCGGCGTCCTGGGCATTCAATGAGAGATGTACTATGGTAAAAGCGGCTCAGTTTACCTCAGGACCAAATACAGCGCCGTCTCTGAGGTCCGTGAACGTGTAGCAGTGGAAGTTTCGTACCCTACCGAAAGCGATTGCGTCAGTATGCAAAGGGATTTTGAACATCGAATAGATACCAGTTCAGCACGGGCGAGAGGACTTTGTCTTGGAACACGCCGATCTTCATACCAGCTGAGAGGCGCACCTGGCGCCATATGCGAGGGTCGCCATTGACATCTTCCAAGAACCTTGAGAGAGCATGTCAGTGGGTGGGACATCATATTGATATGAGGAGCATACTTCAAGTGTATCTTGATTACAATATCCTTCTTGTCGAGATCTGCTAGATCAAGTTTGCTGAGCTGCTCGCGCTGAAAGGACAATAACAAGTCGGGGACAGAATGGAGTCACTACGAGCGTATTACCTTACGATCCTTTAGAACATCTACAAATTGCTTTTCAGGCCACGGTTTTCCACCGCGGTTGTCGTACGACATTTGATGCGCCATCTGAAGGCAAATAAGCAAGACGATTAAAATCATCCTTATAAATTCACGGTTCTATACATCATTTGAATCCCGCCAACTAATTTGAAGAGTCAGATATAATATCTAGTAAACAAACTTAGAGCAGTTACTCACAGTTCCAGACATTATCCTTGGCATACTGTAGTACATGGTCAATACCACTGATTCGGAAGGATTGACAGGTGATGTACATACCGGAAATATACCCCACGTCTGAATCTGCCCATGGGGCCCCGGCTTCGGCTTGAATGTGCGAGGATCTTGGCAGTAGTATTTTTAGGGCTCGTCCTCAGGCAAGTTGCCGCAACCACTCACCCTCGAAGCAAATCTCTGGCATGCCTTCGCCAATATCTCCGGGGAGAAACTTGACGAATTTTGGTTTGCGTGTGGGACGCGTCGTAGAGCGTGGAGGAACGTCACCGCCATCGAGGGCCAGTGTTGTTAAAAGTTTTGAGAAATCCATGGTTGCTGCTCAAGAAAGCGCTGCATGCACATTGCAAAATGGGCCAGGCAACTTACATGCGGCATATATGTAACACCCAAACAGGCATATCACTTACGTCGCCTCAGAGAAGCACAAAATTCTGCTTCTCAACGCCACCACGTTCAAAGTTGACTAGAGCCCACTCTCTGGGCGTCCCTTCGAAGCTCCATGGCACGTACAATACACAACCTGTGCCCCACGAAAATTATAATTTCTAAACCTTAGCGTTGAACGTCGTGCGATCAACCGATCCGATCGAAAAAAAGATTATACATCAGGAAAATCATGGATGTCTTAACCGGCCTTTTTGACCTTTTCAAGGGCCTTAGGGAAAAAAAGAGCAAGGGCGCCACAAGACGCGCTAAGGCCAGGCTATACTGTCATATTACTGTCATAGTGATGCATAACAAGCTTGAAGTTGTGGTATGTCTCCCTCTCAGATTTGGAGGCACTGGCGCAAAAGCTGTTTAACCATCAGTAAATTCTCACATTGCTTGATTGCCTTTTCCGTCACTTGTCCCACTTATTTTCCCACGGAAGGACGGACAAGCTGCGCACAAGGACAGGTAACGTCCACTTGTCACAAGCTGCACAAGCTCGGAAAGTAGAACCCCTTCCTCTTGTTGCACCTTTTTTTGTACTTATTTTACCTTTTTCCACGCTTGCTCAAGAGAATGGACTGCAGCACAAGTAGTAGCAAGTAGACACAAGCATGCGACCTTATTTCTCCTTATTAAAATTGCGTGTACTTGTTCACACTCGGTTTGAGAAAACATGACGAAAACACTGCATTTAAAGCTAGGCAAGCAGACAAGCTAATTCAACGGTACACAGAAAAGTAAGATACGGGCAAAAAAGGGAGAGCAAGTATAAAACAAGTACTGCCAAGTATCATTAAATACAAGGTCATGATATGGAGCGAAAAATGAGAAATTGAGATGCGGCGTGACGAAGGGGATGCATGACGACAATATTAATATTAGTAGCGGCGGTGATGACGAGACAGCACATGAAGAATGAGGGTGTGTAGTAGAGTAGTAGTACTGATAACAAATAATAGTCAGTCGCGAGCTAGACTACAAAATGAAGGACAGCGCACCACTTGCATCTAGCAGATGAGAGCGCGCTCATCCTGAGATTCCTCGCTGTTCATGTCTGTTGGCACGCCAGACCTCTTCACGGCAATGCTCAGTGCGAGCTCTGAGATCTCGAGAAGGACTGACTCTGGCTGACGTTCGATAGCGGCTAAGTAAGACCGGGTGATCTGGCCATAATTGGCATCCGAAAATGCCAGTGGAATAGTGCTGTCCTTTCCCATGGATTTGTTATGCGCCTGGGGAGCTTTGCCTCTGCCTCTGCGGGTGGTGTCAATCTCGCTCAAGATCATGCATCCCTTGGCCAAAAGCTTGACAGCGCGTTCAACCTGAAACGTGGAGAATGAGCCAGCTGTATGAGCAGATGAAAAAAAACACGCACCGCTGCCGTGACAAGAGAAAGAATGCCTTTCCCCAGCCCTGAATTAGTATCCAGCGTCAAGTCGATGGCATTAAGTGAAGAAGTCATGTGGTGCACAAGGACCTGCAAGATAAGATCAGACTTGAATGGGTACAACCTCTCTCTGTCGTCTGTTATTTCCCCATACAAGAAGGCATAGTCCTTAAGGAGGGTGCGTGAAAAGTCTTGGCGGTCCTTATCAGCAGTGAGATCGTCCTGTGAGATCAGGAAGAGTGCGTATACAATGAGGGCAGACTGGGAGAGGGCGTTGCGCCAATCTGACAACCGCTGGAGACTCTAATAAAAAAATCAATCAGATTTCAGTAGCGTCCAAAAAAGCACCTACCATGGAGATAACGGGCCCATCAACAGTGACCGTGTGTTGAATTTTACCTTTGTAGACGCCATTCCAGACTGACTGCAGGACACGGCATAAATCTATGTCAGTAATGGTCCATACTTCTTCGAGATCGCCAACACAGCGAAGGACAGTCGGGACGAACTCTCTCTTCCACTTGTTTCCCGTCGAATATCCATCAGGAAGGTGGCGCGTCCTGTAGAGAGAACGACGGAGGACCTCCACTGGTGGCTTTGTTGCCTTGGATGATGCAGCGCTGGTACGAGGGGCAGCGGTCTGAGTGTCTGGAATGGAGGACTTCAGCTGCTTTGCTGCAGGGGCTTTGAGTGTGGCAGTGACGCCAGTCTAACATATCATAGTCAGTAAAATGTTAGCATAATGAGGAATGAGAAGCGTACTGCAGACGTCAGCCGGTGCAGAGATACTGGTTCAGTAGGTTTGGTCTTGACTTGGATAATGGCATCGGGCCTCTCCATGATTTCAACTTCAGATGACAGTGTCATTAAGTCGTCGTCTGCATCAAGGTATGTTGATTTCCGCTTTTGACTTGCTGGCTGCGAGCTGAAGTCCACTAAAACAGGGCAACGAGAGCTGGGTTTCTGTGCAAGGGGTGGGGGCTCGAGGTCAGATTCACGGGCTGAAGAATGTAGCTCAGAGTCGGAATTGGAATTGTAGTCCACTAGGGAGGTAGGCTGTGTAAAATCGGCCGCGATGGGATCTGCCCCGTCGTCGATATCTGAATGCATGAGGAAGTCGTTGTCGAAATTTTCGATGGCATTGAACTGATCAGGTACTGGGATTGTGTCGCGATGTGCAACATTCGGAGGCACCACCTTCTTGAAGGCCTTGGAACTAAATTGAATACCCTGTGGTGGGGTTAAAATTGCATTGAATTAGAATATAAATGTGATTAGACTCACTGTAAATCCTTGGTTTGTAAGAGCTGTTGAGGGCTCGTCATCATCAAACTTGTCGTCTGCAAACAGACTTGAGTAAGTAGACCCCGTGTGGCCTTCGGGATCAGGAGTACTGATGGGTGTGAGTGGGGGTGCGCTGTTGCTACTCATAGTGCTCCCCTTTGTGAGTTTAGAAAGGGGAGCGGAGCTGGATATGTTGGACCGCTGGATGGAAGACGTGCTGGTAGAGGGATTTGCCTTGGAGGCTGGCCCATATATGGTGGCCGGAATAGTTGACATCCAACCTGGGATACGTCCAGCAAGTGCAAATTTCTTAGGGCTTTTAGCATCATCGTTGAGTATTGAAAGATTGAAGAAAAAAAGTGCGGTTTCAGTCAGGAGGAGCTTCATCGTGACTGTTAAGGTAAGACACTCACGTGTCAGATGTGATATCTCCATCACGTGCCTTTGTTATCGTTGATCCATCGATACTAATATCAACGTCTACAACTGCTTGAATCGCATCCCTCACCACCTGCTTGAATGGTTTTTTCCCCCTGGCTGCCCCTGGCACTGGCATGTTCAACTCTTCACCACTCGCAGGGTGTTCCACATTAGCACTGGCTGCTACCTTTCTACCTCCATGCCCACCACCAGCCTTGCCTTTGGTGCCAATGACCTGATCAGCAGTGATTTCTGCGCCTGCCTCAGGCTTCCTGAGAGCTGTGGTCAATGTTGAGGTCTCCATGGCCTTTGCACCCTTTTTTACAGCGCGTGCACGGGGACGCTTGGGCTTAGGTGCGTCAACCCGTGCGGCATCTTCATCTGCCTGCATCTTGGCCTGCAAAGTAGCAATACGCTGATAACCTTCCTGAACAGTGGCTTCACTTGCCTCCATTTCCTCTTGTTCACGCTGGTCATCAGCAGCTTTCTGAGCAACAGTACGTCTTTTTACACGACCCGCAGTCAAAATGTGTCCAGGATGCTGAGTAGCATTTTTAGCACAAGTCACCATACGGTTCGGAACTGTGGTAGACTGGGACATTATACTGACGATGGGCTTGGGAGGCTGAAGAAAGTTGAAGGCGGTGGGTTACGAGACAAAGGTGAGTTTTGTCATGTCTTCAAAATTTGCAGCCAAAGCTGACTCTGAATAATACATTGACCCTACTAGTAAATGTAATATACTAGTCTTGGAGCCTCAAAATCACCGGCAATTTCTCAGCGCAATGTTATTTATCCCTTCGCATTCACCATACTACCCAATACTATGCCTAGTATCTGCCCTACTCACAACATCTTTCAGCTTGAATGTCAATTTCCTGGCTGTATGCGCTGGTTTCGAAACCGTTCAGGCCGCACTCAACATATGGGTGCAGTCCACCCAAATCACAATGTTGCGCCTGCTTTAGGACTGCCCCTTGAGGATCTTCCCCTACCGCACCAGTTACCATCTCCACCTCGTGATGTTTCACCTCCCCCACCAGATTTCTCGCCGCCACCTCCAGACTTCTCGCCGCCACCTCCCAATTTCTCACCACCACCTCCAGAGCTCTCACTGCCGCCGCAGTCATCACCTGTTCCAATGGCTGGTGATGAGGATCCAAACCCCCCAGAGGCAGAATTCATGGATGCGAGTGGGCAATACTATCACACGTACCACTCGCTCCTCAATGGCAAGTACATTCCAGTCTGTGGTTTGTGTTTTTAACTTAAGTATGTTCTCAGGACGACCGTGCACGGCTGACGGTGTGTTTCTGCCACCCGGCATGCCACCAACTCTTCCACCACCAAAGTCTCCTCATGATTGGAGCCCGTATCGCAATGACGTAGAATTCGCAACAGCGGAATTCACGTTCAAACAATGTCATATGTCTCACGCAGCTTTGGATTTCTTGTTCGATTTAATGGCTGCGACGCTGGCAAAACACGACGACTCCCCTCCGTTCGTCGATCACAAGGATCTACACAAGGTCATCGATGCCGCCGAACTTGGCAATGTCCCCTGGCAATGTCTCTCAGTTCAGTACGCAGGGAACGCTCTGAGGATAATGTCCCGCCATGGATGGACAATGAATATGAAGTCTGGTATAGGGACCCCCGCTTGATGGCGCATAATATGCTAGCAAACCCTACCTACAAGGGTGAGATTGACTATGTGCCGTTCCGAGAGTATGACGCGTCGGATAACACACGTCAATGGAAAGACTTTATGTCTGGAGACCACATAATGCAGTAACATATACCCATCTCAGACGGGCAGCCGGGTGTGACAATGTGCCGATAGAGATGGGCCACCCGGTGCCGGCCCATGGCAATAATTGTACCGTGTTAGACAAGTGGGCCGAGGGGGTGGAGTGTCCAAGGCAAACAGATGGGCCGGGTGTATATAGTATAGATGGTAGTATAGCAATGTACTATATAGGAAATTATGAATAGTAGGGTGCAACAACGACCGGTATTTATGTAACCGGTTGCTTGTGGTAACATAGCACTCAATCCGGCGATTCCACCGGTGGTCTGATCATGTAAAATGGTTAAGATTTGACAAAGTTATGAGCCCTACAAGGGAAAGCCATAAATTTAGAGGATATTATGATATATTGTATCTAGACCATTGCAACCGGTATTTTTTGACCGGTATTTACATGACCGGTTGCTTGTGGTAACATAGCACTCAATCCGGTGATTCCACCGGTGGTCTGACCATGCAAAATCATTAAGATCTGACAAACTTATGAGCCTTACAAGATAAAGCCACAGATTTAGAGGATGTTATATCTAGACCATTGTGACCGGTATTTTTGTGAACAGTTGCTTGCAGTAATATAGTACTCAATCTGGTGATTCCACCGGTAGTCTGATCATGTAAAATGGTTAAGATTTGACAGAGTTCTGAGCCTTATAAGACCAAGTCATAAATTCAAAGGATACAGTGTTGTATCAGCTTATATCTGGACCATTGTAATCAGTATTTTTGCAACCGGTTGCTTGTGGTAATGTAGCACTCAATCAGGGGATTCCATTTTGCCCCTTTGATAGGAGAGTGTTCTAGCAAAGGCTCATAAGTTTGTCAGATCTTAATGATTTTGCATGGTCAGACCACCGGTGGAATCACCAGATTGAGTGCTATGTTACCACAAGCAACCAGTCACATAACTACCGGTTGAAAAATCCTGGTCACAATACTGTAGATATCACATATCCTCTAAATTCATGACTTTCTCTTGTAGGGCTCATAATTTTGTCAAATCTTGACCATTTTACATGATCAGACCACCGGTAAAATCACCGGATTGAGTGCTATGTTACCACAAGCAACCGGTCACATAACTTCCGGTTGAAAAATCCCGGTCACAATGGTCTAGATATCATATATCCTCTGACTTTGTGACTTTTTCTTGTAGCACTCATAACTTTGTCAAATCTTGACCATTTTACATGATCAGACCACCGGTGGAATCGCCGGATTGAGTGCTATGTTACCACAAGCAACCGGTCACATAACTTCCGGTTGAAAAATCCCGGTCACAATGGTCTAGATATCATATATCCTCTGCCAGTGAATTTGTGACTTTTTCTTGTAGCACTCATAACTTTGTCAAATATTAACCATTTTACATGATCAGACCACCGGTGAAATCACCGGATTGAGTACTGTTACTAGAAACAACCGGTCACATAAATACCGGTCACAATGGTCTAGACATGATATATATCCTCTGAAATTGTCACTTTCTCTTGTTGTAAGGCTCATAACTTTGTCAAATCTTAACCATTTTACATGGTCAGACCACCGGTGGAATCACCGGATTGAGTGCTACATTACCACAAGCAACCGGTCACATAAATACCGGTCAAAAAATACCGGTTGCAATGGTCTAGATACAATACATCATAATATCCTCTAAATTTATGGCTTTCTCTTGTAGGGCTCATAACTTTGTCAAATCTTAACCATTTTACATGGTCAGACCACCAGTGGAATCACCAGATTGAGTGCTATGTTTTACTATAAACAACCGGTCACATAAATACCGGACACAATGGTCTAGACATGATATATCCTCTGAAATTGTCACTTTCTCTTGTTGTAAGACTCATAACTTTGTCAAATCTTAACCATTTTACATGGTCAGGCCACCGGTGGAATCACCGGACTGAGTGCTATGTCACCACAAGCAACTGGTCACATAACTACCGGTTGAAAAATCCCGGTCACAATGGTCTAGATATGATATATCCTCTGACTTTGTGACTTTCTCTTGTAAGGCTCCTAACTTTGTCAAATCTTAACTATGTTACATGGTCAGACCACCGGTGGAATCACCGGATTGAGTGCTATGTTACCACAAGCAACCGGTCATGTAAATACCGGTCAAAAAATACCGGTTGCAATGGTCTAGATACAATATATCATAATATCCTCTAAATTTATGGCTTTCCCTTGTAGGGCTCATAACTTTGTCAAATCTTAACCATTTTACATGATCAGACCACCGGTGGAATCGCCGGATTGAGTGCTATGTTACCACAAGCAACCGGTTACATAAATACCAGTCGTTGTTGCACCCCATAATACCGGCCCACCCGTCTCCATTGCACCCTATCATGCCGGCCCACCCGTCTTCATTGCACCCCATATCACCGGCCCACTCGTCTTCATTGCACCCTATATCACCGGCCCACCCATCTCCATTGCGCCCTATAATGCCGGCCCACCCGTCTTCATTGCACCCCATATCACCGGCCCACTCATCTTCATTGCACCCCATATCACCGGCCAGCTCGTCTTCATTGCACCCCATATCACCGGCCGACTCGTCTTCATCGCACCCAATAACACCGGCCGACTCGTCCTCATTGCACCTCCTTTACCGGCCCACCCGTCTCCATTGCACCTGCTATACCGGCCCACTCGTCTTAATTGCACCTTATTTACCGGCCCACCCATCTCCATTGCACCTGCTATACCGGCCCACCCGTCTCCATTGCACCTGCTATACCGGCCCACTCATCTCAATTGCACCCTATTCTCTGGCCCCCTCGTCTTCATTGCACCTTATGTACCGGCCCACTCATCTCCATTGCACCTCATTTACCGGCCCACTCATCTCCATCACACCCCAGTTCCCCGGCCCACTCGTCTATATTGCACTCCATTCCTCCGGCCCACTCATCTATCACACACTGGATTCACTACTACTATTCATAATTTCCTATATAGTACATTGCTATACTACCATCTATACTATATACACCCGGCCCATCCGTTTGCCTTGGACACTCCACCCCCTCGGCCCACTTGTCTAACACGGTACAATTATTGCCATGGGCCGGCACCGGGTGGCCCGTCTCTATTGGTACATTGTCACACCCAGCTGCCCGTCTGAGATGGGTGAATTCACTGAAGGGGCTCTGGAGACTGGGCATGGCAGCAGGCTGTAAGTATTTGATTCGTTGTTATAACTCAGTCATAACTAATGTCTTGTCAGGATGACATATCAAATGATTGCAATATGCATGGATCGATGTTCATTCTGATCATTCTCGGTAGCAACAAGACTACTGTCTCTGTCGGTACAGGCAACAATGAGTACTATCCGTTGTATGCATCAATTGGTAATGTACATAACAATGTGCGGCATGCACACTGCGATGCTCTCGTCGTCATTGGTTTCCTCTCTATACCCAAAAGTACGTGTTAACATTTGAAATCTCATCGCCCTTCATCTGATCTATGCTACAGCTAATAGGAAATATACTCATGACGACACATTTCATACATTTCGTCGCCAGTTGTTCCACCGCTCGCTCTCCCTAATTCTCGCCAGTCTCAAGCCTGTGATGACCGATTACGAGGTCGTGCGCTGTCCAGACGGTCATTTTTGACGTGTCATATACGGTCTGGGACCCTACATCACAGACTACGAGGAGCAACTGGTGCTGTCCTGCACTGTTAAAAATTGGTGCCCAAAGTGAGTATTCGAACTTGCAATCACTCACTACTTCTACTGACAATTATTGTAGATGTCTCGCAATTTGAACAAACCTTGACAGCAGCGGTATGCATCGCTGTCGGGAACACACCGACCTAATGATACACGAGAATGTGCATTCAGATACATTATGGCATGAGTATGGTATCATAAGTGTTGTCGTCGTGAGTGGAACCACCTGCTCTCTAATTACATACTAATCTATTTTATGCAGCCATTCACAAACGACTTCCCCCGGGCCGATATTTATCAATTGCTGTCCTTTGATCTCCTCCACCAACTGATCAAAGGCGCTTTCAAGGACCATCTCGTGGACTGGGTAGTAAAGTACCTTAGAATCACACACGGGACCAAACGAGGAGACGAGATCATGAGCGACGTAGATCGCAGGTACGTGACGTCTAATTAGTTTAATGATATTGTCTAATAAAAAGTCAGAATTGCTGCTGTAGCATTGTTCGCTTGCCTCCGGCGATTCCCTGAAGGCCGCGACTTCAAACAGTGGACGGGTGACGATTCAAAATCACTCATGAAGGTATTCCTTCCGGCTATCGAAGGCCACGTACCTCGAGATATGGTGCGTGCGTTTCGCACACTATTAGAATTTTGCTATCTTGTTCGGCGCAACATCGTTACCGAAGGTACCATGCTTCAAATTCAAGATGCATTGGTTCAGTTTCACCGCTATCGCCAGATATTTGAAACCATGGGCACAGTCTCTCACTTCTCGCTCCCTCGCCAGCACTCAATGTGCCATTATGCAGACATGATCCGACTCTTTGGTGCCCCGAACGGATTATGTTCGTCAATCACGGAATCCAAGCATATCAAAGCTGTGAAGAATCCCTGGCGGTGGTCCAGCAAGAACAACACCCTCGGTCAAATGCTTTTGACCAACCAACGCCTTGACAAGCTCGCAGCGTCTCGTGTAGACTTCGCGACACGAGGGATGCTCGTTGGCTCAGTGTTATCACGAGCTGTGGCCGCTCTCCATAAGTACTTCCATATCTAATTGTCTTCTCGCATACTTATTTACGGTTGTAGGGCACGAAGATCAACCACCGGCGCTGGCAGGTGCTCCTCCTGTTGTACTGCCAACAGAAGACGGCATTGATGATGGTGAAGCTGTTGATGGTCCGACTGTACTTGCTTTTGTGCAGCTCGCAAAGACCCCCCGTGAGTGATATTGTGATATAATTGTTCTCAATACTCATCATGATTTTCACAGAACGTAAACGGGCACGGACGGTAGCAGAATTAGCAGTGGAGGTTGACGTTCCACACCTCCGACGCCTCATCCGATACTTCCTTTTCTCCCAACTCTTCCCTAATGATCCCCGAGACCCCGAAGATGTACCTGCTGCCAGCTGCCCTTGACATGAGGGCAAACTCTACGTCTTCAATTCTGCTGCTGCGACGTTCTATGCCCCCAGTGATCCGAGCGGCATTGGTGGCATGCGATGTGAACAGATTCGTGCGTGTCCACTCTGGCGGAATGTCTACGCCCGTAACGATTGCATGTTCATCAACACCAATCCGGGCACTGAAGGGATGCAAGGACTTGAAGTTGCAAGAATCAAGTCCTTCTTTTCATTCAAACATGACTGGGAATTATATCCCTGCGCTCTCGTTCATTGGTTTGACAAGGTCGGCGACTGTGCTGACGAGGACACTGGCATGTGGATAGTGCATCCCAGTGTTCATGACGACGACTCCCCAAACCTCGCCGTGATTCATATTGATACAGTCTACCGTGCAGCACATCTAATCCCTGTCTACGGTTCCGATTTCATTCCCGATTCCCTCAAGTATTATCACTCCTATGATGCTTTCCGCTCGTTCTACGTCAACAAATACGCCGATCACCATGCCTTTGAGATAGCATCATGACCGCTGCACATGACATTGCTGCCTTATGGCAGAACATTCAGGTTAGTCCTCAATTCAATCCTCAGTCCGTTGCTAATGGCCAGATCATCTAATTACACCTAGCATCTCCCCCCTCTCGACAAACCTTACTTCGAGGGCCTGAGGCCATGTTCAAGGTCGAGGGTGCTCAGTACTTCGCCAAGATTCTCAAGGCTCCAGGATGCTGCCAGTGACACTATCGGTACTTGTCTTATTGCGCAGACTCGGAGGAAGCAAGCCCCAGGCCTAATGTACTAGTTAGCATCATGCAGATCAATCTGCCGGTCAGGGATGAGGTACTAGTAGTATTGGTGCGGGCAGCCTACTACTTTGTAGCACGGTATCATTGACTACACAATTTTATACTTGCCAACTTTGTCGTTTGTCAGTTACTTTTCATGTTCGTGTGTTCAACTTGTGCTCTTATACTACTTTTCAGCTTTTGTGCGACATGCGCCTCCTTGGTTACTTGGCACAAGTGAACAAGTGAAATTAAGTCTCAATTTTTGAAACAAGCGAGCACAAGGATTGTGCGAATTTACTGATGACGGTCAGCACTGAGCATGCCCTTGCCACCTTGCCTAGCATTGGATATTAAATACAGTTTCCAGGACGAACCATTAAGAACCTTGTCTGGGCTGCCCAGGCATTAGAACTCTCTGCGTAAGTGTTATTGCGTGTGTTTGCTTCCCTGTTACTCATGACAGGACACAGAAAGGAACCGCTTTCCCTCGATCACGTCAAGGTTGTTGTCCATGCGCAGAAGAAGTTTTTGATGGAGTTTGTGAAAATCTACTCTTAGTGAGCAACTTAGCATCCTTATCGGTAGTATTGCCATGTCAGTGTCGTAACAGTAAGCCGCTAAAACCAACGGTAGGCTGTAATAACATCCAGGATAGGGGCGTGGGGTTTGTAGCTCCAGATCTGAGGAGGTTTGCGGCTTTCGGATGCCCACCAATCAATATCACCTTCCCGTCCATGTCTGGATGAAATATGTAAAAACTAGGGACTGTGTAAATAGTAGTACACCGAATATTTGCGCGCTGCAACAACGCACTCAAGAGTTTTCCCAAATTGCAATTGAAGGTTATTGCTTGCATTTCAATGCAAGAGTGAAACATTGAAATCCTGTACAGGTAGTAATACAACTAGAGATCATAGATTCCAAATTTCCCTCTCCCGTATCTTAATTCGTCGTGCTATGATCTCGAAAGCCCGAGCTGACAGTCCCTCAGGGTCGAGCAACTCAAAAAAGTTGTCTTTCAGAACACTTAATCTCCGCAATTCTTCTGGCACGACCTCTATCAGTGGTTGCTTGCGTCGACCATACATCTTGTCCCCAGTCTCTACCCACGTATTCAAAACCGTGTTCTGTGGACGGTCGATCTCAACATATTTCCAACGCGCCCCAAATGCGAGGATGGTGCCAATCGCGCGAAGGCTGGGGTCGGCCACGAAGGCATAGGCCGCTTGCTTGCGAACTTGATCACTGGAATCATCGAAAGGGGACTCCCCATCGAGAAGTTCTTTTCTTCTTATTTTGGGCTTGTTCTCCACCAACAGAACCACCTTTTGAATATCGCGGATGTGGGAACCATTGCTGGACGTCTGCACATACTGCAGGACCTGAGCAAAATCGGGAACAACCCTCGTTTTCTTGGGCTTTGCCACCGACCCAGGGGACAGCGCGATGGGTTTGGTAGTGTGCTCCAGGACGTATTGCGGTGCCAGGTTGCACGCTACTGTAGCGGTATTTGAATTGGCAAACATCCAGTCCTTGATTGCGATAACCCATACTGGGTACCACCGGAACTCTGTGTGATCTCAACCTGCAACCGTCACTGCATTGATCAATGCTACGTCCTTCATCATGGGGTGCTGTGGAAAGTGAAGAACGGGTGGCTGCTGGCCGTGCTGATGGTGGGGAAGTGGTTTCTTCCCAGTAGTGTGGTGTGATATTGCACGCACGCTACTATTCGCAAGCACAGTATCGTTACGATATCCAGTCGTCTTTGGGAACGAAGGGGAAAACTCAGTAGTAGAGATCGACGGTCTCATGGACGGTCCAGAAGACACAGTGCGAGATCTGCTAGAGGACGACGCTGTGCCAGACCCACCGACCCAAGGAGGTAGCAAAGGCACTGGTGCTGCACCAGTGGTCTGATGTTTGACTCGTGTGGTAGTCGAGACTGCCCTAGATTTGTAGGCACTAGGGGAGTGGAGCACAGGCTGGGTGATTGAGGAGAATGAAGGTCGGCGGAACGGTAGGAGGTGATTTGAATTATTTGATGTCGGAGGTACTAGAAGTGGAGCACATGCGCACAGAGGTGGTCAATCAGCAGCACGGTATGATGCAGCATCTGGAGTGCGCAGAAGGGCGGGATTGGCAGCATGATATGGTGCAACATCGGGGGTGTGCAGAGGTGCCCGATTGGCAACGCGGTATGATGCAGCATCCGGAGTGCGCAGGTCGTAGCTTCCAGGAAAGTGGAACGACATTCATTGTCAATGACTCTGCACTTCGAAGGCTGGGAATGTTTTCTGTCCTCGTCATCAGGGTCGAACCTTTATACCGCACTCACTATACAGCTTGACTATTCTGTGGATCCTCCATTCGGGAATTGTCCATTGATGCCCAGATAAGTATCACTGGACAGTGACGGATTCGGTGGACATGAAGAGTCCCCTGCCAGTAGATGTCCCACTGTTTTTTTCAACAATTGAGGATCAGCGCGCTCGATATTAAGATTACAAGTCATGAATTGTCCACAACTTCATATGTGGCTGTGTGACGGTAACCCCATAAATACGGACCTCAGGCCTTAGTACTCAGTCTCATCGATTCCTCACGTTGAATACCACTGCAAGCCCCACAAAACTTAGCAGAAGTTATCCTTGCTTCTTTGTCAAGACCATGTCTTCTCTCCTCTCGAAGTCGTTTGATGCCTTAAAGGTATATGTTTTCTCTTGTCAGTTGTTTTGTTTCTAACGGCCATAAGATCGCGACCGCAGAACATACCGGGGATTCCATCAGACGACGACCCTTCAAGCTTGTCCGTCCCAAAAGGCAGTCTCATCTTCAGTTCTACGGATATGCAGTCTCTCGTGAATGGCTTATCCAGTTTGCGGAACAAAACTGGCCAGCAGATGAGTTGCCCGATCGCAATGCCAAAGACTATGAGGACATTGCCGCGACGCGAGCATACAAACTCATTGCGGATTTGTCGTCCATCTGCAGTTTAGGACGCAAAACTTGTTTCAATCCCAAGGGTGGCTCGGTGCCTCCTTACTGGATCGCTGTATATGATGGTGATTACGACGATGAACTCGATGACGAAGAACTCATGAACATTCAAATTGACACCGTTGTCGTCCTCTCTGTGTGCTCGGACGAAGAAGACTCCTTTGAAGAGCGTCCGACGCAGGGACAGATGGATTTCATGACAAAGTTGATTGGGCATGGACCACAGTGGTGGATGGGTTGTAGGAGTACATATTGAGCTCAAGTGCCAATGGATTGAACATGGAACGAGCTGTGTCGTCGAGTTTCCTTGTATATATAAACCAGGCGTGTTGATATACGTATGTGGCTACATATCATCATACAACCATAGAAAGAGGGACGTGGAAAGGAATGAAACGCACGTCATATACAAGATATTTTACGCCCTTTGCTCCTGCCATTCACACGTTCCTTCTAGATGCCATACCGGCACCTCATCTTTGAATTTACCCAATCTGCATCTGACTTTACTCGAACGTGGATTTTCGGTTGATTAGTTCTATTGATCAAATTTCGACGTTCGAGGTGAGCATTAATATTTGTGTTTCCTGTGATCTAACATAACATTGAATCTTCGCGGTCTACAGAATTTTCCTCCTCGCATACAGACACGAGTTTTCATTAGTCTGGCTAGGGGAGACTACAACAGACAAGGACTTTGAGAAGCCGCTGTTTTGACCTCTGCGCGGATATCCAGGTTGTACTGTATCGACCAGTATTTTATCTGGCAGATTGCTGTAGTTGCGTACGGATGAGCTCAGAAACTACTTTCATCATGCCTTTTATGACCGCGCCCGCAGCGTGCTGTCTTGACTGGCGATATTGGAAGGTGATCAATTTTGTCACTCGAGCATATTTGTCGGCCAGCTTGCTCCACAATTTTCCGTGGACAGTTAGCACACCCATCTAATTCCCACTCTCTGAGCTTCCCACACATCTTTCTCGCCCGCCCGCCCCCTTTTGTGCCTGCCGAACTTTTCGCCTGCTCACCAGCTGGTTAGTATTCAGTTGTTATTTACCTCGACTTTCATGATTTACTGATTGAACTCGACTGTCATGTGTATTACTACACCTCGCACTTTAGAATACCGATTCAAATGGTAGTGCTGGCACTGCTGTTAACATCAGCCAATATTGACATCCAGACAGCGGATTCGAGCTGACATTGGCTTTGCTTCGCAAAGAGGTATTTTTTTCTACGTCAAATTGCCAATAGACCTTGCTTCACAAGGTAAGTAAGTTATGATCGGACCGTCTGTATCAACTAAGTTCTCGAGATCTTGTTGAGAGGTGATCCGTCAGAGCACCGAGCCGGTTCCAGATAAATATATCTAACTGTTCCAGTTCTATGTACCTTAGCTGCCAGTGTCACTGGACGTCATCCACCCTAGTTACTGACCATTTTCTCTTTTCTATTTAAGGATGGCTAGACGCTATACTCGCACCTCAGTCTTTCTACCATTGACTGAGGTGCGCATACCATTCATATTATACTATACATGATACTTACTAGCGGTCCTACAGACTCACGCTACCTTAGGTTAGTTTACACGAATAGAGTCTTTCTACCATTGACTGAGACTCACGCTACCTTAGTTCTCGCTCTTTAACAGGTTATGAGCCCTGACTAAAGGGTAGCGACATCTTCTCCTCGAAATCTCTCATTCTCTCGCCGATAACCACTCGGCTCTGACACTACCATGTCGTCTCCTGACTCCCTTCCCAAAACTGAACGATATCCGCATGAGAAGCTCACCCTCGACGGATCCAACTACTCTCAATGGGCCACTGGCTTTAAGATGTGGTCCGGCGGCATTGGACTATGGCCATATATCAACGGCGACGAGACAGAACCATCACCTCCAGCCACACTCACGGACGTGGATCAAAACATTATTCGTGCAGAGAAACACGACGAGCAAGTACGAGTCTACAAGCAACGCTGACTCCTCACTCTCAGCGCTCTGTCGATGGCAATTGATGCACAGGACTTTGTCCACCTCCGCGATATAGATGATCTGCACGTGGCGTGGATTGCTCTAGAGAAGAAGTACCTTCCCCAAAAAGCTATTCGATTCAATCAATACCTGGACCGCCTGTTCACCATTCCCAAGGCGCATGACAGTGCCTCCATCACCCAAACCATGCAAACCCTTACCGTGCTGAAATCAGACCTTGCAGCTCTCTCTGTCACCACAGTCGCACCCTCCACCACCAGTGTCGTTACAACTGCGGCAAAGGACGAGTACAAGATCCCGGATGCAATCTTCGTGCACGTTCTATTGCGCACCCTACCTGACTATTACGACCCCCTTCGTCAAACCCTCGTCAACAGCGACACTTTGCTAGACTTCAGCGATGTTGTGAATCGCCTGAAGACTCAGGAATTGCACCGCGCTGGGACCAGTGGCAGTGACCACGTGGCCATGCTCTCTGGACACCGAGGAGGAAACTCCTCCAACCCCAAGACCAGCGATCGTGTCCCACCGAAAGGATTTGATGAGACGAAAGGGGATGGCTGGATAGTAGGATGGCGACCTAAATGCGGCCACTGTCAAAAGGCCAGTCATGTCTGGGTACAGTGCCGTGCACGGCTCTCCAAGGACGACAAGACTCCAAAGTCAGCACCTAGTCCTTCCTCCCCTGCCGCTACCACCGCTGACACGGTGTCCTCCCTGCCAGACCCAACTGACGAGTCTATCACACCACTTCCATTCATCCTTACGCTAAAGGATCACTCAGCCAATATCTCATCAGCCCTTACTTTACCGGCTGGATCCTTCCACGTAGACTCTGCCTCAACGGCTCATATGGAGCCTGAAATATCATGCTTTTCTCACTATGTGAAACTGCGTGAACCTATCCGTGTGACGTTAGCTGATGAGCATGTGGTGTTAGCTCCAGGATGGGGTAAAGTGAAGCTTGTTCTCCGGTTTGGTGATTCGTTGACGGAACACGAGCTCGAGTTCCTACATGTCCCCAATCTACGTTGCACACTCATTTCGGTCTCCACCCTCGCCTCTGCTCGTATATCCTTCACGACAACCTCCAAAGGGGGAACACTGCGCTCTAACGATGGCAATGGGCTGTACATCGCCCACGTGCACCAGAAAGGCGGATTATATCTGCTAGATGCGACATACCACATGGCTTATTCCACCCCTGCACACGCGATGCTCACAAAGGCTACACCTCCATCTCTCAATACGTGGCATTGTCATCTTGGGCATGCTGGTTTTTCGACCATTATGAAGGCCATGGGACACGTCAGTGGAATGAACATCGACAAGACCACGCTGCATCATCACATCGACGGCGCCGACACGATACACTGTGTGTCCTGTGTTATGGGAAAACATAAATGACTTCCCTTTCCTGCCGTTGCACGCCGCGCTAAAGCGACAGCCGACCTCATTCACTCCGACATCTGGGGACCAGTCAACATCACTTCCTCTACCGGTGACCACTATTTTGTGGTATTCACTGATGACTACACGAGGTACTCAGTGGTCTATCTAATGCGTGCCAAATCCAAAGTCTTTGATCGTTTCCAGCACTTTATGCCCTGGATAGAGACGCAATCTGGGGGGTGTGTCAGGTGGCTTCGCAGTGACAATGGAGGCGAGTACATGTCGAGGGAATTTCTGACCTACCTTGGGGAACATGGTATTGAGCACGAAACCACCATGCCCTGGACTCCCCAGCAAAACGGTGTCGCGGAACGCGGGCACCAAACCATTGTCACTCATGCACTCAGTTCACACCACCTGAGTGGCTTCCCGCGTTCGTTCTGGGGCTGGGCAATTCTGAACTCAGCCCACATCAAGAACATGCTCCCTTCCTCATCTCTCGCTGGTCGCACACCATTTGAGGTGTTCTATGGTCGCAAGCCGGACGTCGGCTACCTTCGCCCATTCGGTTGCCTTGCCTATGCGCACATACCAGAGGACACCCGCCGCAAGTACAACTTCGTCTCTCGTCGCTGCTTCCTACTTGGCCATGTACGGAATGCAGGCTACACTCTCTGGGATCCCTCTACCAAATGCGTCGTGCGTTCCCATCATGTCCACTTCGACGAATATGTGTTCTATGGGGATCCTGCTTCCTCACCCCTCGCTCCTCTCCTTCGTGACTCGACGGATCTCCCTGCTGTCACTTCATCGGTGGGAGGTGTCTCTCAATCAGTGGGAGTGCAGGCTGGTGAGCCACCTCTATCGACCCCTGCTGACTGCGTACCACAGGTGTCAGTGGGAGAGCATGACGACCCACCTGACCAGAACGATCTGCCAGTAACACCTGACCCAACTGAACAGGTAACACTGCCTATCCCACAGCAACCTCCAGTACCTCCTCCCCCTGCACCTCCATTGAATATTCCGCCTCGTCGCAGCACTCGTTCATGCCAACCGGTACAAGCAGGCCATATTGCACCCTCTGGCACCAGCACAATGGCCATACCAACACGACGAGTTCCTGTTGCCGAATGCTGGACATATGTACCAGAGTCCTCAGCCAGTCAGCACGACAACGACAGTACCGAATCCGCAATGCACACAGCTACCAAACCTCCCAGACCTGCCGAACCTCCCAAACGCTCAAACGTAGTCATACCCGAAACCATCAACAAAGCTCGGTCATTACCAGAGTGGCCTCAATGGTCAGACGCCTGCAAATCCGAGCTACAGTCAATGCAGGACCTCAAAACACACAAACTCATGCCGCTCCCAGAAGGACACAAAGCGATTGGTTCAAGATGGGTGTTCACGGTAAAGACTGACGAAGAAGGCAACATCACCCGTCACAAGGCACGCTTCGTCGCGCAGGGATACACGCAAGTTGAGGGGATCGACTATACAGAAACGTTCGCGGCCGTCGCCAAGTACGACACAGTTTGTATTCTCCTCGCCCTCGCGGCGAAATTCGACCTTGAACTGGACCAGATGGACGTACATACCGCCTTCCTCAATGCTGACCTCAAGGAGGACATCTACCTCAAGCAACCGGCTGGTTTCGAAGACCCTGAACATCCGGACTGGGTGTGGAAGCTGGAGAAAGCGATTTATGGGTTGAAGCAGGTGGGGTATGAGTGGAACCAGACGCTGGATGAGTACCTGCGGAAAGAGGGGTTCAGATTCGTAAGGAGCGAAGCTGATCACAGTCTGTATGTCCTCCATGAGGGAGACAAAGTCATATGGCTAGTCATCTATGTCGACGACATGCTCGCAGCGTCGAACTCTCGCGATTACCTGGACAAGTTCAAGACACAGCTAAAACAACGCTTCGACTTATCGGATCTTGGTCCCGCTCGCCACTTCCTTGGCATGCACATTATGCGCGACTGTGAGAAGAAGCGTTTCGAACGAGGAAATTCACCGTCGCAGCACAGGCTTACATCAGCCTTTCCCAAAAGGGAATAGGCGCGTGCTGTGCTGGGGGAACGGGACCACCAAGCACCGTCGAGGACGAACGAGTGGCCGGAAACGTTGGATACTTGGGAATGTCGACGGGCAACGACAACGGGCGCCTGCTGACGAATGCGAGACGGGTTGGAAAGGAAAGGAGAGGCATGGGAGTGGGAGCAGGATCAGAAGTTCGAGATGTGGCAGTGACAAGGTAAGAGCCGAAATGAAAGCTCCAACGCTAACCGAGCAGCTGCTGATGCAGACTGTGAAGTTCTCACAGTGGACCTGTGAATTTCTCGATGCGAAGCCGTCTGCGTCGTTGCCCTTTTCTCGCAGGTGCACCAGCCAACTCGAGGTGAGAAGCTCTCGCGCCATGAAAAATTCACGGTCTCAAAATTCACGATCCTAGGTTGACTCTGGGCTGGCCGTCTCAGTCTGGATTATCCCTCGTTGCACCATACTTACTCTTGACAGCGTGGTGCTCGCAGCTCTGCCCTCCTCACCTAGTAACTGCCTTTGGTGTAACCGGGTGGCGAACGGTGTAAATAGGTGGAGCTCGCACCCCCCAGCATATCCAGCACTTATTACAGGCGTCTTAATATGCATCCCCCTCTAGCTCGTGTCTTTTCTAGGTAAGCTCAAGCTTGTCTCGTTCTATCTGGTCTTAATATTTACTACTAGTCTACCATCCTGCTCTCGCTCAGGCTCGTCTGTCTTTTCTAGGTAAGCTCAAGCTCGTCTCGTCTATCTGGCCTTAATATTTACTACCATCCTGCTCTCGCTCAGGCTCGTCTATCTTTTCTAGGTAAGCTCAAGCTTGTCTCGTCCTATCCGGCCTTAATGTTTACTACCATCCTGCTCTCGCTCAGGCTCGTCCTTCTGGTCTTAATATTTCCTAGCATCTCTCTCGCTCAACTTCGCCCTATCTGGGTCTTAATATTTCCTACCATCCCGCTCTTGCTCAACTCATCCAATATTTCCTACCATCCCGCTCTCGCTCAAGCTCGTTCTATCTGGTCTTAATATTTCCTACCATCCTGCTCTTGCTCAACTCATCCAATTTTTCCTACCATCCCGCTCTCGCTCAAGCTCATTCTATCTGGTCTTAATATTTACTACCATCCCACTCTCACTCAAGCTACTTGATACTATCTACCATTATCTCCAAAATCACACTATCTTTGCTATTGATGCACGGCCGAGTTTGCATTCCTTTTCTAATATTCTTTGTCTGTATTTACTACTGAACTACTGAACTCATGCGCACGTGCACGTACGGCCACATGCTGTACATGGATCACTCCCAGCTCGGTCGGGATTGAAGTAGTCCTCTCGCTGGAGCTGGGGTGCATCAGTCCACGAGAGAAGGTACTTGAAGATGGTGCCGGGGTTGTCGAAATTTTCTGCCCAGCCCCCCCACGTACATATCTGACGGAGTGGCCACCGAAGCACCATGGCCAGGTACTGACAACCTCCACAACGGAAAGAATGAGTCCCGTATGGCCGGGGGTCAATGCCAATATCGAGCAGGTTATTGCGGAAGCACTCGAGGAAGGAATCTGCGGTCTGCAATAGCAAATAAGTAGGATTGAGGACCGAGGACCATGATAGCTCACCATCCCATCATGAGGGTTCGCGCTAACACCATCTCGTCCCATTTTTTTGCGGAAAACATAGCCATTCATGTCAAGACCGAGATACCGACAGTGATGCCACCAAGCTGCCCATGCACGAACCGGGCACATCCATGGCTTCTCGGGATTTTCGTACAGGAAGAACGGCACAATACCTGCATTGGGTGAGTCATAAACGAGCACAGCAGTTTTTCTTCTGAACTGACCTCCATATTGATGAGTCTTGCGAAAAGGGAGCATGAGCCTGATTCGACGTCGTCGTGGCTGATAGTACTCGAACCGGACATCACTCCATGTGATGCGAAGAACCTCTTCGAAACGGAGCAGCAAGAGCATGGCAGTGATGAACATCAGCTGCAGCATGAGTCGAACTGTAGAGCCTGCCCAGCTCTGGGGTGCTTCAGCTTTCCGTTTGTTTGATGTCGGACCAAAGTCCTCATTGGCGAAATTGACATTGTACTCATACAGCTCCTTCATGGTCTGTTCGTCCATTGCACGTGCACTCGTGACCACCTCTCCTGCTCGAACCTGAGTAGTGTATGGGAATGTGAGTGTGCACCCTTCCCGAAGACGAGGGCCTACCTTTCGGCGGCCCAAACTTATCATGTACTGTGATACCGTCACCGAGAGTGACGGATTTCCCCGGAAGTGACCAGGCTGCAGGGAATCCTCCAGCCAGGGCTGTGTACCGAGTCTGTGGTCACGTCCGTACTTGTGACTGATTGCTGCCCGCATTTTTTGAGCCGTGGCATAGGTAACACGCGATATGCTAAGTTCCTTTGCCTGTCCGGTGCAGATATCGATGTCATCAGCTCTAGAAAATTGGAATTGACAGTCAGCTCGCATGCCCGTTGTCTGAAAGGCAATCATTCGTTTGCGCACTTGTCCATTATCCACATTGCAATCCACTCGGGAAAATCAGCTGGGAGACCTGGGTAGAGTGCCTCGACATCATCGGGATGCTTCACCTTGTCGATGTCGCAGCAAAATTGTTTGAATTGCTCCCAGAGCCTGTGTGGTGATCTACTAGTCAGAGCTTCGCCTTGTGGAGGCGGCATGAGATGGGGTGTCATACCTTCTGTACTCTGATAGAGTGTTGCTCACAACGACATGCTGGGATGCTGTCTTCAAGTTCTTCGACATACCATCCACGTCCAGCCTGCATTTCTTTGACGGTTCGGCTTGCTCGCGCAGATATGTGCCGCTCGACTCTTGCTGCTTGTGTTCGATGTCGACGGCAGCCATCAAGGACTCGATTTCCTCTTCCTGGTCATCAGCAATGGCCTCATAGGTCACCATTGCTGCAGCGTCTGTGAGATAACATTTTGCACCTCCCAGTGGGGGAATACGTATACGAGGCATCTTGGTTCAATTGTGAATGAGGGCAACATGTTCCAATATTTAAAAAAGCCACTAACCTCCGTGATCGCCGATCGACGACCTTAATTTGAACTGGAAGGCTTGGCGGACGACACCTCATCTTGCACGCACATTTGTTTGCATCATTAGCATGCCTGCTGCTGAGATCATATGCCTGCCTGAGCTGGGAAAGACATTGGGAGCAAACGAGCAGCCGCAGATGGTGGAGTTTGTAATGTTAGTTCATCTGCGTCCCTCACTGCAGTGGTGGCCACTAACTTGTGAATGTTGCAGACAGCAGGACACAACCGTGAAGACACTGAGGGAAAAGTTGAAGGAATATGGCCTGCAGACGAGCGGGAAGAAAGCTGACCTGATTGAGCGCTTGCGTGAGTATGCTGCTGATGACACGAGCTGGAGACTGTGAGTTAGCCGATGAGCTCAGAGTCTCAGCATGCTGGCTCACACCGGCTCGGCATTATTTGCAGGTTGTTCCAACCTGCAAGGAAAGGGACGAGAGGCAGCTACACAGGCAGGCGAACGGCAAAATTGTCCGCACAGCGCATCACATCCCAATTTGGGGAGCACGAGCTGACCCTGGTGCAGCACAAGAGCAAACGGGGCATTGGCCGTGTGGTGCAGAGTCTCACACCAGCCGACATTGACAATAATGATGCCTGGGTGAGTTTCATAGTACTTTTATTGACCACTTACCATTAACGGGCCCATCCACAAGGCGGCTGACGCACTACGAGTGAATGTGCCCCTATCAATTACAGAGCAACCCACCTTGCTCACACCACAACTCTCGGCCCACACCAATCTCCCACCTGCAGGCACTGTGTATCCCACCCACGAGTCAACTACTGAGGTGCGTGTCTGCGTGTTCAATCTGCCGTCAGCCTCTGACTTTCAAGTTGATTGTTTAACTCACTGGCAGGATGGACAGAGCCTGAACCTGCGCTTCAGGCGCTTGGAACGCACCATTGCCAGTCTGGAAGACACCTTCGTCGAGCGAGTGAACGACCTCGAGATGGGGATCGGCAACCGAATTGCTCGCGAGCTTGCTCCCCTCCTCCGCACAAGCTTTGATGCTTTCAGTGCTGGGGTTTCTCAGCAACCACTTCAACCAGCACACCCTCGCCCTCTCGCTGCATCAACGCAGCTGTCTTCCACTGCACAACCATTCAAAATGCCTACCTCCGTCACTGAGATGGCCGCTGTTCCCACGCAATCCATCCCACCCTCCAATCTCGCCGTTCTTCAGCTGGACGATGGAGAGCTGGCGTTCGACAAGACCACGGTCATGCCACCACCAGCTGTGCGCTTTTCGACGGACATCAGCAGCTCTGTTCAGAGAGTGGCACCATTCGACGTACCTGGTGGTGAATGGGCATGGAATCCCCGTCAAGTTTTGGGGGGATGTGTACAAAAAGTGCACCGGACAGAACAGCAAGGCATGGGCACTGCGGAAAGTGCAGTGGGGGCAGTGGAAGGTGAGTTCCTGCAGCTCCGACTCGGAAATGACTGACACACCTCTTTTTTTTTCAAACCACAGTTCATTGTCGAGGAGCGTTCGCGTTTCGCATCGGACGATGCATTCTGGATCGCCTGGACGGACACCAATGGCCAGCGTGTCGGATACACGAAGCTCTGCGACACTCTGCAGCGTCAGCGTGTGGCTCGTGACACGCGAGACGCTGCCGCTGCATGCTCGTTCTTCGATGGCAACCTCGACCACCCTGATGCGCAAGGAGTATTCAGGTATGCGAAGTCTGGTGTTTCGAAGCTGATGAGCAAGGATGTCGATGTCGCCCGCAAGTGGAGGGAGTTGCTTGCCGTCAACGTTGCACTCGCCCAGCGCTGGGAGGGTTCACGAGATCCGAGTTTGCCACAGCTGCAGCCATCATCACTGCCAGCATGACTCTTACTACTGCACTACTACATGCTCTGCCTGTTCATTGTCTCCACCCCACACCAGCCTCTCTCCTTGCAGCATTTTCCATCCCTTCTCCTTTCCTTTCTCTATTGACGGCTCCATGCCGTCTTGCTAAACTACCAGTAGAGTACCTTGCAAGTATGTTGCACCTTTTAATTGCACTTTCATTGCTTAACTGCCTAACTGCTTGACTGCTCGAGCTGCTTCTTGCCCTACTGCCTACTCCGCCACGTCGAGTCCCTTCCCGTCTCTCCCGCCACGTCCTCTTACGCCGAACCCGCGCCTCCTTCGTCCCCTTCCCTTCAACATGCACGCGCGGCTGGGTGCCAGGGGTCCTGGCACCGCCACCGCTCGATCAGGAAGTTGGGACCGCAAACCAGACCGCAAATCTCCCATGACCGACGGTGAGTTTCTCGCAGGAAGAGGCTCCTCACCATTAGCCAGAAGGCTTACCTTGAGAAGATTCTCGAGAACGCCGGCATGACACTGTGCAATCCCGTCAGTACACCTATGACACCTGGAGTAACCTTGCAGAAGGCTACACGTCCCCCAACGAGTGAAGAAGCGGACGCCATTGCGTCGATCCCATATCGCCGAACTATCGGTGAACTCAACTATGCTATGCGAACCACTCGCCCCGACATCGCTTACCCAGTTTCATGCCTCTCCCGATACATGGAGAACCCCAGTATCGACCATCATCGTCAACTCAAACATCTTCTCCGGTACATTCGTGGAACTACGGATTTAGTACTCATCTTCGGCTCGTCGAACGAGGGACTCGTTGGACACTCGGATTCGGACTATGCTGCAGATCGAGACGATAGCAAGTCCACCAGCGCTTATGTCTATCAACTGTTCGGAGGGCCCATTAGTTGGAAGTCTCAGAAGCAATCTGTGGTCGCTACCTCGACCACGGAGGCCGAATATATAAGTCTATCGAACGCTTCACGCGAAGCATTATATCTAATCCAGCTTCTACACGACTTCCGCCTTGACCCCGAACTCTACGATCCCGCACTCCTATATGGAGACAACCAGTCCAGTATTGCGCTCTCGAAGAATCCAAGATTCCACGAAAGAGCCAAACATATTCGCGTCCACTACCATCTCATCCGCAACCTCGTCGACACGAACAAGATCGAACTCCAGTACAAATCCACCTCGGAGATGATTGCTGATAGTCTAACGAAGGCATTACCTCGCCCAGCTGGGATCCAGCATCGGGAAAACATGGGACTACGTCGTCAAGACCTGCCAGGCGCTCTGACGAGTGGGAGTGTTGAGAGGTGATCCGTCAGAGCACCGAGCCGGTTCCAGATAAATATATCTAACTGTTCCAGTTCTATGTACCTTAGCTGCCAGTGTCACTGGACGTCATCCACCCTAGTTACTGACCATTTTCTCTTTTCTATTTAAGGATGGCTAGACGCTATACTCGCACCTCAGTCTTTCTACCATTGACTGAGGTGCGCATACCATTCATATTATACTATACATGATACTTACTAGCGGTCCTACAGACTCACGCTACCTTAGGTTAGTTTACACGAATAGAGTCTTTCTACCATTGACTGAGACTCACGCTACCTTAGTTCTCGCTCTTTAACAGATCTTAGGTGGCATTCTGCTGGCATCGCAGATATCGAAAGCGGATTTCAGGTGGGTAGGTTTTTCCTACATCGCCACGAAGAGCAATATTCAGTACATAAAAGTAAGTCGTCTTCCTACTGTCCCGTTGAGATTTAATTGATCCCATTCACAAACAATGCGTTTATCCTTTGTCCTCATCGGTATTGCTGCTTTGACAGCGTCAATTTCTGCAGCACCAGTACCTGCCAGTGACGCTGCCAGTGACCAATGTCCTTTGTTTTGCGATTATACTGAACAGTGTTGCCTAGGGCAGTCATGCGAATGGTTTGTGAGTATGAGTAGTTTGGGTGCTGGATTTAACCACATGACTCACCGGCGTGGTAGTTCGTCTATACTGTATGCAGCAGTGCATAAGTGGATGGCATATCGCAACAGTGAACTACAGTGAGTCGTGCTTCGTATTCCGAAGGTCCCTGTGTCTCGCCCAATTTTCTGATGGTCTGTAGAATTTGCCAAATTGCCCCTCGTCTTGCAGTCGCACTCGCCTCATGGCATATCTACATTGATATACTTGCAATCCATAGTTGTTCTTACTACCACTAGCCCATTCTCCTCGTGTGCACTCGCCTTCGTTCATAAAGAAGACGAGAGAATATATCCACGTCCTTGACTTCTACCATCCCCTGAAAGCTTAGTACGTCATACTTCGTGCCCGACGTAAATGGAGTCCAACCTGACGCTCGAGACCATTGTCTAGGTCTATTTTCAATCCTACCCAGGCATGGGCACTCGCGGATACTATGTGTATTGCTATCGGAGTATGTATTTCGTTTACTACCGCCATCATGATTCTTATCCGGAGGGTCTTGGCATAGAGATGTTTTGGTCCATGCAGTCGCCCTACGCCATCATAAGTCAGAAACAGAGGTTGCAAGCGTTATTGGACGAGTCGGACTCCACAGTACTCCGCCATCCCCACGTTTGTGGTCATCGCCTGACCGCTGTTTCTAAAGAAATTCCAGAGTGTCTGCTACAAGATCACCGCATTCTGCATTCTGCATTCTGCACGCTGCATCTTTTTTTTGCTGCACGCGCTGGCGTTCCTGCCACTTTGCTTGTCGGGTGGGGGGACAACCCAAAGGAGATCATGAACACTCCGCTTAATGCTAGTAGTTTGAGAGGTTTCTTGATCAGTCCCTCGCTTTGTGTCCCCGCTTCAGGCACCCTCTAGCCTGACTCCGCGGAGGACAATTGGGGAAGGGTCTCGTGGCTTTTAACTTGGGAACCCTATACATGTTGCATCTCTGGGACATTATAGGTTCTCCGGCATGTCGTCGCCCATCGTCAAAATTTTCGACGTTTCGTACGTCACTTGTACAATACTTTTTCCGTAGTCCCCTGTCCAGTTGGTTGAGCTATGCTAGTTTTGCGAGGAAAAGCGAATGTTTTGTCAAGCTAAGAACTACAGGCTCACCAAAACAACAACTAAATATGAAGCAGTGTTGTAACATAAGTACGGTATCAAGAATTTTGCGTAGATGCCAAAGTCTGACGGAGATTCATATGTACTGTATCAACAATTTTGACATCAACAAGATGATGCCCGGAATCGTGTCCATAGCAGCCCTGTACTCAGCACAGCGGCACCAACAACAGAAACGACCGAAAGCGAACCTCTTAAGCCTGCAGCAGTGTTCTCCTTACTCGTACTCCCAAGCTCCCACGTGGAGCCTGACATCCCATTCGAGGTCGCTAGCACACTTGGGTCGACGGTCGCTGTGTTCTTTGTCTTCGTCACCATCGTGGTAGAGAACGTCTGGGTCGAGGGGTTCCCCGACTCTGCATAAGCGTCGGAGGAGAGGAAGACGAGTGCGACGCCAGGGGCGGGGACAGTCACTTGACAAGTATTGGACGACTGGTCACAGTTGATCGTTTGCACACTTTCTGAGCCTTTTAGGCGGCCATCAGACTGGAAGGTTGAGCCAAAGGTCTGACAGGAACACAAGTACATTAAAAATTGAAATTTGTGTTGGTGAACGACGCACCTGACCCGCCCATGTAATGTTGTACTTCTCAGACACGGAAGGGGCCGCTAAATATCTAAGATAGCGAGTAATTTAGCGGGCAGTTTGTGGTTGTATTACCGTGGAACACGTACTTGACATTTATTTGTGCAGGCATGGTAGAGCCGCCGATGGAAATCGTTGTTGTGTAATCGCTCGCACCGGTCGGGTCTGACACGTAATTGAACAACACAAGGCGCATGGGAGCACCATTCTCATAGATCGCGTAGGCCGGGGTATACATGCTGATGCTGTTGGCCTGCAGGTCGACAATTTGGGCGTTCCCAGATGGCCCAAATACTTCGGCAGAAACGATCGTACTGTAAAATACAGCGCCAACCGTCCACTGGTGGTACGCCGACTGGTTCGTGGGAGGCGCTGAGCAGAAAGGTCAGTATGACATTGTCTCAGCAGCTTTCATCTTGAGAGAGCTCACGAGTGAAAGGCTGGTTATGACGCATGGCTTAATAAGGGTTTCAACAAGCTCAGAATAGTTAACTCACGTTGTAGTACGTCTCCTGACCACCAATGTGCAGCATTGAGCCCGAAAAGTTGCTATAAGCCATTTGAAGGCCATAATCGAGTGCCCAAAGAGCCGCGCCGAAAGTGTCACTAATTCCTGGTAAGCCACCGCAGGATGCTGTGTTCGTCTCCATCATAATGAATGGCTTTCCATTAGCCTGCGCAAAGTTGGTGGAGTTGAGATAGGGAGCAACGATATTAATGCTAGAGGTGTGGTTGAGGAAGTTTTGAAACACGTCTTGTGGGTTGACAGGAGAGCCAATGCCATACTCAGCAAAGCAGTTGTTCGTCGGGTAACTTGGAAACATGAGAAACGGCGTGTAAATCGCTGAGAGGTCTCACTGTTCAACTGCTAGCCATCCCAAGCTTGAAGTATAGCTTCCGACGAGTCCGGTGTTCCACACGGCTGACAAGATTGGGTCAGTTTCTGGCAGTGCAGAATAAAACTAGAACTGAACATTCTGGAGTCCAGGTGCCCGAAATAGACGGGGCAACCAAGTTATTTTTAATAGGAATGTTGACGTCATTGTTGACTGCGTTAACTACTATGCCAAACTCGCCGAAGTAGTCGGAGGGTGAGTATGTAGAAGGTCGGTTCGAGTGCCTGATGGAAATGTTGATTTTAGAGGAACGAACAAGACACGATCACGAACGCTGCATAAAGATCGGGCTGTAGTGATGAGAAAACAAGTGATTCAAGATACGGAAAGGAAATACCTCATTTCCAACTTGATACCCAAGCAAATATCCAGGGCCGCCCAGTATGGCTTCACTGACTTCCACGGTCCCAAGTCGAAGGTTACTTGTATCATTGAACGGCATCCCTACGCTGATGTCATTGATGGTGCAGAACATACCAAATAAAGCTTACCAAGGAACCATTTGGTATTCACAAGGGCTGAGATGTTCGCCATGGTGTAGAAAACCTCGGCCGTGTAAACAAGTGTCGGCGTTTCAGTCTGAAGCATTCAGAAATTGAATCATGATGTCACCAAAGGTGATCATGTACGCACCACATCACCCGTAGTGCCTTTTTCTTTGGTTATCATTACGCCTCCAGGAAGACTATCCACGAGGACCGCAGTCTCTTGGGTATTACCTCCAACCCGGATATGCACTTCGCCTGCTCGTTCGCGGAGGAGGGCCATGAGGTTTAGAAAGGGAACCTGTAAATATGTACTGTGACATATGAGTTCATGGACGTGAACTAGCCCCATCTGGACATACGCATTTACACCAACTGTGAACATCGATATGATTAGTAGATATAACTACGGGAATTGTAATAAGACAGGAACCAACAGATTTGATTGATGACAGAGAATTCGATAGAGAATCCCATAAACGATCCTTTCTGCGGTATACTCAGACCCTGCACAGCTGCTGACGAACTGGAAAGCTGGATTCCGAATTGCGTTGTGAGCCCCGTAGGGACAGGTGGGGGTGTTAACACGGTAGGATCATAAGCTGCGGCGCCGGTATAATTTGCAGCAGCAGCAGCGGTAGTTGAATCTCCCAATGGAACTTGGTGGTAAACTGTCACGCTGGCATTGATGAGGGATGATAAGACAATAAGAACAAAGCCCAGAGAATGAAAAGGTCGCATGCAGGTCGTATTGGACAAAATTTACAGAAAAGCAGGATATTCTGTAAAATAGTAGGTGATGAGAACAAGGAGAGACGTGCACGGAGTTGGGGCGGGTGGAGGTGGCAAAACAACGAGGCGAATATCGTCCGTAAGCGCGCATCTTTAGTCACTAGTTGGAATTGAACCGAATTAACCTGCAGCGTCTTTCGCCAATCTGGTTTGACCTCTATCAACACTTTCGTTCGCATCGCGCCAATAAATGAGTATGAATTAGGCGGTACACAGCTACACTTGCAACCATGAGAGTTTGCGACAGTCCAGTGTAGTACGTACTCCGTATTATCAGACAGGCCACTACAGCCAATTTCAGTCCCCAAGTGTGATCCAATCACCATGAGCGCAGACAGCACGGAAGATACATGATTTCATGGCATACATATCGATTCCTGAGTCGAGTCGAATGAAGTACAATAGCTATGTGTACTATGTTTGAAGTTCCTTTCTCGACAGAAACCAAAGAACGACAAACAACCTTTCTCAAAGTACGCTTTTGGTACTATCAAACCAGTCTCCCCGAGTCTTGCAGTAGTGCTGCTATCGGTAATTCATACCTTGTTTTGTAACGATTTCCCATGGGAGCGCTCGCGGACCTTATAACCACCCTCATCGGACTCCTTCGAAAGCTTCGAGTCTCCAGATACCGTGAGGTGGTCTTTCCGAACCTCGACGGTGGGAACGTCTTTAGGTTCGAATGCGGGCAACTCAAATGTTACGGTCGCCGCTTTGTCTCGGCATTCTTGTGCAGGTCCATCCTGAACAAATCAGCCATCCTTCAGCGTAAAGAGTTGAAGGACACGCTTAGGATGCAAAAATGGTCCCCGAGTTGGCATAACCGTCGGTGGTGTTAGAGGGCCAGAGACCAGTATTGAAGGTCTCATCGAATAGCCTGTCGAAATTGGTTAAAGGGTCGTAGAAGGTGCGCATGATCCTCACAATATTTGCCATCGCATCACTCCACACATTCGCAGGCTGAAGACGTCAAGGCGAAGTTGGAGAACGACGTCCTTAGTGTACCCTTTCCTGGGACTTCTCCAGAACAATTGCGCAAAGAATACATCACACTTCATGCGTGAGGTGATCTATAATCTTTATCCAATAGCTTCAGACTTTTTTATCCTTAGCATTTGGCTCTATTTTGTCGGTGTGCCGCATGCTTGAAAAGACGGAGATAATGATCATTGGCTTTGTGTATGCACAACACTATTGTTTACGTTGGTTGAATTCTTTCCAAGTTTCTTAATGTATCGAGCGGAACACATCGCAAAATCAAGATAGCAACTAAACAAATGATTATTATAATTCTGAAGCGTGGCGGTCCTTCAGCCACATTAGTACCTCCTGCTTCCACACCTGCTCCAGTCCCTCAGGCCTCAGGCTTCAACGTTCTCAACCCTAAGCTCACGGACGCTTTAACCGCTTCATCCCGCTGGCGACGCGCTTCTCTCGATGATCTATTATGACACAACGTGCAAGAAACGTGCGCATATTCATATTCAGGGTTCATGAAGATCGAACGCGTTTCATTCAACCACTGAATTTTGACGTGCTGCTGTGGTTGAAAACAGCCGCAAATTCTACCTTTTGTGCATGCCCCTTGAGTAGGGACGTGATATATCAAGATGATCCGCGCCTCCAGGGCCAGCGCTGTCTAATTCATTACCTGCCACTGGCCTCCAGTGGTCGCCACTTGACACCGTGCGTCTTGGTGCACTGATTCATGACGCAATGGGTAGCGTCCACTAGCGCCAGCTGTTTTTGTGACATACCAGTGCGTGCAACAGTAAGCCTGTGCACTTAGTCTCCTCTACTCATGGGTAGACAAAAAAGAAGACAGGCAGCCTCTCCTTCTTCATGATGCTGTGCATTCATGATAGCAGAGAGTCTGTGCAGCGCACTAAACAATGCACGCACTTTGTATCGTTCAATCGCTCTCAAATTTACCGAGTGCCGAGTCTGCCAAGTACGTCATAATATGTACAGCTGATGTCATTTCTTAGGAATTTCGATGCTTCCTTCCCGCGACGTTGCCGGCAGCGTATGTAACGCATAGCAAAAACTTAAGGTGGGATTTCTCCATCGGGCCTTGTGCACTGCACGACTCAACACCGGTTCAACGTTGTCTTAAATTATCCTCGGATAAGCGCTGGTTTCTAGTATCTATATAATCCACATGCGTGATCTGCCTAGGTGACCCTCAGGCTCAGTTCTTTCAACGGCCGTTCCACTCCCTTCTAAACCTTCCTTCATCTTTCTATCCTGATTCCTCATCTCAAGTCAGGCTAACGGTCACATTCAGTCCATTCTCGATTCATTCTACCTCTAGTGCAGGAGTCATGGCTACCTTTGCATACAAAGCACACTTGGCCGCTCGCAGCGTGAGTCTCCTTGCAAATCTATTCTTGTTCATGTTTTGATGTCCAGGGAGACAGAGCAAGCACCACAGCAGTCCTCCGCGAAAGCAAACGCCAGTGGAGGAGCCCGTGTCACCAGCATTCCATCCTCCTGTGTTGGCAAGAGCTCACGCTCACCAGATCATTCACTCTCGCTCCAACACTACTGCGCCACGCGCAGCTGCGCAAAAGCCGCTGCAGGTTGTGAATCTTCCTGCGCCCAACAAGTTTGCTAGCCAAGGTCCCTACCGAGCCCGGATTTTCATTCGGGTGAGTATTTTGAGTTAATAGAAGGGACGAAATTAATCGACACGTTACTTTCAGGGGTTGCGTAGGCGCGGAGCAGTGTAGAGCTCTCGGATATCGTCCATGCGCTTTAGCTGTGCATAAAGCGCATGTGTCAATGAAGCGGGTCTTCAACTTTTCATTTTGAGTCGTGGAATACTCATACGCTTTTGCTGGATCCGATGTTTTCTATTCTTCTTTCTTTCTTCTTTCTGCGGAACAACTCATGTCTGGAAGCGCATTGTAACACCAATGGGGCAGGTCCCTCGATGCTAGGAGCTAGTCTTCACTATTTACCATTCGATTCATGGTATATCGATACGGTGCTGGTCTTCACTATCTACCATTCGAGTCATGGTATACTGGTACGCTTATGTTGTATCTGATGCCTTTCACTTGTTTTGTTTCGGCACCACGCTTTACGATTCGCTACTTAGTTATTTGATGCCGTATTTGATGTATTTACGACCATTTCAACGATTCATTATATACTTAGTTCGTATGCATGTACGACAGTCACCGTGATCAAACAGTTATGGATATCTCACCCACGTACTAAATCGTTAACTGTGATGTCATGATGCCAATGAAATATCGAGAACACGGAATTGTGTGATGACCGCGGCACTCGACTCTATGCGCAGCATCTGGATTATGTTACTTATCGTCCCTTTTGAATTCTAGGTTCTGAGCGTTTAGTTAGAAGTGTTGAAATAACTGATGCGTGGAATTTCTGGAGTAATATGTCAATCTCGGGGCCGGCAAATACTGAAGTCCGTGAAAGAGAATGGGCGCAACGGACCAAAAACGTGCTGTATCTATCTACCTGCGGGGCTCCGCATGTTTCCTGATTCGGGTATTGCGCCCGATGATGCGTATAAACACGGGGCATAGGGGGAAATAGAAAGCGCTAAAGTGACTGTCGCGGACTCCGGGGAGACCGGAGACGGTGTTGCCTGACCACCTCCAGCCCCAAAATATGTCGTCTTCAGGTGGTTTCCTTTAGGGGCACACGTGCCACCGATTCATGAATCATGCCACAAAGAAGCACGGCGACCTTGTCCGGTTACTTTAGGGAATGTTATTTCCTGTTTCTGAAGTTCTGGCACATAGGAGAATATCACGAAGAACTCGGCATCTCTGAAGGATAAGACTCTTTTGGAAGACAGGTCGCTTCCTCGATTGTTGCGGGAGATGGTGACACCCAAGACAGTCGCTTCAGCGTTGCAACCGAGTGTAGCACAGAATTGCGACATACAATGAAACCTTGTCATGAGTACTGAACGGGGGCAATCTCTACTTTTCATTCAGAACACATCGGAATTTCTGAATGTGACTACTTGCTCCATATTATGATACTCACCGTTTATCCTGTATACCGATCATATGCGATGAAGGTATCCCTGAATTCAAACTCTGGATAAGCATGAAACCGAGCTAAGCGGAAGTATTGCCAGCCGCCCAATTCGAAGAGGCAATATTGGTGGCGCCTGGCCCGAGACGCACGCATTGGTATCGTAGCACATAGAAGCAAGCAAGATTAAACACGCAGCGCTACTATGATTACGTCAGACTAGCGATCCTGTAGGTTCACAGCCTCCGCCTTCGTTCGAATGTTCCTTGAGACTCGAGACTATAATCATGCATGCACAGCACTGGTAACTTGCAGGCACAATTGATCGTCATATTTCCGGTCATCAGTAGGCTAAATCCTTTGCTATGCAAAGTACTTCTCTTGATGTATGGCCTAACAGGTGAGCGATGAACTCATTTCTAATCGAGGGCACCAGGCTATATTAGATGACTAGTTCAACCGAGTCGCTCCCAGCTAATATTTGACCAAGATCCCTTTTAGACAGCTGTCTGTTGGCATTGGCATAGCAGGCCAAGTCGTGAAGTCGGCGTTTCATCTCCCTCCGTGCAGAATTCAAAAATGCTATCTCTCACACGCCACGTTTTTTTTCTATCCTGTTATGGCAAACCATGTTATCTACAACAAGGGCATTAAATTCATTTAGACCAAATATTGACAATGGATTCTATCGCCGCGCTTTGGTTCTTTGACATCGTGTTGGTAGAGCGCCAACCGCCATGGTAAGCTGTCATAACCGAGCCAAAAACGATGAAGGGTGTGCTGCAGGTATATATACCCTGCCACCACACAGGTAGCACCAACTCAACCCACGACCGCAAGTTATCAAAAGGCAAACGTGACCTCTGGGACACTTGGCTCTATCCTCCTCAGTCATTCCATTCCATTTGTAACGCATCTCACTATGTCGACCTTCGGAACTAGGGCACGTAAGTGCGCCAGTGCTGTAAGCGGCAATGTATTGCTTGGAAGCGGTCGGTATCTAATGAGCAACGTTACTGTAGAAGAGCTCAGGCACATCCAACCCATCTCACAGTTCTTCCTCACCCTCGCAAAAGCATGATGCTGCTGCTAGCACCGATGCCAAGCATCAAGGACCGCCATCCCAGTCACACATTCCTGTGATGAGCAAACCTAATATGCACTCGTTTGCTCGCGTGAGTCCTTGCAGTAAAGCAGTCGTCTGGTGTCTTACAGGGATATGATAGTATGGGCATTACGACGGTACGCCTCCCGCGAACCAACAACAGGATGAGCGACGGTCAAATTCGCTGCCCTTGCCTGTACCCGGACAGTGCGCTGCAAATGCCCGATTGTATTCTCGAGTAGGTGTCACATGCATCTGAGCAACAACACAGGAGTTAATTGATGTTGCTGCAGAGCGCGACGAAGTGATATTTGGATAGAAGAAGCACTCGAAAGCTTTTCTTGAGCTACTCAACAAAATCGTCCATCATGCTTGTCCTTGGGTATTGAATATGTGGAAGTCTGACTGCATCTGTAACTTGATATCATTAACTTTTGTAACTCTAGTAGTGTGTCTTATCGGTCTCATCATCAGCGGCGATACAATGTATTGGCACTGCGTTTGTAAAATAAAAATTATACAATCCAACATGACTTGCATAACATCACCGTCAATTTCAAACCCAAGAATGAATGTTCGAACCATATATCACTCGGATAAGATAAGCTTCAAGGCCCAGATAGCTGATGCATATGATTGGGCGTCGGCCATCAAATTGTCGGGTATCCGGCGGCTTTCGTTTTGATGTAACTGGCCATGATATAACCAATTGTTGATTGACGTCAGATAGGGAGTCATTGACGACATTCGTCTCAAGCACCGTTCAATAGTGTCGACTCGAGCTTCATGTAGGAAAGGAGCTGAGTATTTGATGCGCGATACGGCCGACAAAGTGGATCACCATGATGGCGATGTGTGAGAGTGAATGGAAGCTGAATTGTGACTTGTGAATAGGAGGACAACGTGGCCACTGGCGGGGCTTTGGGAGAGTGCGACTGGAAGGCGAGGGCAAATTTTGTAGACCACCGGAGAATTGAAAGTACAAAAAAACGTAAACGAAACATATGCAAGACCTTCAGAACACGAAGGGTGAAAGTAAGCATTGACTAAGAGATTCTGAGATACATACATTGATCAGAGTCGAGCGTCGCCCCAAAACCTCGTACAGGGCGCGAGCCAATGGCTCATCATTATACCACCACATATTCGAATACAACTGGATTTAGGTAGTATATAGCATGTACTGTTGACATAGGGCGTTGCCCCAAGACGACAATAAACAATATTTTTTAAAATAAAAATAAAAAGAGTCGGGCGTGTTACCCGTATGTGGGACTAAAATAGCGCCAATAATCATGCATCGGTTTGTTATTCGGGCGTTATTAGAGCCCCTTGTGATTTGTTGGAACCCAGACCTAGTCCGATTGTCAAAAGAAATCGTTGGCCACGAGTTTCTGACATACGCACATCCATATTGATAGTAGTGTGCCACCAACACGACTACACGAAATATCGCCAAAAACCGTGCATCAGGTTTGCTAGCATGACCCGCACGATCTGTCAATGCCCAGATAGCTGATAACCAAGAATTCCACGAGTACGACGTGGAGTTTTGCGCCATCTGTTTAAGCACAAATACAGAATATCGCCAAAAACCATTCGTCAGGGACGTTATTAGGCCCTTGTAATTTGTTGAAGACTATACCTAGTTCGACTGTCAAACGAGAGCATCGATAACGAGATTATGGGATTGATGGTGGCGTGCCCGACACGATTACACAGAATGTCGCTAAAACACATGCCTCGGATCTGCATCCATTGTTGTAATGAACTAAGCGCATGACTAATTGCGACCCTAATGCATAGCTCAGGCAGGGCCTGGCAGGCACGAGGTATCGAGATTCTATGACATTGAAGGTCGTAAGGCGCTACGCTCGACGGTCAGATGTTAGGCCACTGTCGATGATAGAGGGGGCAGTACCCACCAATTGAATTCCTGAAGTAGTACGTAAAGGAGGAAAAAGTCAAGGCACGAGATATCAATAGTATACAACTGGCAAAGAGTAATTCGCACTCGGTCTAAATAGACTCCAGCTTCCTCCCTCACACCCACTCCAAAATACAATAAGTAATGAAAGTGGAGCGCGCTGATCAACGTGGTTCTATGCATATGTATGGGCGGGCGTTTATCCTCGTTGATTAGCGTTTATATAAGGCAAGGAAGAACATCAGAGATATTGTAAAGTCCATTTGGAATATGGATGGGCTGTAGGAATCCGAAGGATGAAATAGAGTTATGAGAGCGTGCGCCGTGCTGAAATGACCAGGTATGTATATAACGGCTATGTATGTTGAGCGTACGGGCGGGTGCCGGGGTGCATCAATATCGTGATCTTGGTACATAGGTTGATGATTTGTAGTCCGAACTGGCGATCCAGGCTTGAGAGCGGTGATTACGCAGGTTGACTCGGAAGAGGGAAATGATGGTTCTGGAGTATGGACCGGTTGATATTTTAGTGAAAAAGTGGAGAACAGGAAGAGAGTCTCGCGAAGATGACGATGACGCAGGAACGTTGACAAGGGTAGCGTTATGCCTCCGTGGTATGGTTAGGGGGCAACCAATGAAGAAAAGAGGGGAATTTGAATGAACAGAGCAAGTAAGAGCAAGGGGAAATGGAGGGGGAAATTAAATGATACTTATGTATCGATGGAGATCGATGGCGTGAGGTTGTCTTTTATAGAAACAAGCTGCTTAGGGTAGAACAGCAGGTGTTCCAACAAGTGTGGCGAAATTGACCTGTAGACTAATTAAATGGGAGGAAGACGTGCTTCGATTAGACAATTGCAAATAGGAAGATAGGCCAATCAGGGTATGCCCTGTACAAACCAACATTGATCATACGGATGTTATGGTAAAAGACGTAAGAGGCGGACGAGGAAGGAGCACGCAGGCACAAGCGATGGCGGGAGAATTGGTTGACCATAAGCTACCTGGTCTCGATAAACGAGAGGATCTTGAAAGACGATCGACGGGGGCAGACATATAGCAGCTCGTCTCCGACCGTGAAATAACACACCTGGTTCTTTGGATCCAAGGCTGTTGCCACACAGCGCTAACCGATTCAACTTGAATTCAATCAAGCGAATTTTCAGCAACGCTCAGACCAGCTTAGAAAAAACTCTTTCTCTCGAGTCACGTGTTGGAACTTGAAATTTGAACGCGGTCGCAGCGCGTCTCATTGATGATCGATGATCGCCAGTTCAACATAGTGAACCCAATGCCTATGAGAAGTCTGCTGCAAGTCTATGATCATCACGAGTAGTATGGAACACTATACTCACGCAGCACAACGTACAATAGAATGAGCGATCCCTGGAGTAAAGAAACATGCATTTAGAGCTAGCGACAAGCCACGCGGAATTTCGCCTATCTACAGCATGTAATCATATCCATCCCACACACTACCCCGGCCCGCGTACACATATACGTATGCACGCGACGAGGCGGGATTATTCAATATTGCACCGGAAAAACCACTTCAGGAACTGCAATGAGCAATGCGGTGCCTGTACACAGTGGTGCGTTGATTGAGGTGTCGGTGGTAGCAGCAAATTGCAAGGGACATAGAGAAAGGAGGAAAGAGAGAGACTCGACTTCCAAAAGAATCTCGGTGAATTTTGACGCTGAGAAACTGGGAACTTGGAAGCTCTTGTTGAGGTGCAGTAGTAAATCATGAAAAGCTTTATTATAAACAAAGCGATTCCGAACCACATCAAATTTCGATGAGCTTGTGACAGCAGCCTGAGCCTTATTATGAAGATAAAACAACCTAGAGTCTGGAGGCGGATGATGCGAGTTGGTTCAATTTGAGTTCAGTTTGCATATGTTGAATCCGCAAGGTGTTGTCAAACACGCGCAAACACATTCCCTTCGCCAATTCGTCACGGTGGTATAGCTTACTCAGGGCTAAGTTGCGCGCAATATCGTTCCGTCTAATACAGTCCTGTACGCATATGCCTGAAGCATAGTTCAAGAAATCTGAAAGACTCAGCTACTCTTATTCCGCACACCTGCCGACCGTTTCTCACTTTTTCATCCACTGACATGAAGTCCGTCTTTTCCTGCGTAAGACGCTCTTGAACGCCTTCTTCGTCCAAGCACACAACAAGCACACGAACAGTTTCAACTCTAATATTCTCGGTTCGTTGTCTTCATCAATGATCATACAGAGCTTTGGGTCTCAAGTACAGTACACAATTGTAGGAAGCTGAACGACGCAGCTCTTTCCAACCCACTCGCCCTCAATCTGCATACCCACAACTCACCTACCAACGCGGTGAACGCCCGACAAAATCTGTTAGCAAGTCCACCCTTTTCTGCAGAGGCCGCCATTCAAAGTCGTCTTCTTGGTCAGAGCACACAGCATGTATGTGAACTGTTTCAATGTCTTCTGGTTCGTCGTCTGGATTGAGATAACGAACGAACCACTCCGGAGGCACTGAGCGGCCCTTGGGATTGAAACAATATTTGCGTGCTAAACCGTGCATGCCCACCCAATCTTGAATGAGGTCGAACGCTCGCGTCATGGCAAGCTCGTCGTATCCTTTGTCATCGCAACCAATCAACGCTTCTGACCAGTGTTATTCTGTAAACTGGATAAGCCAGTCAGGAGTGACCGCATATCCGTAGTACTGAACATAGGCTGGATTTTGGGACGGACGAGCTTGAAGGGTCGTGGTCTCATGGGATGTAGCACCGTGGCGATCTTAAAGCTGGATGGAAATCACTGATGGGAGAAGAAATCTACCTTTGGGATCTCAAATGACTTTGAATGAATAGAAGACATGTTCGCATCAAAGAGTTGAGCAGATGTTGCTGGTGAATGGCTGCAAAGCGATAGTGGAGAATAGACAATCGCGAGGCTGAATTCCGTGTTATATATGTATTCCACATAGCTACATCTCAAGTTGTGGAAAATCAATGCCTCACAACTGGACCCATAGCGCACCATCCCAATTGTAGGAGTGTAATTGGCACAGCGGGAGTTTTGGTGGACTCTCCATGTGCGATGTCCGCCGAAAGACAGTCGGATTCAACCAGGCTTGTGTAGGACAATGCTTAAACGTTTAAACCAGTAGTTGAGCATTTCAAAAGAAAGCATTGATCACGAGATTATGACATATACATACATTCATAATTGATGACGCCCTGGAGTAGCATGCCCCACACGATTACACAGAACATCGCCCAAACCCATGCCTCAGGTCTGCATCCAGCGCTATAAGGGCCATCACTGTCTGTCAAAGCCCAGACAGCTGACTGACCTAGCGAGGAGTACAGGCAAATCATCTGTCTGAGCACGAAGAAACGACCGCGATTCATGGAAGCCCGGGTGGATGATAATGCATCAGGTTCGTTAAGAGGCATTCCGATGCTGTAACATCAATCTGGGCTGCGGGGAAGGGGCAGAAATAATGAAATAATGAAATAATGAAACATCGAGCGTAGGTTGGATGGTGATTATAATGGTTGTCGAGTATCCAGGTCATTTCGCTGCAGATGTTTCTGGCACCAACCAAGCCAGTGTTGATCGACGTGGCGATCGTCTGGGATCAAGCACAATTCAATGCGTATTTACTATCGAGCGTGATTTAGACAGACTTACGGAACGATTATAAGCCCTATCACGAACGTGCATGGCCCCCGGATAATGGATGTGTTGAGTAGAAAGCGGAGAGTCAAGAATCAGTGCTTGGAGTGAAAGGGATCTAAGATACGGCCTATGGGATGGGTCACAGTGATGACGGCGAGCAGAAATCTGAACGAACAGAACAACAAACTCGGCGGAGCTTTAGGAGAGTGCTCCGCAGTAGCAGACGCACGTCCAGTGAAAACGCATCGCAGGCGAAAGAAAAAACTCTACGCACCGCTGGAAACATAATGTCATGTTAAACGACAGGGAAGGCAAATGCTTACCTCGAACGTCGAAATGTGATTGTTTCATCCACACCTTGACATTCGAGTCAAGTCTAGATGCAGATTCGGTAAATATTAAAGAAAAGACAAGGTGTTCAGGAATAGAACAAGTGAATGGTAGGAGCGAAGGGCGGTATGTAAGGCCCAAATACCTTGCACAGTAACATGACCTGGGCGCTTCATTCCTCTCCAGTCCCTCTTCCTACAGCTTCATCAAATGCGCAAAGTGGTGTAATGATGTTCGCCCTTGGTAGTTAGACATTCATCCACCGCATATTTTACGTCCTGATGCCGATTGTCATTGCCGAACAACCTCTTGTGATTTGGCTATCGGTAGACTTGAGATATTGGCTCACTCAGAACGATGATCTTCCTCCCTGGTGATTATTCAAGTCGGGTCACCATAAAATTTGGCGAGGCACAGATGTAGTGGGACACGACCTTCGGAACATGTCAAGCATAATTGTGAAAGTAAGTATTGACCAGAGATCCTGACATTCGGATACATACCTTGATTAGAGTCACCCGGAGTAGTGTACCCTATGCGACTGGAACATTGCCAAAATCGTGCTTCGGTTTACACTCAAGCAAGTACTATTAGGTCTTTGATTAATATTATTAGAACCAGACCTAGCACGACTGTCAAAAAAAAGAATAGACCATGGTATTCCAATACAGCGCACGTTCAAATAGATCAGAGTTACAAGAGCAGCGTACAGCGTACCACCCATTCAACTAGTAAAAACCGTGCATCGGGTCTGCATCCAAGCACTATATCCCTTACAATCTGTCAAACATTAAAGTGGTTTCCCAAATAACCTTGTCGCATCGCGCAAAGGCAATCGGGAACCCTAATACACATGACGAGAGATAGCAGACATGCCTCCGAGTTCGATGGAAGAGGCAGGCGTGAGATAAGGTGTTGAGGGGGGGGGGGGTTAGACTCTATGGTCGTAAAGGCACTACGCTTAACAGTAAGATGCTATGAAATAGATGATAAGTAGAGGGAGCGGTACCTTTGCATATCGATTCAGTGCCTGAAGTACGTAGAGGAAGAGGTCAAGGCACGAGATACAGCTGGCCAATAGCAACCGCTCTGGAGTCTGAATAGGCTGTTCTCGAAGTTCCTAATACTTACTGCGATATTGAAGTGGAGTGGCACACTGGTCAACGTGGGTGTCGAGCGTTTATCGCAAGAAGATCAGAAATATTGTAAAGCCCATTTGACATCTAGATGAGCATTGAGTGGTAGACAGGATGAGATAGAGTTAGGACAGCGTGTTGGGAAAGGTCCAGGTACATAATTGTTATGTACTAGTGAAGCATATGGGCGGATGCAGGGTGGAGCGTCGTGATCCTGATAGGTCGACAACTTTTGGAGTCTGTAGCACCCCGTTATGACTCCGAAGCTTGCTCGGTTGCCGCAACCACCTCTGCAAAAAAGTCCGAACACCCGGTCTCTTTATCCCTGAGACAGACCCCAGAGACATTGGTGGCTACGTAAGTTGAATATTATTATTCCATTCTTGTTTGTTTTTCTTTTTTCTTCATCGTCGACCATGATGATGGCCGCTCCCAAATTTTACTGCTCGTCCATGTTTCCTGCCACCACCTTGACGCCACCCACACACAGTTGCACCCTCCACTGTGTGTGTACTTAGGCCTCCTCCCTGCTGCTATTGCCCATGACCTCCCGTCGCTCCCTATGCCCGACCGCCACCTCCGAAAACCTCCTGCAGCATTGGTGTTGCCCTCCGCGTCCATCTACAACCTCCCACTGCCACCCATGCCCAGGAGCAACCTCCTGCAACCTCCCACTGCCCTGGCACCATCCTCGACGCTTCCCCACTCGTACCTCAACGTAGTGCTGCCGCGCACACGCTCAACTACAACCTTCCTCATCTTCCCGCTGACCTGCCGCGGACCTCGTCTGCCCACCACGTGCAACTTCGACCTACCGCTGTCCACATCAACCTCCCGAACCTTCTTGTCACCCCGGCGCTGCCCCCTTCAATTAATGCCTGCCCGCAATATTTCGTTACCTCAGCGCGCCTCTCGCACCTTTTCTTCTGTACCTTCCCTCTCCCTCTCTTCACACTTTGCTACACATACACATACACATACCCTTACTATTTACTTGATTATCCATGGTAAGGTTAGATACATATTTTGTGAATATAACAATGCAATATCTCAAGCTTCAAGCAGTGACTAGAGTTGAGTCCCACTCGCAGCAAGCTTCTTTGGTTCACACATAGTAGCCGAACAACACTCGCGTGTTCTGCACCAAGAACCAAGCCTTAAACTCACAGTTTACAACAATGCACTATATTTTATGCACATACTAAAGTAACACGGAGAAAATACGATAACGACCATGATGATGACAACAAGAGAAGGCCATCGAGAGCACAAGAGAAAGATATAGGAGAGAACATGGGCGGCGACGAACACCACAGTATGGGGGAGAAAGAAAGCAGTATGGGAGCTGCAGAAGTGAGGAATAAATACGAGTCGGCAATGCTGTCGCCGTCAATCTCACCTTTCTCTGAAGGTTTCTGGGGTCTTGGACCCTGTGAATGCCGTGAGGGTGTTCGGACTTTTTTCAAGAGGCAATTAAGGGAACCGAGCTAGCCCGGAGTCATAACAGGGTGCTCAACACTCCAACTTTTGGAACCGATGACCCAGGCTTAAGAGCGGTGATTACAGATTAAGTAGTAACGAGGGTTCTAGATGATAAACCAGTTGACAGAGTTGGGAACGGAGAAGAGCGAGACTCGCTAAGACGACAATGACACAGGAATATTGACAAGGGTAGCGTAATGCCTCCGTGGTATGGTTAGGGGGCAACCAATGAGGAAATGAACTAGGCAGCGAATGAATGGAGGATTCGGAAGAGGAGAATGAACAGAGCTCAAATGAGGGTAAATGAACGAGGGGAGGTTGATGATACTGTATTGATGGGGATTGATGGCGTGAACTTGTCTTTTATAGAGACGGGGAGCTTGGAGAAGCCTGAGCTTCAGAAGACCAGGTGTTCCGACATGTGTGACGGACAATTTATAAACTAAACATATGGGAAGAATATGAATCTACAGGGAAGACCAATTAAACGTGCTTCGTGATTAGACAAATAGGAAGACAGGCCAATCCTGTGCAAACCAACGTGGATGTTACGGTAAAAGACGAAACGGACGGGGCGTCCATGAGCGATGGCGAGACAATGAACGAGAGGATCTTGAGAAGTCATCCAATTTATCGCTAGTCAGATGACCGATTTTGCTGACATTCCAGGTCTAGAAGAGACAGACGTAAAATGCAATAGCTTGATCACCCGCACCCGGTTGTTTGGATTCAAGGCTGTTGCCAAACAACGCTAACTATAGGTTCAATATTCAACTTCTTCATGTGATTCGAATTCAATCAAGCGAATTTTCAGCGACGCTAGAGCCTGAAACCTTTTATCTCAACATGACGCTCATCGCCGCGCAACCAGTTTATGATCAGCAAGCGCAACGCAAGCGACGAGTTGCAGTGCACGTTTTGAGAAACGTGTTTGAGGTGCTGCAGAAGCTTGCAGATCGACGCGAGATCTATCATCCTTGAGCCCAGTCACTCGGGAAGAATCTAACCGATTGTTGTCGTTGCGAGAAGTCGACTCTCCGTGTCCGTACGAAATTGAACAATAGCTACGATATGGGCTCATTCCTTACATCATGTTCAAGTTTCACGTCACGGTTATCTCTCTGCAGGTCCTTGTGTTCTTTCAAGCTTCTTCGGTACATCCACCCTGCAATAATAGGTGCCCGCCGTGTAGGGTTATCTTTCAACCTAACATCTTGTCGCTCCGAACTTCCTGTCGCATATGACCCCAATCCTACCCAATAGCAACCGGATCCTCCAAGTATCATTATGTTCGAGAGGACCATCAACCGTGAATCTCCCTATTGATTCTACCATCCATTCGAGCACCCTCACCATCTCCACCAGCCACGATCGGCCATAGGATTTCAGGTTCAGGTTGTCAGACAGGGATGGTGACTCTTGTGTTCCCACTGGCATACGAGGCCATTTCTATGAGGCAGCTCACCTCCTAGGTATAAGTAAGGGCCATAAGGTGTGTATCACTGTTGTACAAGGACTCGATTCACGCGCTCAGTGATCAAGTACGATGTTCATCAGTTCCAGCATAACAATGAAGCAAGAGGCGCACGATCCTTGCAGTCACTCAAATGGAACTCCTAGAGTGCTTCTCGTAGTGTCAAAGTGTGTCCGTTTTTTAGTCAATTAGGACATTCGCTGACTTGCATACTAGCCCGGATTAGTGTGCTGTGGCATGTAGGTCGTCTTCGTCCGCGCATCTGGGCACCTGTGACGCATTATCGCAGCGTCAGTGCCTGGACATGGAGCGCCACTCTCCTTCAGTCTAGTACTGCAGCCTATATACATTTGGTATGGATCATAGTCTGCTTGAGCCATAAATGTTGATCGTGCATAGGTGTCAGCGGCCCTTGGTCAGTCAGTTTGTGCGTCTTCAAGCTTTGACTGATCAAAATTCTTGAAGGTGGTATGGTGCGGGCGGTTCTATCCAAGTTGCAATGTTTGGAATGGTGGCCGCTAAAGTCAAAATGAATGCAAATGGCGCTCACATGTTCTTGGAGGTGCGTACGACCCACTGCACGCGAGACTGGCTGTAAACCTCTCTGCAGATCGTCAAAGTTTGCTTTGGTACCACGGCCCACATCGTTTTCACCATCTATGCGTCCTTGTTGTATGTGGATTTCTCTTAGGTGAGTTTGCCGAGTACCTCGATACGTTGTCTGAGTTGTGTTTTAGCGGGAGGCGCAGCTAGTGTGAACGCCCTCACCGGCATGAACTTACTTGCTGCGTATTTTCTTTTGCAATTAGCATTGCGGTGTATGTCGTATTCGGTGAATTGCGTGCCACCTTTATCTGTGATTGGACGCATACCATCATTCTATTCGCCATCATTTATACCTTTGTATTCCGTGCATAGTAAGTGAAGTCTCCACGTGCATAGTAAGTGAAGTCTCCATATCACAGGGATGTGCCACTAGGAATCTGCGCAAATAAAGCGGGACATCATCGGAGATCGGCAGCGTAGCTTTCAGGATTTGCGGGTGTGTTTTGTGATCAGGGTATGGTATACAATTACCTCGTGTTTAGTGTTCTGACGTGCCGTGTGCAGGATATTGGCAAAGGGTGAATAACGCTCCTTTCCATTACCGTCTTAGACTGAATCATGTGTCCGTCAACCTCAAGGCAATTGTAAGTGACCCTAGAGGAACAACTAAAGTTTATGTATTTCCATCCCTCAAACCGCCGATGCTAGCACTTACATTAACGACACAGATGCTCGGTGGACTTTCCTGGTTTGCCGTTCCTTGGGCTTTCGGGTCATGCCTCGATCTGAGTGCCCGTGCGCTCCAAAGCAATGTAAGGTTTCGCGCGCAGTCTTCTCGTCATCCGCCAACACCAATACAATGTCCCCTCCTTTGTTCCCGACATACCCATTCCCTCTGTCACCAGAGCAGACAAGTGCAGGAATCGCCGCACCGGCTGCAGCTGCCGTGCTGATGGGAAAGGGCGGAGCTATGGCGCTGTTATTGGTCGTTTTGTAAGTCACACAAACCTGAAATTCAACTTTAATCAATACTTCGTGAAGCATGGCGGTGACTTCTGCTGCCGGCGCCGAATTCATCGCCGTATCCAGTGTTGTGTAAGTTTGTTTCTCATGCACGATTTCTGCGCGCACGCGCATCCCCTGTGAGGTCGTATGAGTAAGACCTGAACATCACCCCATCTTCTGTCATGACTCATTTGGACGTAGCATCTATCGTACCTACTGGAATCCACAGGCGACGGGTGCGAAGATTGTGCGTGTTTCACACTACGCGATTTGATGGGCGATTTGAATGGGGTGCTGGGCGACCATAGTAAATACTTTTTCCAATCACTGACCGAACGTATTGACTTCCGTCGCAGCTCCACACAGTGAACGTCGACCTGGGTTGGGTGAGAACATTCCCTGATATAATTCCATCGGGACTAAACCGAGTTGCTTCAGTTGTACTACGTTCAGTGCGTGGCATCCGAGAAAAAATAATTTAACATGCTTATTCTTCGTGCGGCGCAGGGGAATAGTTTTTAGTCCCGCAGTCATAGTACCCATCATCCTCACGGTATGGTGGTCTAGGCTCACGCGAGCCGGGCTTTCACTATGTGGTTCCATTATGGGAGCAATTCTCGGGATGCTGGCATGGATGATCGGATGCTAGAAGATCAATGGTGAGCATTTTCGGTTCCGTCTGCAAAGATCATCACGATAAAAAAAACTGCTCCACATTACAGGCGCCATCACCATCACGAACCTCGCATTGCCAATATCGGCCGTATGTAGTGGTCTTACTTGTTTTATGTTCCCGGGGATCAGTACAGTCTTCGTGTTTCTTTTGAGTAAGCGGTCAGTTGTCATGGGCCTACATGCAACTGATGATGGCCGTTCGTCAGAACCTGATAATTACGATTTCGAAGGGACTAGGGCTATAGCAATGCTGAACAGTTCGGAAAATAACGACCCCGATTCGGACGTGGTATCTGGCGAGAAGCGTGAAAAATCAAATTTCGAGGTAGGGCCTACGGATGTTACTCAAGAGGACCCCCTTTGCCGCGAAACCCTGCAGAGGGTGTTCAGGCGAGCGGCATGGTATTCAAATCAGCAATGTCCGCGATTGTCATTCTTATCGGGTGGTTACACTGCATGCGTTGTCATGGGGGAATCTCACAGACCTTCCAGTCCCGTTATCCGTGTTTTTCTCGCTCTACGTGTTCAGCGAGCGGTTTTACACATTTTGGGTGGCATGCTCTATGTGAGTATCAATAAAACTAGATGTACGAACTTTAATTGATGATGGCGGTGAAGTGTGTGGGTTTTCATGAGCGGGACGTTCAGCGTTATTCTTCCCTTGCTGGAGCCGTGGAGGGAGATGGCAGCGATCTTGAAGAGACCTGGACGGCTCGTGACTACAAAATTGTACATAAAATCACGATCAAATTCGCGGGCAATCGACTAATCGACCCTGTATCGTTGTCGCGCTGCGGAACACACTGAAAAAATTCTCTGATCGCCGAGCCTTGGCCATTGCTGTGACTAGGGACATCGTTTTTGCCGCATGTCCTCGATGGGTCGTTCTTCATATACAAAGTTTAACAAACGTTTGTAGACGTGTGTGTTCAATCCACCAAGGTAATCGTGGACCCACATTTTACGTCAAGGCTGAACGGCGGACGGCATATTCTTCGGATTATCCCTAAAATGTTAATTGGCCCTGAGCATCGGCGGCGCGGCTGCAATATTGCAATGTCAATCCGACTCAATGACTCGAAAGTAAAGTTTCAAAGTTTAATACATAGTTTGACTTCGGGGGCCTTTCAACGTTTCAACAATTCGCTGGGATCGGCTGCCGTTCATCCTGTAATATTAAAAACATGATGTTCTTCGGCTTCACGTCGGGCGCACGGTGCGCTTATGGCGTGCCAGTCAGGGTGAGCCCAATAGTAGATCCGGGTCCGGTCCGAGTCGCAACCACATATCTTCAACACTGAATGCTCGATGCTCGACACTTCATTTCCTCTGAAAGCTTCACCTCTCTCCGCAGTAGGGCAGTTTTGACTTTTGTCTGTCGCTTTTCCATTCCTCCTTCCTACAAGTCTAGTCGCTCGTTTATTTGGCCTTACTGCATCCTTGCAACATTGATGATGTCCCCCTCGACTGTGGCACACAGGATCTTTGTAATGACGAGTGCGTACAATCCGTTGTCTGAACGTTTCTTCCAGGTTTGGTTTACAATCATTAGCCATCGTGGACGTCCTCATGATCCTCGAATATTTCTGGTTTGTTTCTGATGAATTCCGCCTGGTCTGGCCGTGAGTGTGTGCCCGGATATCAATGAACGCGAGCGGTAAACACTTTTCTGACGAACAGGCGAGTTCGGAAGAGCATCGAAGCCAAGCTTTTTCTAGTAACCAGGTATGCCGGATTGGCTGGACTGAGGTGGGCGGTTTAGCAACTCAAGAGGTCGCGTGCTCACTCCTGTCGCTAGCTTTAACGTCTATTTTTCGTTTAGGATGCAATCGGGAGTTTCCAACGATGCGAAAGATTGCAGATCATGGTACTCGTACCAGACCGCGATGATCCAGTGGCTGCTACTTGCAGTGGAGGTAATACTCATGCGGCAGGGTACGCTATATTTTGATCTTACTCTTGGCATGACTATTCATGCTTTCTGCGCGCACTCCTTGACAGTGTACAAGATATTCCAAAAGGACAAGTATATCACTGGTCTCTTGTTCGTCTTCGCTGGTGCACAAATTGCCGCTATGGCAGTCAGCGCTCGATTGACTGTAACTGGCATTCATTATTCCCCCACTTGCGTCATACTCAGGTCCCCTCCCAGTCAAATCTATGCCGGGTGAGAGTTGTTGCACCTGTTGTATATCTGATCGCTGAGTGGACGACCAGTGTCTCAGTCATTGCAACATATATGTTCATGTTTTTGATGATGCAGTGGCGATACTTCCGAGGCACATCTCGCTTGTCGGAAGTTTCACGTGATTGGCTCAAAATCACGGTTCGCGACGGCTCCTGCACGACTATTGCAGTGATAGGTAGGATTGGTGTTCCCCTTTGTACACATACTCATCACTTCAGTGAGCATCTTGTTCATGACGCTCTGCAATACGGACGTCATCAAAACACAGATGAGTGGAAACATTGTTTTTTAGTAAGTTTTTGCGAGTAACACAGGTTTCTATGCTCACTTCGAATTCGCATTAGCGTGCTGCATCCCTGCCTTTGGTTTGCTGTTGAGTACGAAATCTCGGGCGTTATTTGCTTGCTCATTAACTGTATCAGGTTGGACGCATAGTTATTAACCAAGAGAAATTCCGCGAAAGCCAAAAGTCCCAGAAGAGTGATGGTAATGATCCACATGGGTGGACTACCTTGCTCGAGGTGGAGCCTGAAGGCATTGCACCTTTTGATGACCCCGATGCATATCCCGAGAGCCCCTCTGACTTGAAGGTCGAATCGACGACCCACGTCTCTACCTCGTTTGACTCTGAGTCAGATGTAGGAACGACAGATATCACTGACGAACGCCCTTGCGAGATGGCGGAGGATGATATGTCGCCGTCGGGCTGCTCGCTCACATTCACGCATACGGAAACAGGCATTAGTGGTGAGGGTTCTGGCTCTAGGAATTAAAGCCAATACACTCGTTTTATGACAATCACGAGTTCCATAGCACATACTTAACATCACTAATAGTTTTCACATTGACCTTAATTATGCATATGGTGCTACCTTTGAACTAAAATGCGACACATTCTTTATAATAATATATTTCGACGGAATTCCGCCGCATCCGTCGGATGACTTTGCACAAAATAGCTAACGACTTGTCGGTGACACGTACTTACGTCAACTTCCGATTCACATAAGTAATGCCATGGTTTATGCCTGTTGTATGTCCTCTCACAGGAACGGTTGAAGACAACAAGGTGTGCTACTAGTACTAGTAGTCCGGGTGCGCCAGGGACGACTGTTCGTCGTGGCAAGTACTATACAGTCGTCACTGGTCAGCGAGCCGCTACCGCTGCCTCGATGTACAATTCTTGAAGGTACGTGATCTGGCCCAGGTGTTCTGCAAATATTGTTTATCGATATCACTTCTTTTGCCGTTAGGTTTTCATGTCAATTTCTCCCAAGGTCTATTGACGCTCGGGTCGGTGATATCGCGGTCGATTTGGTTCATACTGAGACCACCATAACAACCTCGTCCTTGAAAGGCGCGATGGAAGCTGCTCGATTGGCAGGACTTCCTTTTGTGAATCCGACGCGATCATTCTGGACTCATTCTTCTCCAAATGCCAATCCGCTTGCATCTCGGGGTAGCGAGGGCCCACTTACGGCTGACGCAGATATCTGTATCATCGGGTAAGGTAACACATGCATAGGGGTCGCATATCACCTGCTCAGGCTGCACATGCAATTACTCATGGATCCGCAGCTCTAAAAGCCGTCATCCTTGAGGCGCGTGACTTTTGTGAGTGTCTTGGTTCGCAAGAAGCAGCAAACGCTTTATCATAATCATCTAACTACGCCAGGTTCAGGAGCCACAGAATACAGAGCACCAGGTCTTGTTCCGACACAAGCATGTGCTTACCTTCGATTCGCAATGATTAGCAGCGAGAGTATTGAACCAAGTCTGTTTACAAAACTGGACGTAAATTTTTCGAACTAAGTCGTATGTATTAAGACATACGGAGGACTACCTACGACCAGGACTCCAGCCACTGCGCCAGAATCCGTGGCACCTCACGCCAGACCTACTACAATGTGCTCGAAACGGGGATAGAAGTCTGGGACGTGAAATAGTCTAGTAAGTAACCTTTCAAACTACTAATATCAAGCGGAATGGCCATATGCTCCTCTGATTTATCACGCCGCCCGACAAGCAGAGTAGTAGGAATGCCGGCGAATGAGGCAGAAAAAGATGCAGCAGTCAGAGAGCGATGATGATGTAGCAGCCAGTCTGGTGTCTCTTTGGAAACAGCGACCAGTCGATAACCACAGACGTGGGGATAACGGAGTACCGTCGAAGCTGTGTGACGGCATAGTTTTGAAACCAACCCGAGGGTGAAGATGTCTTGGAGATCGAGATGAAGAGCGATCTCTCGCCAAAGTTCAGGAGGCAGCACCGCACACCTAATACTGGGTGGTGTATCATTAGCTCCCTCAGCGCACGACTTTTCATGATCAGTGCGACACTCGTCTGACACCATTCCCCTGCCCATAGTAGAGGGAATAACAATCCCCCTTCGCCTGCGGGAAACCCATAATCCCCAGGGTCCATGATAAACATCCATAGCACGCACAAAGAGTGCTGGGTCGATGCGATAGCCAAGACGGGCAAGAGCAGTGATGCCTGGTGTAGAAGGCGAATCTGCGTAGAATGATGGCAAAAATTGGAGTGTGGGCGTATGACTGAACGTCGTTTTGTGTGCGCGTTTCGCAACTTTGACGATTGCACAGTGGGCAATGGAGAACGCAATTCCAAAGTAATCACCAGGAACATCCCGTTGCTCTAAAATTGCATTGATCAGGCGTGACACGGAGGCCTGGAAGCATCGCTCGCCGTCCAGATGTGTTGTGATGCAAACAATGGTGTCTTTGCGAACCCATGAAATAAACTTCTCTCTCCTCAGCCTCTCGGAATGGCGAACGAACCCGGACTCGCTGTCGAATATCTGAGGAAGAAACGCAAAACTGGCCATGGCGTATGCAACCGACAATCCGCTATCCGGGAGTTGATTGTAAGGGGATATGTTGAATTCGTAGATTAACTCGGCAACAGTGTCTAGGTTGGCTATGCACTGCCCAACCATTATCTCTAACAATGCGACCCGAACCTGCTCGTCTGGAGACAAGACGTCACTGGTGCCGAGCAGGTCACTCAAAGCCGCATGAGAGTCTGCATGCCAAAGATCGGTACATCGCGAGGTCGGGGTCGTTTACAACTGGCGGCGCTGGCTTCTTGTACTTGTGCTGAGGGGGGTACTCTGGATGACAAGCGAACTTGCCATAATGGTCTTCGGAAATGTCTTCGAGGAAACACTCATTGTCTGGCAGGCATTCCAAGGAGTAAAATGGTACACCATTTACGTGGAATATATTGTGATCAAGGTCAATCTCGTAGACCCATTCCCCGATCATGCGGCCATATCTTGGCCGCTCACTGGAAATGATGGGCACATCTTCGTCCAGTTCTTGAGGTTGGCTGCCGTCCCATTGATCCAATATCTCTTTCAACTCCTGTTGCTGACTTGTGATGGTGTGGGGTGACCGCATAGACTGAAGCATCATTATGCCAAGACTCTCCGGATAGGAATCATGATGGTGGTAGTAAATGAAATACATATTATGATAGCGATACACATGATGCCCGCGCGTGCCCATGCCTGCAGGCAGAATACCTGAACAATGGTCAGCTTAGACTCCATTTATGTCGGACACGAGGTGCGACGTACCGAGCTTTCAAAGGAAAATGCCTGACTTTTCAAGGGCGTAGAAGTGTTCTCTTTCTTTCAAGCACTATTGAACTGTTGCAAGAATATTGATCGAGTCGAGAGGAGTTAAACTTTAAGGGGAGCCTATTGAAGTGGCCCCAAACCTGGCGGGCGCCTGCGTATCACGAGCAAGGTTAGGAGCCTACAAAGTCAGACGCTCAAGAATCAAGAGTCAAGAGTCAAGAGTCAAGAGTTGAAAAAAAAAAAGAAAACTATCAACCAGCTCGTCACATGATTCAGATGCAAGTCACATGATTTTGTCATCCCAGACGACATTCAGTTCATCGCAAACGTTTAACGTTTAACGTTTAACGCACAACAATTTCATATTTGAAGCTAGCATTAGACTATTTTTGCCAAGTATGTTATAAAGGCCCTCCGCCAATTAGCTTGCGCGCACATGAGCAAAATTTCCTTTCCTGTCCATTAAAGTTCTTAGCAAAAACACTCTATTGCATGTCTAGAAGATCAACCTACTATGATGTGTTTTTTCTATTTGTTATCGCCGCGATTTTGGTGAGGAAACTAAGTTACTGACTGGCCTAAGCTAAGGCTGCTAAGTAATACTCCACCCCCTGCTGGGGGTCCCTTACTCGCCATTTAATTTCATTGAATTGTGCTCGCTAGTCTCGCATGACTCTGAGTGTAGACCACAAGTATTAGCCAGCAGACACGATCCTCCAGGCGCGAGCACTGGAGGATCTCGCCCGGAGGATCTGATGAAATTTAAAACAGAGTAAGTGCATCCGAAATGAGCCGAACGGAGTGAACGGAGACTGTACGTGGCCGAATGCTACTAGCAAAGGAAGAGAGGGACAGAACAGGTGGGTGCTCGAAAAACTTGGTACAGCTAACGAGATGATGAGAACGAGTGAGAAGAGGCCTAGTACTCAACGTACCTAACGAGACGACGAGGGCGAATGAGAAGAGACAAAGAGCCCCATTTCCCCCGGTGGCGTTAGGCAGAAGTCCGAAAGCTGAATATGACGTTGTCAACATGCTGAGGAAGCGCACGGAGCCTGCAGCGAGTAATACGCCTGGAGGCGGTCCGTCATACACCTGGCTAGCTAGTAGCGGAGGTAATTACCATTCCGTCAAAACATAGTTACACGACAGCGGATTCGAGCTGTCATTGCAAACATACAAATATACATATGTTCGAAAGGGAATTTTAGGTGAATAGGCTCTTCACATAAAAACAAGCCGTCTTCGTACTTTCCCCTTCAGATCTTCACGAATAATGCGTTTATCTTGTGTCCTCACTTTTGTTGCTGCTTTCACAGCATTAATATCTGCAGCATCAATACCTACCAGTGACGCCGACAGTGAAAAATGTCCTACATGGTGCTTTACTGAATGGTGCTGCCCTGGGCAGCAATGCGTATTTCCACTTGTGAGTATGAGTGGTTTGCGTCTTGGATTTAACCACATGGCTCACCGGCGTGGTAGTTCATCTTTTTTTGTGTATGAGCGAGTGGCATGTCGCGACAGTGAACTACAGTGAGTCGCGTTTCTGCTTTCGCATTTATGCTGTGGTTGATGGCACAACGAGTTACCCTTTGCTCATTTGGTCCATATAGTTGCTCTTGGAGTCGCGACAAATTTTACTGCTGCTTGGGCAACAAGGCCCTTGGGTAGAGGAAAATCTCAAACACTCAATATGATAGACATGACGTATCATTGTTTTTTTTTTTTTTTTTCATCGAATGTTGAAACAACGTTGAAAGCCTCATGACATGCACACTGCAATGGAGGCATACCTACTCTCCTTCCTCCACAGAACACGATTGATCAAGGATGAGAACGAGATAAAAAGTCAGGGAGCGCCCCACAGGAATTCACATTTGTTTCGTCTAGAATTCGGTGCCCAGCCATATGGGCTAAGTTGGCCCATCTGGCTGGCTGCCATCTCTCTGGAACCCCTAGTCCACCGTCAAACGAGAGAACTGACCACGAGATCACAACATGCATACATTAATATCGATCGGAAGTCGACCTGGAGTAGCGTGTCGAAGCCTAGACAGCTGATGAACCAAAGATCCACAACACGTGCGACACTTTGAGGCATCATCTATCTGGGCATAAAGAAGAAATGTTCGTGATTCGTGAAAGCACAGATCAGGTGTGCATCCAAGCGCTATGCCCCTTGGTCACGCACAATTTCGATCATTAGCATCGAGTAAAGCGTGAATTTCAATAACTTACGGGTGACGACGTGCTTTATTACGAACGTGCATGGCTCCGGCAAATAAGGTGTGCTGAGTCCATAGTCAAGAAGTAGAGAATCGGGGCTTCAAGTCGGTAGGAACTTAAGTATTTGGTGCTCGATACGACCGATGGAGTGGATCGCTGTGATGACGCGAGGGAAAATCTGAGGACAAACTAAGTAGGGCTTTTGGGAGTGCGTCTCCGAAGCAGTGGACGCACATTGCGTCATCGTGTAGTAAACATACGATTGCAGGCAAGAGGAATAAGGATCGCCGGATTACAGGGAATGCAAACGCTTACCTTGAAGTTTGAACCGTCAAAACGCAGGATCTGATCGACGGTACTGATCATATTTCGGCACTAAGTCAAGTCCATATGCAAATCAGGAAATCTCGAAGACAAAGAGAAAGCATGCATCCGAAGAACGTTGAAAAAGAAGGGCCAGTGAAAGGCAAACCGCGGTATGTGTATGTATGTAGTATCCCCAATAACATCGTTGCGTTCAGCATCACGATATCGTGGAGACCCTACTACATATAACGGCATATACTTAGTAGACGTACGTCCGAGTCCGATGGAAGGGGCCCAGGCAGGCACGAGATATCAGACATCGATGAGGTGTTGAATTTGAAGTGCCGAGTCCGGGAGTTTTCAGAGTCCACAGCATTGAATATTGAAGGATCGTAAGGCGCTACGCTCGACGATCCTGACTTCTGAGTACCGACATACGGACTGTGAAATGTTAGGCACGCTTGAAAATCCTAGCGGTCGGATGTTAGGAAACGACAGTGATGAAAAGGAGAGAAACTAGAGTACGTAGAGGAAGAAAAGTCAAGGCACGAAATCCAGCTGGCAAGTAACAACAGGCTCAACGCCCCAGGCTACTCCCGGACACCAATATTAAGTGGAGCGCGCTGATCAACGTGGGTGTCGGGCATTTGTCGCAAGGGAGAAGCTGGAAGAAGATCGGAAATATCGTAAAACCCATGTGGATCTGGATGTCAATGTGCGGTAGGAAGGATGAAATACAGCGTGCGTTTATTGAAAAAGGACCACGTACGTGTGTAATGGTTATGTATGGGGAGCGTATGGACTTGGCAGATTGCTTCGTAATCTTGATTCTTGGTGGGTTGATGAGATGTGGGACCGGCGACCCAGGCATGAGAGCGGCGATTACGGATTGGGTTGAGGAAACGATGATGGGTGATGAACCGGGTACCGGTTGATGGATTTGGTAGGATGTGAAAAATCCGAGGGAGGGGAGACGAGCTATAGCGCGAAGGCGGTGATTACGCAGGAACGTTGAAGGAGGAACGAAGGCACCATATACGGCCTTGTTAGGGGGCCACCAATAGGGAAAAGAGCATTACATGAGCGAATTAATGGAGGAGTTGAAAAAGAGGAAAATGAACGGAGGAGTGAGGACGAGGGAAGATTAATGATGCTGTATCAATGGGGATCGTCGGCATGAAGTCGTCTTTTATAGAGACATGACAGCTGTTAGAAGAGCGTGTGTTCTAACAAGGCGATAAGACTAGATATTGGGAAGAATAGGAATCTGTAGACTCTAGAGAAGACCTTCGATTAGACAAATGGGAAGTCGGAATGTCCTGTACATACCATTGTTGATCCTCGTTGATTATACGAACGTTGTGATAAAAGACGAGAGGATGCCGGGCACGCAGGCACGAGCGATGGCGGGAAATTTGACTAACAACAAGGTAGGGTTTAGATATGTAGATGAGATTATCTGACAAAACAACTGATTCATCTGTTCGAATCAGATCGCCGGTTTTGCTGATATTCCAGAGGAGGCACCCGAGGCGGGCGTAATGCAACTTGGTTTGTTTACCAGAAACCACCTGCAGCCAACTAATACACCCGGTTGTTTGGATCAAGGCTGTTGCCAAACACTGAACTGGAACTTCTGGAAATTCGAATGGATTGGATGAAGCAAATTCTCATCAACGCTCAGGCCAGCTTAGAGCTAAATACACATCTCTTTCTCTCGACCTCTTCCTCATTGTCTTTGTCGCTCGCAGCTAGTGTAGGGTCTGCATTGCGAGCGACGAACATTTTGAGTAGTGTGTTTGCAGTGCGGCAGAAGGCGGGTTGAAACGAGAACAATCTATCGATTGTTCTCGTTGCGGGAAGTTGACTCTCCCGAATCCCTGCGAACTTGAACAACAACCGTACGAAATCATAAGATTGTAAAACATCATTGGACTTGCTACGTTATGGGTTCATTCCTTCCTTACATGTTCCACTTGAACGTATACCTCCCTGATCCTTGCGCCCTTTCAGGCTTCTTCGGTACATGCACCTTGCAATAGTGGGTATCCGTGCTTTCCACCAAAAATCTTCGTTCCTGCTGCATATGATTCCCCAAACCTAGAACCCAATAATCATCAAAACCTCCAAGCATACTATCACGTTCAAGGGGACAAGCAACCGCGCATCTCCCTATACCATTCATTAGAGGAACATGATACTCGGAATCCGAAGCACGACGGCGAAAGTCAATGTTGACCACGGGATTCTGCCATTCTGATATACATACATTGATGAGAATCGGTACGTGCCACTCATATTTTGCGGCTGGGACATAGACTGTGCGTCGGGATATGCAGTCGGGCGCTGTCACCACCAGGTCCTTGTTATTCCTAGCACAACTGTCAAAAGAGGGCATCGGCCAGGAGATTCTGACATACATACTACAGTCATGTCAATTAGAGTATTCCTGCAGTTGCATGCTACCCATGCGACTGGGCCCAATACAGGCGACAATGAGCCTATCTGAGGGCTTTTAGGCCCCCTTACGATCTAGCGCAGCCCAGACAGCTGATGAGTCTGAACTCCACATGTCTAGACATGGATTTCACATGCATAATCTGTTGAAATCACGGACGTGAGCGAGCGGTAAACAGGTTGTTGTCTCAGAGAAAGAAACGAACAAATGGCATTAGGGGAGACAATCGTAAGAGAGCCCACACAGGCTTTTCTCCAGCATCAATCGAGTCCGACAGTGAAGGGCCTATCACGTAGCGCAAAACTCAGGCTGCTCACGCTTTTGCTTCACACTTTCAAAGCACTGGCACTATACGATGTAGCACGGAAAATAAATAAAACCAAGCCCTCGAATGCCACGAGTGCGTTTCCCGAGCAGTCGGAAGGAACCAGCACCATCCTTCCATCGCAGTCTGAGACATATAAAATGATAAATTCAATCGATAAATAACTTGCCCGTCCACAAGTCTTAAAAAACGACCTATGTGGAAGGCTTCCACTCAGCAAGCCACTCCTTCATGTACATTAATGCTGCTTTTTGTACGACGGCGATTGAAGGGTCGACAATACCACTCCCCGTGATCAAGTCTGATGTATGGAATCCATCGGACTCGTAGATCGGCATGCCGGTACTATTGGGCTTCCTCAGCCCATCAGCAGACACAGTTGACTCGCGCCACGGGTCACGCAGTCCGTTCGCGAAGAAGAGACGTGGGATATCTACGTTCCAGCCAACATATACTGTGTTGGTCTCTGCCGTGGCAGGCACAGGTGGAGAGGTGAAGGTTTCAGGGAACATGTTGACGCATTGGCGCTGAAGATTATGTTAATGAATGGTCATGTTTTGAATGCAATGTACGTACCTCGTCGTAAATGGGTTGGAGGATGCGGCTCACGATGGCAGGCTGACCTTTAGGAGGGCCAACTTGGTAGAATCCGATTTGGTTGCACCTGGAAAGGCCTGTCAGATCAGATATTAATTCGAAAGAGAGTACATACACCATCCAGAACCACGACCTGTTGACGTTATTCACGGTAACATTTGTCCAGTAGGACTGGCTCGTGTCGTACGTCCCAATACAGTCCCTAGCCTCACCGTCAGCCAGTCCGGAGTCTGGACGACATTAAGTTTTAGGGATACGTACTCAGCATCCTGGTTGTTACAGACTTCACCATTCATTTCAGCAAAGTCAATCAGAAATCAAACGAAGCGCCTTACCATGGTTGTAATATGTGGTATTCCAGAAGTTACCCCAAGAGGAGATGGCGTTTTCAAGTCCCCATCCTTCAGGTCCCGCAACGACACCGTCCTTGACCTCAAGTGCATCACAGAATTGGAAGAACAGTGCTCCTCGGCCACTAAAAGGTTGTAGATCTTGCCAGTTAAACAGGTTGTATTGAACTGTTGTATCGAGGAGAGTCAGTTAATATCAAAGGCAGCAGATGAAATTGAGACAAATAATATCGTCAGAAGAGGAATCCAAGGTAATGATATAGGAAAGGGGAAAGGGGAAACTCGTAACCAAATGTGGAACATAACATGAATGAAGAGTATCATCATCGCACGATAAACTGAACAAGATGTTGCGCGGATCAGAAGGCGTGTGGGCCATGCTATCGGTTCTATGCAAAGATGAAGACTGAGCAAAGGAAAATGACGACTCACGTGCAGCTGCAAAATCGTCTACATGTGTAAGACTGCCAAGACCAAATGCTTCCTTGAGCGTCTGGATTCCAGAGGTGTCATGAGCTGCGTGCATCTTATCCAGGTGGGCAATAACTGCCTCTACATCGGAAGAACAATTTTTTGGCATGTAGTTGCGAATCGGGGTAAAATAACCATAGTAGTCACTGTTTTTATGGAGAAGAGACCGAATGACCACATTGTATGCAAATTCATTCACGTCAAGGAGAACCGTTTCATCACGTCAATGGGAGATGGGAGGTGATTGCAATAAAACTGACATACACAATCGTTTCCACGACAGCCGAAGATGCATATCCAGCCCAGAAAATTCCCGGTTTGCTTCGAGTCGATCACCATGCTGATACAGCTGAATTGAATATTGATACTCACTTGACCATCGTCCAACTGGTGAGGGCTCCCGAGTAGCTCCCTCCGACCAGGATCCATGGCGCCTGGCCTGGCTTCACAGCATTACCCCCAGGCATCGGAAGGTCGGCCTTGGTGGCGAAATACACGAGATCATCAACGGCCTGCTGGATGGTGAGGAGAGCGAGAGATTGTGAGGTGAGGTTGTCGTATGGATTGGAATAGCCGAAGAAACGGTGTTCGATAAGGATAGCTGCACCTTTCTGTTGTTGAGCAATGAGGCCATTGATGGTGAGATTGGTAGTATAGGATTCGTAACCTAAAAATCAAGTAATTGAGAGAGAGATGCAACAATTTAAGTATCGTAAAACTAACCATCTGCGTCAGACTCTCCAGGTGTCATCAATATGATGGGACCACCTTCAATGCATCATGTTAACGTCACTTAAAGCTGTACAATCCTCAGGACATACCGGGCTCATAAAACTCCCAGTCCATCCAGTATCGCTGACGGAAGGTTCCGAGACTTGGATCATTGTGATCGATGAGCTGGTCAAAGTAATAGACCGTCGTAAGTGGTGGGAGTGCTGTACCATCCGGTGAAGTGACATGACGTTCTGGCACTGGGATTTTTGGGAGAAAAGGCATGCCACGGAGCATGGCATTCGGGATAGCCGCTCGGGCGACACCTGCAAGTAGGAGCAGCGTAATGGCCCACATCATGTTGACCTTTGATCGCAAAGGTGGGACTATACAACATAATCAAAGTGGACGAAAGACTTTATATGTAGCCATAGCATCAAGATGTAGAAGTTGTCGACAGTGATGCGCGTGTTACTTTCTTGGCATGAGGATATATATTAATTGGACGAAGCTGCAGGGTAACGATTCGGGTTGCTCACAACGGCGTTATGTGCCCGGCTTGAAGTTGGTGAAAGAATCGTTACGGAGTTTGGATTTACCGCTCGCATTTGTTCGTTGGCCGCATTCACAAATGCTACTCGACGCACGGCTTGTTGTAAACTTTGGCAATATAATCATGCCTGCCGATGGAGATGTAGAAGCTCACCGATGCCACCGCTTGGGTGGGTACATGCCAGCGTGCCCTGGGAATTATCTTGTAGTGGTCAAGTGGAAAAAAGCTGAACGCGCCAGCACCCAAGAATGAACCATATAAATTATTCAGCCATAATCATCGAATACTTCATTCCGAGCCTCATGAAGAGAGGACGCGAGTCAGGTAAGGTCGAATTCCCCTCGTCCGTGTGCGCGGATGTCGGCTGTGGGAGTGCTGCTGGTAGTGCTTCGACAAGGTCAAATTCCAAGCTTCGATTTACAAGAAGTGCCTTTGCCTCTCGTACAGGCTTCAATTCTTCCTTGTACACTGGCCTGTGCGCTGTGTTCTTTTCCAGTCATTATTCGCGCCTGGCAGTCGGATGAATCTGGCACCCACTGCATATTTCACCTCCCAAAATGCAAACAATCTCTTCAAGACAGAGTTATCAGACAATTAGGAACGCAAAACATCGCCTTACTTTCCAGTCCTGGTCGCCATGGAATTGCGCGAGGCGGATGTAGATGGGACAAGACCTTCGGAACATGAAGGACAACAGTGAAAGTAAGCATCGACGACGAGATTTTGAGATTTTGATGTACATACATTAATTAGGGTTGCCCTGGCATAGCGTGCCACACATGCGACTATAACATATATACATACATACATACATATATACATACATACATACATATATACATATATACATACATATATACATACATACATACATACATACATACATACATACATACATACATACATACATACATACATACATATATATATACATACATACATACATACATACATACATATATATACATACATACATACATACATACATACATACATATATATATACATACATACATACATATATACATACATACATACATACATACATACATACATACATACATACATACATATCGACCAGAGTCGTGCTGGAGTAGCATGTCGAAGCCCAGACAACTGATGACCAGATTTACAAGCAACGCTGAGTGATCATCTGTCTGGGCATAAAGAAGACGTAATCATGATTCGTGGAAGTCTATACCTAGCACAACTGCCAAAACAAGCATCGAGCACGAGATTCTGACGTACGCATACGTACGTTGATATCGATCGGAGTCGCCCAGGAGTAGCGTGTCTAAGCCCAGACAGCTGATAGCCCCAAACTTCGATGACATCTAGGGCCTGGGTACCCTCTGTCTGGGCATAAAGATGAAGCAACCGCGACTCGTGAAAGCCTAGATCCGAGTCGGGTCTGCATCCAAGCGCTATGCCTGTCACAATCTGTCAAAGCCCAGACAACTGATGACCCGAAACTTGGCAATTTACAAGCAACGAGTCATCATCTGTCTGGGCATAAAGAAGAAACGACCGCAATCTGTAAAAACCCATGAGGTCTGCATCGATTCCAAGCACTATGCCCCTACGACCAATCAAAGCCCATACAAACACGGCCCGAAACCTGAATAGATTCGAGTCCGATTTTGTCTGCGTATCAAAAGAAGGGATAGTGATTCATGGCAGCCCAGATGGCCAATGACGCATGACGAGCTGGATACATGCGACAATTACCCATCTGGGCTGTGGAGGGGGAAGGAGGAATAATGCTGTGATGCGTGAAGGTTGCAGCAGCGGCTGTCTGGGCATAAGGGAAAGGAAGAAGAAATGACTGCGATTCACAAATGCCCAGACAGTTGATAGCCCGAAAGTTCATGATTCAAAGTACACATACGGATTCCGAAAGGAACATTGTGAAGGGTAAAAGCGATGCGTCACATGTTCACACCTGGACATTGCGACAATTTGCATTTACCTTTGCACTCGGCGCGCTAATTGAGACCCTACATATGACAGCGGATACTTACTTAGCAGACATTGTTCGAGTCCGATGGACGAGGGCGAGGCTCGGGCAGGCACGAGATATCGATAAGGTGTTGGATTCGAAGGGCCGGGTCTGGGGGATTTGAGATAAAGATTCCATGACAAAGGTGGTAAGGCGCTACACAGTACGCTTGACGGTCCTGAGTCCAAGGCCTGATGTACGTATGTATGGACAATGAGATGTTGAGTAGGCAACTGGCGATGATGAAAAGGAGGGAGTGGTTAGTTCCTGAAGTAGGTAGAGGAGGAAAAAGTCAAGGCACAAGATACAGCTGGCAAAGCGCAACCGGTCTAAATAGACTCCAGGCCCCTCCGGGCCCCTCCTGGACACCCACTCCAAATTAATTATAAAGTGGAGAGCGCTGATCATCATGGGTGTTTATGCTATGGGGAGGGCGATTATCGTAAGGTGAAGGCAAAGAAAAAGAAGACTGATTCTTCAGAAAGATCGTTTATCGCAAGAGCAGGAAGAAGACCGGAAATATCGTAAAGTGCATTTGGAATCTGGATGTCAACGTGCGGTAGGAAGGTGATCCAGGCTTAGGTTGAAGAACGGTGATGACTGAGGGGAACGGGAGGAGAGTCTCTGAAAATGGTGATTGCGCAGGAACTTTGACAAGGGGCCGTTAGGTTAACCAATGGGAAAAAGACCTTCTTGAGCCAATTAACGAAGGAGAGGTGAGATTAAGGGATCAATAGCATGAAGTTGTCCTTTATAGTGAAATGAGCCGACAAAGTGCATCTATAGACTAAATGGGAATTTATCTAGAGAAGACCTTTGAAAGACAAATAAGAAGAAATACAAATCGGGGAATAAAATATTGTTGATCATACGGACATTGACGAGACGGAGGGGACGAGCAATAATGACATGAGGTAGGTCAAGATAGACGGAGAGGATCTTGACAAACCAATTTATCGGAAATCAGATCACCGATTTTATTGGCATTCCAGAGGAGGCAAATAAGCTGAGTCTCTTTAGCCGGTTGTGTAAGCCTGGTGGCTTACGTACACATGTCATATGGTTCATTGCATCGTGGACACCTCTTTGCCTTAGCTTGTACCTTACCATCGTCGTCGTCGTCTCGCAATCCAGAACGTGGTTCTGTTTTGTTTTGTGTGTTTCTTCAGTGTTTCTCGTCATAGGCCACGACTTGTTTCCAGGTTGTTTGGATTCAAGGTGGTTCGAGCGAGCAAGCGACCCTCGGACCCTTTAAAACTCTTCATCTCAACCTCTTCCTTCGTCTGACGCTCACAATCAGCGTACATAGGATCTGCAACGCAAGCGATGGGTTGCAGTGCACATTTTGAAGAACGTGTTTCAGGTGCGGCAGAAGGCAGATCGACACAAGATCCGATCATATGCATCATCCCATCCATGAGCCAGTTGCTCGGGAAGAATATATCGTTGCGGGAATTCAAGTTGACTTTCCAGATATCAGCTACGTGATATGGGTTCGTTCCTTCTTTATATGTTTTACGTTCCTGGTCCTTGCGTCCTTTCAAGCTGTCTTCCGTACATCCACCCTGCAATAACGGGTACCCGTGGTAGTTACCTCTTTCCACCAAACATCTGGTCGTTCCTACCAAACCCTAGTACCCAATAACAATACTGGCAAAACCTCCAAGTCCTACTCATATTCAACGCGACCAACAACCGCGCATCTCCCTATTCATCCGAACACCCCCACCGCACTAGCCACTGTTCTGGTGTCGTTTCCAAGCCCAGGTTATCAGACGGGATAATTACCCTTCTTTCGCTACTGGGCATGCGAGAGCAGCAGCTCACACAATAGGTATCAGCAACGGTGATAACGCGTGCATCACTGTTGTACAAGCTTGACTCACGATTCATGCAGCTATCCCATCAAGTACAATCTTCATCAGCGCCAGCATAACAATGAAGCAAGAAGCTCGCAGTTGCGATGAAGCGGTGCAATTGAGGTACAAAAATGGTTGGGATCAGATGGCTGACAGTGCAATATTGGTATTCACCTCAGCCTCGGAGAAGGAAAGGAGCGACGAGACCAAGAAATTCAGAGATTGCGTGATTTAATCGTAATCGCCAGAGTAGCGTACCACCTACTGAAACGTCGCCAAAAATCACGCACGAGTTTTTCGAGCGTTATAAGAGCCCCTGGGACTCGTTGAGACAGACCTGACTAGCATGACTGTCAACATCATGACATACGCACATTAGGAAGTCAGCCTGGAGCAGCGTGTCGACCCAGACAGCTGATGAACTAAAAATCCCAAAATGTCAAGACGTCTAGTAAGTCATCTGTCTGGGCATGAAGAAATGACCGCGATCCGTGAAAGCCCAGATCCGATCCAAGTTGGGTGTGCATCCAAGCACCATGCCCCTTCGATCTGTCAAAGCCCCGACAACTGATACCCTAAAACCTCGCGATTTCACACGGTTTCGAGACGGCATAAAGAAGAAACAGCCGTGATACGTAGAAACCTATACCTAGCATGACTATCAAAAAAAGCATCAACCACAAGATTCAGACATACGCACTTTGGTGTTGATTAGAGTAGCCTGGAGTAGCGTGCACTTTGGTGTTGATCAGAATCGCACGTCGAAGCCCAGACAGCTGATGAGCGAAAAAATCAAAAATGCTTGACTGTTTCTTCTCATCATCTGTCTGGGCACGAAGAAGCGACCGCGATCCATCCGCAAAAGCCCGCACCTGAGTCAAGTCTGCATCCAAGCGCTATGCCTCTTCTGATCTGTCAAAGCCCAGACAGCTGATAGCCCGAATCTTCGCAATGATACTAGGCAGCATATCATCTGTCTGGGCATAAAGAACAAGTGACCAGTGATTCTTGGAAGCCTGTACCCAGTACGACTATCAAAAAAGCATCGACCACGAGATTCTGACATACGCACGTTAACATATTGATCAGAGTAGCCTGGAGTAGCACGTCGAAGCCCAGACAGATGAACATCCTGATTTGGTTCAAAACCATGCCAGAATTGTTGAGATATGATCTGTGACGGGATCCGTTGATCCGTCAAAGCATCCGGTATCACTCTAATATCCTACCTGTCATTGAGTGTTTCACTATCATTGAATGTCACTTACCTAGTTATGATAATTTCTCTCTCTCCCTTGCTACTTAAGATGGGCAAACGCCCTCGTTACACCTCAGTCTCTTTACCGTTGACTGAGGTGTGTATGTTTTCTCTTACCTTACATTTACCGTACTCATTAGCACGTTTAGCTCGTGCTGTTAGGTTCGTACATTGGGAATTTAGTCTCTTTACCGTTGACTGAGCTCGCGCTGTTAGCTCTCACCTTCTGACAGGTTATGAGCCCTGCCTAAAGGACAGCAATACTTTCTTACCAAGTTCTCGCCGACTCTCTCATATCCTCGGCACTTATCATTATATGATGTCTTCCTCCTGACACTCTCCCGAAGACCGAGAAATACCCGCACGAGAAGCTCACCCTCGACGGCTCTAATTACTCCCAATGGGCAACAGGTTTTAAGATGTGGGCTGGCGGTATCGGGCTATGGCCCTACGTCAGTGGGGATGAAGTAGAACCGTCCCCACCAGCCCAGCTCACAGACCCTGACCAAAACATCATCCGCAAAGAGAAACACGACGAGCGGGTGAAAACCTACAAACAACATCGACTTCTCGCTCTCAGTGCTCTCTCTACAGCGATTGACGCGCAGGACTTTGTCTATCTACGTGACATCAACAATCCACACATT